ATATATATATATATATATAGAGAGAGAGAGAGAGAGAGAGAGAGAGAGAGAGAAAGAGAAAGTGGAGGAAGACGCTACGGTCAGGAATATGCTGACCCACCGCAACAACCTTAAAGAACGGACTCAACTGGTCGATCTGCGTCATGAATCCAGAAAAGAGGGCTAAGACAACCTGGGCTACTTGCGTAACGGCAAGTGCGACGACCTCCTTCAAGTATCGCACGCAGTGCACAACATAATGCATAGGTGGGTTATCCCTGGAGCCCAACCCCGAAGTAATCCGCACCACTGAGTCTGCCCCGTCCTAACAAGTTGTGCCCCTAAAGTATCTTTTCCATTTCTTGCCTAGACGTGGAATGATACGCATGTTGCCGAAGTAGCAACACGCTTCTTTCGCAGCGACAAGAACAGCAAGCTTTTGCCGTACAGCGCATTTCAGGGCATGCCGTGCAATTCTGCGACTGCCAAGGTAGTGCCAAGCACGCTTACATCGGTCACTATGGCCGATATGAAATAGCCGTATGATTGGAGAGATAAAACCGACAGTAGCAATACGCCTAAAGAAGCGAAAAACTTCGTTGCTGTTTCAGCCAAACCCATTATCCAAAAAGTAATCCTGATGCCAATGAGACAGACCGGCACGCGCGTAGAAGCATAGAGAGACGTTGATTCTTTCTCCTCGATACCCCCTCCCTGCGATATAGCTGTATATTTAGCTGTGATATATGCCCACGCTTACGTGTGGAAGATGATGGGGAAAATTAAAAATAATACGGTGTCTCCGGTTGACGTCCCGATGAAGTAAACCCACATGCGCAGGACACCTGCAAATTCAGCAGACACAATTCTTCATTGTCGCGACAAAAAGCCAAGAAGCAAATATCGCACAAACGACCTCGTCACACCTTCGACAGAAATTCGATTTATAGCACCTTGCCAATCTAGCACCCAGAATGCCCAAGCGCTTTAATGCCCAAGTGGCTTCAAAGCAGTCAACGTATCTCTATGATGATCCAACAGCCATACCTGATTCATATTCCCTCTGTGCAACAGGTCGAGCTTGGGGGAAAATATTCGCAACGGTAAAGATGCAGGAGAGAGACTGAGCAAACAGGCAAAGACTGGGCATCAACCAATCGAGCGCTGGCATGGCGTACTATTAGCGGGGAAAGTCTTGACGCACCTGAGTCAAGACGATCTGGTAGCAGGCCGACATCCGATTCCATGCGTCGCTCAGACTCCAGCCTATCCTGATTGAAAGCAGGACATGCTTCTCCTAGGCAGGTTCCCGTTGGTTTTGTCTTAAAAATGTGGACCCACCATGGATCTAGTTGGTTATTGCACGAAAATGAACAAGCAGCTAAAAGCGGTGGCCTACAAATAACATTGAGCCCGTGTTTGGCCTACTGGTAATAGATAAACGAGGGCAGAAGAGCTGTTATCAGGGTGACTGCCAAGCGAGCATAGGAGGTAGATGGGTCCCTCCACCGCAACAAGAGCCCTCGCCGGGTCAGGATAACGGCCTCCGTGAACGGTGAAATGCGCCCGCTATTCCGAGCGCGTCGTGTGCGGCCTACGGACGTCAGAGCATGGACCATATCGCGCTGAGCCGTAGCCACATTGTTAGGTCTACTGTCCTGCCCGATTGGGGCAGGCCGCGCGGAAACCTCCCTCGATCTGCGACATTCGGATTCCGAGTCTTGCGGGCTCCTGAGACAACATAGCGCACTGCGCTCAGGCAACGGATAATCACTGTGATGGATTGGCTTTGAAATGCTCATGCTTTAACAGGTACTCGCCAAGTTTTTACTTGTGTGGGGATCTCTTTGTGGGGATCCCTAGCACAGCTTCGATGCTGCACGATGAATGTCAAAGTGGACATCCCATTTTGGCATCCACTGCAGCGAAGTCGTGTTGACCACCTCTCTGCACAACGATAACTGAGCTTCCTCCGGTGCGCAGTAAGCATATAATACAGAAGGCACTGCGTAGCACCGTTTTAAGCGTACAATTTTGTCCTGTTACAATCCTCAGGTCTTGGAGTATGCGCAGGGCCCTGCGGAGCACAGAAGCGGGACAGTAGACTATGGCCACATATTCTTGGGTCACAATCTCATTTATTTAGAAGACTTTCAAAAAGGCTCAGAGCATTTTCTACAGAAAATAGAATTACTAATGCGTAGCTTGTTTGGGTTTCCACGGCATTTATCAGGAGTTAGTTCTAACCTACACTAACTGCAGCCTCTCCTCTTTTGTTATGTGGGCATCAAAATTATGAAGTATTCCAGTAGAAAGGGCCTCAACACTTCCTGAAGTTCCTCTTACCACTGGTTCCAATATGGAAGAAAACGTGCAGCTCCGTTGCTTAAAGTTGTCTCTTCCCTGGTCTTCCTGGCACGTCAAATCACAAGACCTACCACGGGAGGAACCTGTAATTTGGGCCCAGCTGCAGCCGTGGGGCAGCAGCCGCTGGGCACTCCACTACGCATTCCACACATTGCGGGAGGGCAACAAACACTGGCGTGGGACGAACTCAACAATAACAAAACAAATTTTGGTTCGATGGAGCAATGAACGGGCAGCGTTCGAAGCTAGTGTCTTGCTCAGAAGTAAACACAGCAACGATACACGAGATGCAGTGGAGTTCCTCCAAGCAACCCTACCCAATTCCTAAGGAATGCTTGACCCTCAAGCCTCCATGCGTCAGCCCATTCTTGCAGACGAGCAGCCTTAGACTGTGGATCGAGATGATGAAGGGCTGTGGCCTTGAGGATGAACTCAGCAATGTTTGCATCGACCCCACAAGGTTTGCAGCCCAAGTGTTCCAGCCAAGAAACCGCAGCCAGGCGATCTCCGTAGTACAACACCCGCCCTTCTCCTAGTAGAAGAACCTGAGTTAACGAGTTAACGCAAATACGCAGTGACGGGCGGCTGGTGCATGAAGGCGACAAATGAACGCTAAGAGACGGCATTGATATGATGGTGGAACTAGCTGCAGGTTTGTCGAACCTTGTTGAACAAAGAGAAGCACGAGCTGCTAGGTTGGTGTATAGTACACACGACAGTGCAACCAGCTGCCGCGAGAGTCGCCAACTGGTCGCAGACGGCCTTGGCCATAAATGAGTCCAAACCACTCGTGGGCTCGTCGGCGAAAATAACGGATGGGTTACTCAAGAGCTCGCTGGCTATGCAAAGCCGTTTCTTCTCACCCCCAGAAATTGATCTGCCATTGCACCCAGACAAAACCAGGCAGCTCTGCGCCCACCTCCCGCGAGTTTTGAGCCGGCATTCTCGATCTGGAAAACGTTTTGCAGGTTTCTGGTAGCTGTGTCGTATGGAGCGAAGAGTCAGCTGCTTACCCCCGTGCACCTTCATGCGGACCCCCAATGAATGACTTCGCTATATGCGCTAGGCCAAAGCATTCCAACAAGCACGCTGTAGTGCGCCTTGCCTCGTTCATTGTGGTTCCTTTAGGCAGACGGAGGCATGCCTATAACATGACGCATTCAGCGCGAAACAGACGTTTCTGGATATAGGATCCTCAAACTGACAGAACGCAGTGGCTTAGTCTAAGGCAGCTTAAATTCTGACGGTGAAGGCGTCATGGTCCAACAGGAATCGGCAGCCAGTAGGGAGAGGGGAGCGAACAAGCTGCTGAGCTGCTGAGGTGTGGCAAGCGTCAAGAACCGTTTTCTGTTAGGCAAATACCTGGAATAACAGATGTTCTTCCACCGTGAGGTATCCGAAAATGATGTCTTCCTGCTGAATAAAGCAGCTTAGCTCTTTGCACAACTGCGGCGTGCAAGACATGCCGTTCATTTCCACTTCCCCACGCAGACCCGTCGAAACCCTACCGCTTAAACAATTCAGGAGTGTCGATTTTCCGGCGCCACTGCTGCCCATCAAGGCAACTGCGCAAACAGAGCAATACATGAATGAAGCATATCGTGTCCGACTTCTGTTCGGACCCCACTCTTGGCTTCTGCAATGTATGCGATAGGGGCAGCGCTTTGGGCAACAATTGCCGGGCTTGGTCAGGCCGTACCGCAATCCCCTGGGTTAAATACAAGCTCTAGGCCATCGAGACATAAAATATCTTTTCTGAGTTTCCGCCGTTCGTCAGTTTCAAGATTCACCTCGTCACCAACTCCTCTGCGGCAGGTGCACAGCTTCTGGCAAGATCTGGATATGCACGATCCGTCAACAGGAAGTGCAACGGAGTCTGCAGGACACGTGCAGAGGCCTCTGAAATACATGTAGCATCAATAGTAGCAATGTAAAACAGAAATAAGAGGGTGGGAGTCAGTGCTTCTGAGGGGGTGCAGTCTGTAGGCTCTGGCGACACAGTCGAAAACTGTGTTATATTCGCTCACACGTAATGTCTTTACACCGCAGCACTACAGGCTGCACACCTCCAAAATCTCGGTCTTGTTCATTGCAAGATGCCTCTTCATTGGAGATAGCCAAACCACACATCCCATCATTTGGCAACGGTGGTGAAAGTGCGTTGCTGCAGCTACCTGCATGGTTCGCCAGAATGTCCGGTGATACCTTGCCAGAGGTTCGATCTGATGGCAAGAAGATAGCTCGATCTGGACTCAAGCTGCCACCGTCAAGCTTGCTAAGAGAAGGAGCAGGACTTCTTGTTTCGGCTGCTGCTGTCTCCTGCGGGTCTACAGCTGGCATGGTGGTTGACTCTGACGACTCCAGTTGCTGTGACGGCGGCGTGCGGCTGGAGATACGCTGCAAAAATAAGCCCTTATCTTTGTTAGCTGTGTATGTGCAGACGTTTTCTTCATGCGGTGGGCAGCTTCAATGTTTGAGCTGGGTATCGTGGCTTCAACGAGGCGCTTCCACGCCGGCCGGCCACGCTCGGCGATATTCACCTGGCTACGAGATTGACGTCTGATCATATAACAAGCAACAGCTTGGCAGATTTGCAACCTCCGCAGCTATTTTCGACGCTTTTCTGCAGCACAAAATTCGAAGGGAACCGTCACTGATGCGTCCGGCGATATCCGACGCGCCGACCCAAACTGATGTGAATTGGGAGCCGAACCATGGATTGTAGTTCAAATTGAGTAAAGAAACCTAACGTTGAAACGATTATTCACGTTTTGTTGCTGTGGAAGACCCTTGATTGGACACGGCAAACAAGCGAACTCCCAGGATAGCGCTGCATGCTGCACTCGCGGTACCCCGCTGTACTGAAATGCAGCTGCAGTCCCTGTATAATCAGTTAAAAATACAGGACGATTAACGTATATCGGCTCATTCCAACTACCAGCCTGTAGTGCACGAACACATCCAGCAAGCACTGCCCGCTCCCCCTTCCCAAATGAGATTCGCCGCTCACTGCCAATGGCAGCAACCTGCGATAATGTCTGACAGTCCATTTCAAGTAAATATGATTTATCTCTTCTTATCAAGCCAAAGTAAAAGCCCTCCGTAGTGGCAACACAGCAATGCACCCTTTTGACTTCCTAACTGAACCGTTGGAACAATGCTAGTGCTGTCTTCACTGCACGCACGAACACTTGGTCACGCCGCTTGTGTCCACAAGTATCTCATTGCTGACTTGTGAAAACGCACCTGTACGCTCTAATGAGTGGCAGTGTGCCCTGTCTTTCTGCTTGTGTACAAGGGCTCTTCAGAAACCACGAGCGCTGCTTCGTAGAACGCGTGCGATGATACACGCCTCACACTCCACAGCTTGCTCGCATAGAGACTGCTGCTTCTCCTCCCTCCTCTGAGCATGGTAGTGCCTTTTCCTTTCTCCTTGTCGACGTACATTGGCTTCGATTGTGTGTTGCAACATGTAGTGTGTTGACTGTCAACGTCTCACCGCTTGTACGTTTCCGCACATCTGCTTGTCTTATCAACAACCGTGCAGTCTTTTGCCAGGGACAACTTGCCCTCGCGTTAGGAAGATGTCATATCGTCCCTGCCGCCCATCAGGAGGCAGCGGTTCCTGATTTTTTCTGCCCGGTGCCGCGTGGCCCTCCTTGACCGCCCGTCTGAGCTGAGCTTAGAGCAAGCCAGCATAACCTTTCACAATTACTCTGTGCCCGACAGCGGGTCTTCTCTTGTTACCAGATCTGCCGTCCCTTCTCCCCACTGTTGCCTTCTTTATACGGGGTTTACCCAGCTAGACTGGTAGATTAAGCAATCCGCAAACACATCTGCGGTCATCTCCACCTGAAGTGCAACTAGAGTTAGCTGAGTATATATGGTGGTCCCCTTGGCACTGCTTATCAGCGATCTATTTGGAAATATGGCAATCTGCACAACAACGTAAACAAATTTCAACTGAGTAACTACAGGCGTGTCCAACTTGGCCCGTTTCCTAGTTTGGACGGCATCTCGCCGTTATCGCCGGTGGCACCACTGTCTGCTGTGAGCAGTCGCAGACACGCCGTAACCCTTGTCATTAGGCGACTTGCCACCAAAGATCAACGAAGCACTTCAACGAATACCCAACAGAGTGTCTTTCAATGTTCTCCACATTTTGCTGCTCACGGTAGACGTATTGTCGATGACGTGACTGTTCCTGATGTTACATCCCTTGCAACGGTTCCCAAACCGTCTGTTTCTGTGCCTTCTGCTGGTCCTGCCACTGGTTCAAACAAGGGCAAAAAGGAAAATACTGTGAACGATTCCCCATCAACTGGAGTATTGGGAGGCAAGACCTGCCCGACCCTGGCAGCAGGGTGGCATACATTACCAATTGCGGAAAGCACTGGTGTTACTGGCAGCAGCACTAAGCTCACTGTAGGTTGAGAAGCGTCAGTCGATCACAACGAAAGTAAGCTGGCTCTAGCGAAAGCACAGAAGAGACAAAGTGAAAATCCTTTGCGCCTCTCCAAACAGAAATTACCGGATACTTAATGGTGAATTCGCAAATTGAACCCATGCTGTGCGTGGGTTTAATCTGTGAATTCACTCACCCTCGGTGTGACTGCGGACGAGCTAGTGGCTGCGTGTACGGATCAGAAAAGCTTTCTTCTCACCAATGATTCAGAGCATCCGTACGAGTCTACAAGGTTATCGTCCACCTTCGAATGGCACCTGCCTTCGCGGGATGTTGTGCAAATCCTGCTAGCGAATTACGTAACCATAGGAAGCCAATTATTTGCATAAAGACACTTTTTTGGTTTCGCGATTCAATGCGCTTCGCAGTGGTATGGCTTTGTACGGCATGCTCTGCAGCTGCTTGGCGTTTCTCGCGTGAAGATGCGGATCATTTGGTAGGAGTTCTGCTTGCTATAGCATATCCTGGCTGAGCATAATCAACTCTACCATGTACACAACTATCGAGCCCCCATTAGGTCGCCTAGGAAACCGTAATTAACCTGCAGCGATAGCTCAGCAGGTTCAATACGGTGCCCACACAGCATAACGTTATACTCCAACCTGCCAATGCGGGTGTGGAACGGAGTCATGTGGCGGCCGTCCGGATGGGTTTGGATCTGTAAGACCGCAACGTCGAAGCCAGATGATGAATTCATTGGGGAACCTTGGAAATGATGAACCACATTGCCGATCGCCTGTACCGAAAAACGTTGTTCCACCGTGGGCTTGAAGTTAACGCATATGCGCCACATGCCATCCTGTTCTTTCGGAAACTCCGGATTGTGCCCGGATGCTCTTGTTTGCCGATTATGTTAACAGGCAGACGCTTGCGCAACATCCGCCGGTCACCCACGGCATGCTTAGGACTCTGTCAAGTTCAAATAGTCTAATGTAGAGGTCCCTTATCATGGTTATATGACCACTTTTGAATACATAACTCATTTTATGCCCATTCTCGTTCCGATTAGAGCATCCCGTCAACCGTCCTGGAAGCGTACCCGCAGATAATGTGTCAAAGAAAAACTGGAAGGGCTCCCCGCCATAGCTACAGGGAGCAAATCCACTTCGCAACCTACGGCGGCTTGGCCTAGTATTTTCTGCCCATTAATACAGAATTGGCTAGGCACAGGTGTAACTGGAAAAGGATCTGTGGGTGCGGCACTCGACAATTTTGGCCCTATTGCTAGGCCGCACGTTGCGTGATCGACTGGTGCTGGTGGGAGACCAACATACACCAGCGGAGGCAACAAACTCCCTCCCTGTCGCCACATTGCGGAAAGAAACATATCGGGATGGCCGGCAAAGGTAGAGGCACTTTACCATTGCTGGCTTGAATTGGCTGTGGTGTAAACATACTCTCGGTTGGATGGGTTACAGAGGTTGAGCTTGATTAAAAATCGTCAGGGATCCCAACAGCTTGTCGCCTCCTCACCGGTAAACTGGTCCTAATTTTTCTTCATTGTTTAGAGTAAGGAAAAAGCTGCGATCTAACAAAGATTTTAGGAGAGTTTGAAAAGATTCCTTGTAGGTACGTGTCTGTTCTAGCACCCCCAATACTACTAACAGCTTGTTGCCGCCATGCTGTGGGGGTGCGGTTCGTTGGTCGCGCCTGCATCCCTTGAACCATTCGTTGCTACTAACTGTAACTACGTTCCTCAATCTTGCCCGAGGGTTACTGTGAGCTGCAAAGCAGCGGGAATACTTCGTATCAGTGTTCCATGGGAGAACCTTACTGCCATATCCAGTCTCCAGGAATCCGAAAATGGTCTCAGACGCCGGAGCCTCGAGAGAGGACTTGGACTGTCGTAAGTTGCAGCAAATCTTCGTGAAACTTAAGACACATGAGAGCCGCACATACAAGCACAAAGAAACCTCCTCAGATGCACGCATGAGCATTGTAGACAATCGTTGAGGTCCTCCGTTTGTATATAGCTTGCCTATTACGGCCAGGATACGAGTTCAGGCGCCAGGTTCAGAGAGACGTGCCAATACCGGACAGAATATGTTAAAAATATTCTGTACGAGGCAACCCCACATGCAGGCAAAAGGAACCCCACCCTTGACGCAAGCGACGACACCGTAGACAATTGTTAAACACTTACCTGGCCCTCAGTACATGGCCTGAGCGCAAGCATATCTACTCATAGCAACAAAAGGAACATGCAACAGAAGCAGTGACTCGCTGAAGAGGAGGCCAGTGGCCCAGGAACGAGCCTGGCTCCACACAGGGGGTCCGTATGCAAAAACCAATAAAGTAGAATGCTAGGAAGGCTTTATCCATGACCATCTTTTCTCGAGCCATAAAGCCCTGTTGGGGCTACTTTGTGTGCAGAGGGGACGAAAGGGTTCTTGCACACGCCTCCAGCGGCCAGATTCCTCCGAGGTATGCCAGCCTGACTTTATCATTTCGAATAAGCCCTTCCATCTATGGGAACTTCACTGATGCAAAACTGTAACTGTGGCTCTGTAGAGAGGACCTTTACAGCAATGTTAGCATTGACAGTCAACAGCCTGTCTCCCTCTCATGAAAGCCCCTAAGCCCCAAGGCTTGCAACTTCTCATGCAGCTGTGGAGGAGCTTTTTTGTATCCAAGAAGACTAATAGTGCAGTTGTGCTTGTTTGTTTGTTTTGAGGCTATTCATACATTGAGTTGGTCCGAGACTCTGCGCCGCGCTTGAGGGCCCCCCACGCCGTTGCTTGCGCCTGGGGCTTTGGTGGCCGGCTATCTGTTGACCCACCTGGTACGGCTTAATTTTAGATGAATCCATATGCTGAGTTGCTACGGCAACTCTCTGAATGGCATAGGGGGTTGTAATAGGACAGAAGAGCGCCGCTGGAGGGAGCCGGCGAGGAAGCCGCCGCACTTTGTCTACACTACACGAACATCCTCCCGACCAGAAATTGCAGCTTTTGACGAGTTTTAGCGCGCGTGATAACTCAGAGGGTCCTTGGACCCCAGCGCTTTTTCTATGCCGTCTGAAAGGAGCAGCTAGTCGGCGGAGCAGGGATTTGCTGCTGGTGTTGTAGTAGTGTATGTGCAGTCCGATAGTTCCGGAGAGCAGCTGCTGCTCGGTGGTATCGAGGGAACTCAAGTGTTTCATTGTGTATAGGTCTCGCGTCTGAGTGGAGAGAATGGCTACGGAAGAGCCCCATGCGGTTCCCGCCGCGGGGCCTCAAGACTGCGTTCCGGATCTTCAAAGCAGTGACTCTGCGACCACAGCAGAAGCAGTTGCTGCTGCAGCTGCCGCTGCAGCTGCTGCAGCTCAGCTAGCTGTGGCAACGAGCTCAGCAGATGGTGGATATCAAGCTCACCCTTTCACGACCCTTTTTTTTATCGACTTCTCCTTCCTAAGGGCTGGCAACATCACGGAGGTCGTGGAGTGAGTGTAGAATTCCACAGTATGCGTTTAAGCCTCTTAGGGCAGTGCAGGTGCTCTGGAATGTGCTGGGATGCAGGAAGGGGAACGAGACTGAGCACAAAAAGCCCATTGAGTGCGTGTTGACGAGCAAGACATGTGGAGCTTCGTGAGCAGTTTCACTTGAAGCTCGCCGGTGGTTTGTGGGTGCTTCTTTGCAGGATTGCGTGGGTGGTTTTTGATGTGGCGACCCGACAGTCCCTAGAGGAAGTTTCTGTTCTTGTCCGCCCGGAGCAGCTCTTGGCGCCGGCTGCGGTTCTCACCAAGCTTGGAGTCACGCAGGAGCAGCTCTTTGCCGCCTGTACGGTTGACTGTTGCCACATTTTTGCATATGCCTAGACAACATTAGTTCTTGGGCTGAAGTTAATGTCTGGCATATTTCCCCTTGCCGCGGATTGGCCGTGACAGTTTTGCAGTTATGCTTGGTTGCATACACTCGATTACTACTTTCCAAATTAATTTTTCTTTGAGCTCAGTGCATTGTGCTTCAAGCATCTCACGATGGTTTCGTTGTGCGTGCATCTCAGCGACTTTGGGCGAAGTCATTCAGAAACTCGATACTGCAATCTTCCAGAGAAGTCAAGACGGCGTAAATTCTGCAATGCTTTGTGTCTATGAACCCGAGAAACTGAAGGATTTCCGCGCGTGCGCAGCTGCTCGCCAAGTAACTCTCTATCCCCACTTCGCGCAAGCTGTGGTTTTGAAGCGCGTTATCCAGCAGTTTTTGAACAGTAAGTGTGCTCAATAGAAGTCGAGCCAGTCGTAAAGGGGCCTACAACTCTTTTGTCGAGCCCGATTTACTATGAGTATTGGCGGAGTTTGGCTCATTTGGCACACCTTCTTCGAGCTGAATTTTCGTTTAAGCGGAAGGCATTGCGCAAGGACAGCGGCTTTTTCGAAACGTTACAGGGCATGCATTTGGGCTATTCCTGAAACTGTAGAGCCTGGAGACCTTAGCAACTCAGTGATAATGCCTACCTGACTCGGGAAAGCCTGTGCTTATGCCCCACTAAATCTGTGAAATGCGAAGTTTGTAATCTTGTACTAACTCGAAGTGATTTGTGAAGTATCAGGATTCGGTTTTGCATAGATACCAGTATTACCGGTGCGCCTATGCCACTACGTGCTCCACTGGTGGTTCACGGTGTTTGGCGCACCGCCGGAGCGTGCTACGTGGCTGGCTGTGTTGCAACAGTTTTCCACCAGTCCATTGGAGTCCCTTCGCACTCTTTGTGGTACTCGAAGATGCTTGCGCAGTCAACGAGCAGATGGAGGGGGCTCCTAATTCTTCCGTTCCGCATTTCTCTTTCCGGTCACTGTGGATGCTTCTTTCGCAACATTTCGGGGCCAGTAGTCAGGTAGCTTTGGTTTGGGCTTTTCGGTGATCTTGTTTGCAGTAAAAGGGGACGACTTGAGGAGCCTGAGTACGGCGGCGGGCGCGCTGCACTTGGCAGCACCAGAAGGGCGGGAAGATGGTTTGGCGGCGTGTCGGTGCATGTGTGCCATTTTGTTTTTGCTGCTATCAAAGGGCCTGCTTTTGCTGAAGGAGCATTCGATTAACGTGGAAGACCCGTCTTCCGGAGAGACCCTCAAACCGGTTGGAGCACCGGCGGCGAACGGATTCGCTGGCGTTGGAACACATATTCGTTTGAGAGGGCTTCCTTGGGACGTTAATGAAGATGCCATCATCCGCTTTTTGAAGCCCGTTGTTGACGTTACAGAGTTGGATGTTTGTGTCTGTGTTGGCCTTAACGTACGCTATTGAATTTTAAATATCCTAGGCTACAGAATTCAAAATCCGTTGTGGCCTTTCTGGCACTAGTGATTTTGACAGATCCTTAACCCCCTGTGTATATTTCCCCTGACAGTGCACGTGCACCAGACAGCTCGTGCATCTTTCGAGTAGTTATATTCATGGGGGAATGCTGCACGTGCTCCGATGATGCGTATGCTGTTTGTTGTTGCGTTACCTCAGAAACGCGTGACAGGAGAGGCGTATGTGAATGTCCACACAACTGACATGCGGGATGTGGCAGTTCGGACTCTTCATGGTCGCATGATGGGGCCACGGTGGATAGAGGTAAGACGACTGCACGTCGTCCTTTTCCACAGTGCAGTGGTGTGGTCTCTGCAGGAAGTTATTGTCGAGGACACGAGGTTTGCTGCGTGGCAACATTATTTGGCAAGGCGCCTTCATGGCTGGTTCAAATATGGTTGCATCTGCACCGTATTTCTGTGTCTAACTAGGTGTTCCGGTCCAGCGCCGAAGACTTCGAAAGGGCCATGCAGCGAAGGGTAGCGGTGATGAACTCGGGCACGAGAGACGGTCGGGACGCTGATGTTAAGGGCCTGAACTTAGTAAGTCCGCATTATGCTACCCTTCAGGGGGGGCGCCACTTGATTGCGGCAAATACACAAAACAAAAGGGGCAAGCTGTGTCGGTGTGGAACAGTAGAATCATGGTTGATGAGCCCGTTGCAGACTGTCTTGAAGCTACGCGGATTGCCATGGACTTGCACTGACAACGACGTCGTCAATTTTTTTCAAGGTGCGTTGTTTGGCCCCTTCCAAGCACTATGTGTATCAAGCTGCACATCCTTTGCAGGTTCGGCTTTGTGGTCCCTTGCCTTTCGCCTCAGAGCATGGATTCGAGATTGGATTCGACTCTGTTGTTTTGGGAGTTGCTGTGGATGGAAGGATGAACGGGATCGCATACGTCGAGCTTCCCGATGCTGCCACAGCAGATGCAGCGAAGGAGAAATTGCACAGGAAATACCTCGGTCGCAGGTTTGTTGAGGTAGGACTTCCGAAACTGATCCATTGTCTGTAGACGCCGTGTCCCTAAACATGGGTCTCGGCGCTCGCTATTGCGTGACGTATTTACGCTGAAGTTTGGGAATTGCGCAGAAAGTGAAGGGATTGTTGCTGACTCCTTGTTTATCCTGCAGGTGTATCCGTCTACTAGAGAGGAAATGCAGAGGGCGAAACGACCAGGGCGAATGATGCCGTCTGACGTTGGCGTGGGAGCTATGCGCATTCAACGTCCAGTAAATGTGAGGTTTGGAACGACCGCAGGCCTTCACCATTTTGTCCGATTTACTTAATTCTGGTACGTTTGTACAGCCTGTGCCGTCGCTAGTATTCCCGTTGCTGCGCAGGCTCGCGTGATGAGCGGAACTGCTCAAGGACCGTACAACGGAGGATATGGGGCCGGACCGCAGGCATATGGAGCCATCGGGGGAGGTATGGCGCCCACCCAAGCATACGGTGGCATGGATGGTATGGGCGGTCCCCCGGGAAGCTATGCTGGCTATGGTGCACCTACCCACGACATGTACGGAGGATATGGGACCGCTGTCCAAGCCGCCTACGGCCAAACGTCTCCACAAGTTGCGCAGCCGGCGGCTGCACAGGAAGTAGGGCCCATTCCTGCTGGATGGAGCTATACTGTGTTGAGGCTCCGGGGGATGCCCTTCAATGCTAATGAGCAACATATTGTGGTATGTCACCAGCGAAGGCAGGTTTTTGGGTCGTTTCTAGGTAGGCGTAGTGAACTGTACTCCACTTTCCGTTGCTCGTGTATCATGTCGTTTGTCACTACGGCTTGTCCTTCCCCTGCTTGTCAGCAATTTTTCCAAGGTTTCCACATGACGGCAATCCTCCCGTCTACCATTCCCATAGATGGCCGGCCGTCTGGAGAGGCTTATGTTCAGTTTTCTGATGTTAATGAGACCTGGAGAGCCTTACAAACGAGGAACGGTGCTCGTATGGACAGGCGATATATTGAGCTTTTCCCCGCAAGCAAGCAGGAAATGACGTTTGCAGCACAAGGAGGCGACCCGAGAGGTGGGTCCGGTCACTCAGCTTACAACAGGTCACGATTCTTGTACTAGTACATTGAATGCCTACACTGTGACTGCTGTTTGCGTTCGCATGCCTTCGATGCTGTTTGGTGTGCCTTCTGTTTCTTGGCTTTTGTTGCTGCAGCTTTTAGGGAGAGGGACAGGGCTTTTTGACTTTAAGCATCATGTTAACCATGTTTTCTCTCAACGGGAAGTAGTGCGGGATTCACCGGAACGTATTTCTGTTGCAATCACTGGAAGGGTAGCCCTGTGGATAGCAATACGAACTGTTGGCTTGGTGAGGTTTTCAACGTTCAAGCAGCTCTCCGGAAGCTTCTCTTCACGAATAGCTTGGAGCAGGCGAACTGGGCCACAACTGTCGATGCTTACGGCCTCCTCACCAAGCCTCGGATTTAGTTTTTTCCCTGGCAGATGCAGAGGCGCATGTGCTAGCTGGTGCATTTGCGGTTGCTTAAGTGGCGTCAAGAGGTACTTCGACATGCAGGCTTCTCTGAAAAACTCAGAATGTTGGTTGAGGTTGACGTTCGCTAAGATTTGAGCAGGCAACAGATGATATTTGGCTGCGCTCGTTTTGACTTCGAATTTCTGGCTGAGTTCTTCTCGCTTCCGTCAATATCAGCGCGTTGAAAAAACCATTTTCCGTTCGTAGATTACATTTGTGTAGGGCCACGTGATGCAAGAAACCGCGCTGTTTCGCCTTTTCAGCGGGCTCAGTAGCGTCAGCGGCTGATCGTGCGGCGCTACTTTAGGGATTCGTCGGGTGGACGACGAGTAACTGCGCACTTTTCTTTTGAAGAAGCGGCTGAGTGCGAAAGCTGTTCTGGGTTACGACCTTCGCACAATCCTCTGTCTGCAGATATATTGGGCACTGAACTGTAGGAAGGTCGCACCCTAACCAAAGGGTCCTGCAGAGGCTACGCCAGCAGTCCTACACCGTCAGTTCACAGTGATTATTTTCTCAAAACGAAGGGTCGGAGTTGAAAGTGACACAGAGGTCCACCAAGGCCACATTAGCTCAGACGGAAACGACCCACCAAGGCAGTTGCTACAATAGCATCTACACTACATACGGGTCCGTGTAGCGTTGTAGTATTCATTAAGCTCAAGTACTGTCATCGGTACAGCTACCCATGCAAAACTGTGGGGCATGGTGGCGGTCTCTGGGAGCTGCGGACCTAGAGAGCTCGCACCAGCTGTTCAGCAAAACGACCTGCAACAATAGGGTTTTTTGCCTGGTCGCAGTTTTTCAATCATTTTTTGTAGGGTCTCCTAAATCGTTTAAAGTGCGGATGCTGTGCTCATAAGAGTTGCAGACAGCAGGCGTACTAAATTCCCAACACCGGGAGATAGCAAAGAGCGATGGTGTTCAAACTGGGCTTCTGCTGTGGAGCTTTCGCAGGTATGTGAAGTCCTCATTAGCACGGCAACATCACGTGCAAAGATATACAGAAGTGCTCGCAATGCATGCATCTCTAAAGAATTCTTTCAGAATTGGAACTCCAAAATTTGTCTGCAAGGCAGTTGGCGGGGAAATGCAAAGGGGAGCTGCGTGGGAAACCGTAGCGTGCCTCCGAAATGAATTAGCGTGCAGAAGGCACGGGCCAGTGTTGTGGAACGTCTTGCTTGACGGAGATAGTACTGAGGTTTCTTTAAATATCGCGAAACGAGGGCTAGTTTCATACGGAGTGACAACATATAGAGCTATACAGATTGTGTTCCTCCAACCGTTTTTCGCTACAGAAGTGCGTTCCGTAGATACTGTAATTTATTTTTCTGTGGCTCATAGGGGTGCATCATTTACCTCCCGCCCACGGTTCCGCTTGTGTGGTCCCTTCGTCCCGTCAGAATGCAGGAACAGCAAAATATGTGGTTACTTGCACCCTACTGCCCATCTAAAAAGCAGGAAATCGACATGAAGTCGACATGATCTTTAGCCATCTATTCGAGTTTCAGCACGCTTGCGTCCAATAGCAATGGCAAACCATTGCTTTGGGATGCTGCATATGCGCGCCTGTGGGAACACGACAGGAACAACGTCATATGACGTAAGGCTCTGGACCTCCGTGGTCATAACCACACATTTCGTGAGATGTTTTGGCTAACTATGAATGAAATGCTAGTGTTACAGGGGTTAGATGCAACATATGGGTAACTAGCACCGTTTTGTTTAACTCCCCCAACCAGTTATTCCGCTATTGCTCTACGCAGACCTTGTGTGTGTTATCTCTGAGGTAGAAATTCAGAAGGCACTCTTCGTCACTCCGCCACATACGAAAGTGTGTAATTCGGCATTGACTGCTTTGGCTTAAGTGGAAATATATACATAAGATGCAGGACTAGCATAAGGCTAAGCAAGGTGCCCTGCAAAGAAATATGAATACGGACCCCAGCAGTACTATACCAAATAACGTTTCACGTTTACTTGCCATGCTTTCGTAGCATTAATTTCTGTTGGTTACATGCATGCACCTGAAATAATGCATAGGCATGGCTTCATTTTGGAAGATTCCTTGAAGGCACACTTTTGGGTAGGTAAGTTATGCGTTGAAGGTCGGATTACTAAGCGGCAGCCCAAAAGTCTGAAAATGTGGAGCCAGCAACAAAACGAATGTTCTGCATAATAGATTTTTCATGCAGGTGGCAACGTACCAAACCGTCATTCCGCCTTGTTGCCCACCGTAGAACATCCTATGTCGTCTTGATGCTATGCAACGTGGTTTGGCGTGGCTACAGAACAGCTAGAATAATGAAGCTTTAACTGAAATGTAAGCCCGCTATGGTTGGAATGGAACTGATGTAAATGCCAGAGCGTTTACATGTGCTGTGGCTTTTCAAAAAATTTGCGAACGCAACCAGGAGTCAACCCATGTGAACGTAACAGTTGCAAAACGTAGGCTTCCAAGTTATTCTGTTCAAAAAGGCTAGGAAACGCATGCCTTCGCACCAAACGGTGAATGCGTTCCTGCAATCAGCCCTGGATATCGGCTTCCGATCAAACAGCATGGCCACAAATGTTCCCCCACATTTCCCCGCACGTCTTAATGCGGAAAGCAGGTCACCCTTCAATGGGAAACAACTGCTTGATTGTATCACCGCCTGATATCAAACTTGTTCAATGGTACCAGCTTAAGGACACCGGACGACGCCCGCCCATCACTGGCGGAAATAGTCAGAACCAATGAGTTAATCACACAAAATTCTGTCAAGGAGCCCCTGCATTTATGCGAAATGTGTTGTATAATATCATTGTTCATCATCAGATCCGTTGTCTTGTCCGTTGTCTTGTCCTCGCCACACGGACCACGTTTTAGTAAGAAAGCATTTCGGAGAGGATCTCATACAGAACAGTTGGTTCTCTATTTCCATGACTTCTTGGAATGTGGGAGCACCTCCAAGCTTGTACAACTCCAGGGCTCTGCTCAGTCGCTTCGCCAATTTGTACTGGAATCCGTACTTGCCTTCAAGCCCGCACCGAGGCTTGTGCGAATACGTCGTTGGCACTTTTCTAAGCATCAACGCCCATGATTCTTTCAGCTGTGGGACATCCCCCAACACTTGCAATACTTTATAGAACGCATTGAACGCCAAGAAGCGACGCCCCAGGGATTCAACGGCTGCAGAAGGCTTCGTATTATCAACAGGGACCGTCATAGACATAAGAACGCGAGAGGCCAACTTTTGGGCAGCATTAAACATTTGATTAGCTGCTGATATGCCGAGGACCGACCGCTTACACAGGCGTTTAATAGCCATAAGATAGAAGATCAAAGGTCCACATCTATCCGGATCATAGTACAACCTCACTTTCATATCTTCCGGCCGTATATCTGGGTGCAGTTTGGGCAGCTGCACCTGACCGTTCCCGTCTTCGGTGCATGCCTCTTCTGAAGGCTGTACTTCTGCATCTGTAGGGTCCCTATTCTCATTTGACTTGCTGACAGTCGCTGTCCTGGCACTTTTAGGGCCCCTCTTATCATTTGAATTGCTGACAGTGTCTGTCCTGGCATGTGACTTCATCAGCAACTTCTGTCTCAGTAAGAGCTTTGTTTGCTGTGACCTCTCGCTCCAGGTGCCTTGGTTCTCTCCCCCTGCATCACTCACTTGGGAGTGGCCTAAACTAGATCCATCCGTCTCGGATGAACTTGTAGAGAGCCCTGAAGATGGTAATTGTGCTGAAACCTCATCAACTCTCTGTGGCGAAACACCGAAATTGTCCAGGCCTTGATCAACATCCAACGGATAGTACTGACGCTGTGAAGCTTGGGAGGACTGTGGCACGGCATCCATCTCCTGTAAGGTTTGGCCCCACACATGCTGGGTTGTCAAGCCTGGAAGAGGATTAAAGAGAGAAGGTAGAAACGGAATATCTGGTGGAAATAAATTGGGAGGGAGCTCGCCAGGCTGAACAACCTGTGGATAGTTCTGCCCAAGGCTACGATCAGAAGCGGAACCTGTTCCTGCAGGTGCATCAACCATCCAGCTTGAACCAGGAATAGCCGGAGCAGGAGCATTTTGTGGTCCTTCGTCTCCACTCATTCCGAAAGTGTTTTCTTGAGCGGACTGTTGGAGTACCGGCACGATACCCGGGTCGCGCAAAGAGTTGTCTCGCCCTTGCACTTCCGAGCTCGAGACCACCCCTATCACCGATTGCGAGGAGCCTGCAGTATCTTGGGAAGATTGTGGATGGGTCCACTCACCTATTTGAGTGCAAAGCGATGCAAGCATATCAGCATCCAAACTGATCCACTCTTCTTCATCAAATAATGGGTTTCTCCCTAATGGAGACCCATGCCCTTCATTACCAGCTGCAAGCCGCCTCCCCGCAGCCCCTTCATTAATCTTTTTAGAGAGGATGCAATGGGAAAACAACACAGACATTCCTACAACGCAAGCTGCAACAAACCAAAAAGTGAGGGAAACGGCCTTTGGTCGCATCCATCGGGATGCTGACTTCACCTCCCGCGTGGTCGTCACTTGTGGATCAGATCCAATTATGTCGGGCACATCTGCTGAGTTTCTATGCCCATCACGACGCTCGCACGGTTCTAGGCTGGTGTGAGATGTCACGAGCGGCAACTCGGGCCCTCCAGCAGGAGACTGCCCCGCCATTTCCAGCTCAGACAGCTATCCCAAAGTAACCGTTGCTTACTTAATGAATCTGTTCCAAAAAGGCAAAAGGAAGCCAAGTTATGCAGCATAGTGTGATTGAGCACCTCTGGATTGAGCATCGCTTCATGGCAGTGGGCGCCTTCCTAGAAGCAACCGAATAAATGAAATTAGAAGCTCCAAAACCACTTACTCAGTGTAATAACAACGACTATTCACTGTGGTTCGCTTACACGATTTCTTCGATCTGCACGGGACCCGTGCTGCCGAAGACTGCACTTGACGGTCGCTCCCTCCAGGGAGCTGCAAATTTTGTGGCTGAGACTTCATCTCTGAATCGCTCTCTTCATGCGGAAAAATTTATTATTATATTTCTTGTACATTTTGCTCCAATGGCAGAATTCCTAGTTTACTGAGCACCCTTTCCCAACTGTTAGTGTCGATTGCCGCTCTTCAGTAGCTTCTCCCGTTAATGTTGAGCGTTGACAGCAATCAGCACACTTTCTGATATTTTGTGTGACGGAAGGTGTAAGACTCTTGAGACTTAAGCCCTTTCAGATCCTCCCCTGTTACTTTTCCATTCCCATGGCCTGTACAATATATGGTGGGCGAAGGAATGCTCATTCTGTGAAATACAGCGGGAGGTGCGGGACTGACAGCTCCGATCCATCCATGACCTTTTTAGCACCCTCCAACGCTTAATAATGCAGACAAGCTTATATATTTCTACTAATAGGGAGAGTATCCCATTTGAGCTCAGCTGCTGCACTAGCAGCTGGGACGACCAGGGTTAGGAGAATAAGCTCTCCCGGTACACCTTGCCAGGTAAACAGCAGCAGCAGCAGCAGCAACTGTATAAGAGTCGGTGTGGGAGAATAACGCCAGCAGTTCAAATATCAGTACTAGGGAGAGTGATATTCCTTATTTTCGAATAGGAGCACCAGTTTAGTGGAACCTACAACTATAAAAGCATTTGTTGCCCGATTCTGCCCTAATGAGCGGTTACTGGTTGCCTCACTGACTCTGATACAGGAGATGTGCGAGCATTTCATCTGTTTGGGAACCCGACAGTCCGAGCCATGTTTGGCAAACGCAGAAGTTGGGAAAAACAATTCATGTTTATCCACATAGCTACCCCACACCATCATATGGGTGGGGGAGGAGACTTCCTCCAGCGGCCACTACTGCTAGCAGCGCCGCCCACGCAGAGCTATACGTTTGAGAGTCAGCTGCCCAGTAGAGCCGAATTCGTTTGACCATATCTTAGTGTTGGCATTGAATACCAGGATAGTATATTCTTCAGCCCATGCTTCATGGGCCACTGCCTTGCCTTGGTACAACTCGGAGCCCATAGAGACCTAGACTATCATCCCCTTCGGCCTCCATGTCGGTCACCAAGCGCCCTGCGAATCTGTTAGCCTTTCTTCAGTAATGGCGACAAGGAAGAGACACCTATCGCCGCCGGTAGCCGGTAGCCAGTGCTGGCGGACCCCCGACAGTGCCCACCAAAATGCTTCCTCCAACACAAGAATAACACAGTTCATTTTATGCGAGCAGTTAGAGCTTCGCCGTTTTCCGTGTATTGTCGTGAAGTGTGAAATACGTAGTAATATCAGGTTATTAAAACCGATACAAATTCTTCTTATTTTTCATTCCTTTTTTATTGGAGGCTACTTCGTGGCATGTACCAGGGGCTTTTATCGAGTTTCGGGCTAGTTGGATGTATCGCCAGTTACGAGCAAAAATGCCACGCGTACCACGGGGGATGACACAGAGCACCCCACAGTGGCCATCGCCTATTTTTCCTTGAATTTTGAAACTCAAATGCGCCACTGCAAACGCAGGTTAGCACATATTCTACCGTGTCGTGGCCAGCCCCATACGTATCTGCCAATTGTGTAACTCACTGCTGAGCTTAAAACAATCACAATGAGGGGCAGACGCCAGTTCACGCGTTCACAGGTGGCCCAGCAAGGGTGCCGAGTCTGCTGGCAACGGCCACTACAACAAAAAAATACAACAGTCAATAAATGGGCAGTACCAATGGAAATAACTACAAACAACTCTTGTGATTTCAGCCTTCATATCTGTTACCCCCACGGTGGGCCTGTGCGACAGCTACTCGTCTGTGCCTTGGCATCAAGTCCAAGTTCCGTGTCTACAGTTCTGAAGTCCCTAAACAACATGAGATAGTTGAAATTCGCGCGACGGATTGGACCACTTCAAATAAAAGCAGTAGCTGAAATGGGGAAGCCAAGAATTATAGGGGTAAGGTTCTGGTCGGTTGCAAGCCTTTTCTGCATCGGTTGCATTACCATACAGCAGCAGCAGCAACTGTTGTTGCTACAGCTGCAAGGCACCTCCAACACACTGGATTGCCTTCATTCCACCAAAAGCTTCAAAAAAATACCTACCAGGATTTTGTTTGCCGTTGTTCTGCAGATCCACTCGATTATGGCGTTGCAAGATTTGGTCTACACTCGCTGAAGTGAGTCTACACAAGCCAGTAAGAGTCATGTTGCGTCCTAATAGGCTGAGTCAACTGTTCTGTGCGGCAGAGTGACAAATTCAACCATTTCATTGAAGGGAAATTACAGTCCTTAGTCCTTATGCTGCTCGTCATCTTCTCTCCATTGATTCCAAGACTCTCGAAGAAAACAAGTGGGAGAGAATTCATGGCAGAACAACTTGCGCTTGAGGTCAAGGATTTTTTTTTCGGAAGGCTGAGACCCACTCTTGTACACTTCCAGCGCGTCGCTCAGCTGCTCCGCCAACTGATGGTGGAATTTATGCTTGGCATTAGTCATTCCACGAGGGGCACGGTCATACACGGTTGGAACTTTATCAACAAGGTCCGCCCATAATTTCTTCAACGCATACTTTTTGCCTTTCATGAGCTTGAAAGCTGGATAAACAGCATTGAAAACCAAAAAGCGACGTCCTAAAGCTGCTACGGCAATTGATGCCCGTAGGTCAACTGGCGTAGTCATGGACGACAGAGCCCGCTGGGCTAGGGTAATGGAGGCATGAATCAGCTCATTTGCATCCTCATGGTTGAGGGCCGGCTTCAGACACAAGCGTCTGATCGTCCGAAGGACGTGGGCTATGGGTTCGTCTGCTATCCAAGCTTGGGGGACCTTCACTTCGATGTCTTCAATTTTCACATTCGGCATAAAAACAGGTTGTCGAACAAAAGGATGCTTATGTACTACCGGCAATAATAACTTCGTGAGCGCTTTTGATGCTAAGGATTTGCCAGAGGTTTGTGAAGAATGTCCCTGTTTGCCGAAAGGATCACTTCGAAGTAAAGGCACCAGCACGCTCTGGGACACTGAAGCTTGTTTACAATCCCCGAAGCAATACAGTGTCCCTTTAGGAGCAGAAGAGGAATCAGGACGGGTAGTTGGAGACGAATGTTCTCCTTCCTGGTCCACAATACGCGTTTGCTGAACAGCTCTGAGGTCCACCAATGGAGTTCCTAACCCTTCCTGATGAACAATAAGGGTATGTACATTTGAAAGCAGTCCAACGTTGGAATTCGTCAGGCGGATGCCTGATGTTTGTTGAGCACCCCCTGTCAGTCCTTGCAGCGTCCTGCCCTCGGTCAAGGCACCTGTCTCTGAGGAGAGGTGGTGCGAGAGCCTACCAACCTTATTAGGACTCTCTCCCAATATGTCATAACCTCCCTGCCGAGTACGCTTGCCTTTATGCTGTTTGGATATGGCCTCATGGGGCTGTTGCTCATTTCGGAGCACCCCAGAGAATTCGCTGGGCTCTTTTGAGGTTGAAGGCACTTCTGGCATACCAACTGAAGGGCTTAGATAACTATGAGGGACAAATCCAGGTGCCCAATCCCCCACTTGGGCACACAGATTCGCGAGCTCATCCGCATTGAGGGGAATCCAGTCGTCTTCAGAGAAATGCGGGTTTGTCGGCGAACTGGAGTCTTTAGAACCACTATTACCTGCGAGTCTCCGCTGCTCTGCACCCCTATGGATCTTTCGTGCACTGCCACACAGTGAAACAAATAGCAGGGACACTCCCACAAGCACAGCTAAAATGACCCACGATGAAGCCACGGTGAACTTGACCCGCTTTAGATGCCGCCCCGTTGGTATATCACCACTTCTGCCAGTGAATCGCCTGGACGCGCCGATATTGAGCTGTTCCGGTGCTGCTGTATTGCCCGGAAAGGATCTCCAGAGCTCAACGCTACCCCGAGTCTCCAAGGACGGCAACTCGTGCAACGGAATGAGGGCCAAGTCCATCCTTTTTGGAGAAGGAAAGACATGCAGCAAAATGAGTGTCTTCTGAGTGCAACTGCTCAGATGAGTTCAAATGCATCAGGCCTCGAGCCTTCCTAGCGTGTTTCGGAGTCGCATGGTCTCCAGATGATGATGATGATGATGAGAATAATAATAACAATGCCTAAAGAAACTGAGTGTGAAGACGTTTGCACGTTAAAATACAATTATTCGGAGGTAAAACAAAACGTCCGCACTCAAAGAACCTTCTTCAACAGTTCTGAAGTTCGTCGATCCTAGAGCGCTTGCCTGTTGCCTCGCACAGACGGCGCTCCCCTCAGTTTACCGAACAAGACACAAGAAAACCGCAGGCGTTGAGCCCCACCCTGCGCTTTACAAAGCTTTCCCATTGCCTATCATTATGCCAAAAATTCTAGCATAGGGCCTAGTACCCAAATGCTCGATGGTCGCTACCCCACAGTTCGTCACCAGGGTGTTGCAATACCGAGCCGCGGATTGTCCGCAGGATGGATCTACCTCTTGGGTCACTTCCTGTATGCTCTGCCCCCTCAATCTTAAGGTACCAACTCTAAAGTGCCTTTAACAGGGCTTTAAAAATTGTCAACTCAAGCTTGTCAACGTCTGCGTTGAAAACGCCGAGGGATCCCACCGCCGCTGTCACCGCAGTGCACGGCTGCTCCTACTTTAGGTGCACCGTCTATTAACCGATAGAAAACTGATGTCTTCTAATGGCAAACTACTTCAACGTTTAAGCAGATATACAGACAATGTAGATGTTCCATTATCTTGCATACGCAGGGCTACCGACCAACCAGCAGTGACGTCTCTCTTTAGGGGAGCGCCCTCTTGAAAAAGCTCCTTTTTCCTGCCCTGCCTCAGAGAACACACACACTCCCCAAACGCTAGCTTACTTTACTTCATGCCTGTACTTAATAGGTTTCAAGGTAACTCCCAATGTCGGTACTTGCCTCCCTGTCCCTCAAAGCGCGACACCCCATGCACACACCTGACAGTCTGCCCCACCCACGTAACAGCGATGCAGCCGAGCGCACGGTAGAGTGCCAATCGATCAATCACTGCAAAGCAAAGCTGCAGCAAACAGCCTTGCAACATAATAATACCTCCACTACTCCCCCTCATCTGGACCTCAACATTCCCTCAACTGGAAAGTTGTTCACACGCCCGCACTCGTGTCATTCTCGGCAACGGACCTGCCCACACCGGTACAAACCGCTCCAAACACAAAATCCCACTTATTTTCAAGACTTAAGCGATAGAGTCAAAGCTGAAGCACCCAAAAATTGCGTAGGAATCAATCTTCAGGTGCACATCCCATCGTGGATGTGCGGCAAGTTTGGTTAGGTTGCAAAAGCACCTCACTGGATAGACTCATGGAGGCTTAGCGGGTGCCTGTCCGCTCCTTCCCACGGTCTACTTCGTCTACTGATTTTTTTTGATAGTGGTGAAATGCTGCCAACACATCCACAATTTTCTAGGAATACCGGAAGAAATTCCCATGAACGAGGAAGGGAAAACTAACCAGCGCCGTTTGTTGCAAATGCCTCTTCTATCTCAAGCTCAGTGTCGACAGTGCAAATCTCCTGTCCTCAGAAGTTGCTGCAAGCTCCAACTCCTGGTACATGGATGAAAAGAACGGCTTAATTTAGAACTGCTCAGAGCCGTTGCGTTCTGCTACTTTTGTGGCTGTAAAGGCAGGCACGTTTTCCTCCATGAGCACGCTCTTCTGCCAAATCGTTCTGCCCTGGTAGTACATCCGCACACGCCTGGATAGCGTTCGTACTTAGACCTGACTCATTTCTCAGAGCCCCTGTCTGGGAAAAGAATGCAGCTGGATGTTATTTGCAACACTCCTTGCCGAAAAGACTGCACAGCAACCAGATATGCTCAGATATCAAAGTGTACCTTAAGATGCATGCCCTAACACTGCACACACTTTGCACGGTCAAACAACGAACTCACTAGTTAAAGCCTTGTTTGGCCTTCAGCTACTACAAAACAGGCACACCCTACTGACGGACGGGGCTACAACGCCATTCACTAGGTTCCAGGAGAATGCATGACCTACGCAGAATCCTTATGCATCCTCCCATGCGACGGGAAGTAAGCAATCTCTGTTTGCACCGTGCTGCCCACAGACAGTTGGCCTGCAATACTATTCTGGCTAGACATTCAAACAACGGACTACTGTGCCTGAAGTTGTGACTTGAAACACCAGTCGTCTGTATTTAAAGATCTAATGAATTGCTAGCTTCTAATGCCAGTCTGGCCTGCAGCGTTCACCGCGGCCGTCTGCGATAGACGACTCAAAATTGAAGCAAAAAAAAAATCCAAAAAGGCGGATTTCCTGACTTTGTTGGCACAACAGTCAGGACAGAATTAGGTGTAAAGGAAGTGGTCCATCTTGACCACCATCCCACCCCACCCCAACAGCGCATAGCAGTGAAAGCCTGCCGTTAGTTTTGCTTGTGATATTTGTCGGGCTGTGTACTGCTGCTGCGCTTCAGGCCATTTCGCACTGCTCCTCAAGCACCTTGTCTTCCTGCAGTGCCGCAGACGCACGCATCCAAACAGCACAGGCCTATCGCTGAACTAGCATCCCTGTAATGACGGAAAAAATATCTGCATCAAGGAAACGCGAACACACCTCCATGGATACTGACGTTGACTCGCCGCGTCGCCGTTTCTTTTCTAGCTGAAAAAACACGAATACGCAGAAAGCCGGGTACAGGGTTTAGGTTCTAGCATCAGCATGGTAGAGGATTTCACAATCACAGCAAAATGCTGCTGCAGGGGATGCCAGCAGCGAACCGTAGGCGCAGGCAGAACGTCATACCTTGCGCTGCTTCTGCCGAAGAGCCACATGCTCCATCCTCTCAAAACCCTGCTCGCAATGCACCGTACACCTAACGTCAGACGGCCTAACTTATGTTCTTAATCTACGCACCTAAGCTCACAACCGTGCCGAGCAGTGTCTGAACTGTGAGCCCGCCGCCTCACCCCTTCTTGAGCACGCTCTTGTTCCCTCTGTCGTTTAGTGGCTACAATGTCCCTGAACATGAGCCGCTGCGGAAACCTCAACCACAGCATCTGTACAGGGGTAATTCCGTCCGCTAACTCTCTCGACGAAGCTCAGATGCTGGAAGGTGCGATAAAACAGTTGCGGATGCCAAGCAACACCTTCGTTTTGTGCCCTTTTATCCTACTACACGGGATATTGTTCAGTCTCGCAGGGGAAACGGGATACGCACAGCGCTCAACAGTCAATAAGTGTCTTTCGTGGGGCAAATACGACCGGAATGTGGCATATGCTACTCCAGAATCTGCAGCAACAACCTACCATAGCGCCATGCACTGAAAAAGAAGTGTGGGAAACCTCAGGTACGCCATCCGCCTGCTGGCTTGCGGCTGCTGTTGCTGTCTCTTCTGGCGAAAGTCCAAGTGAGACCAGCTGCTTATCCAGAAGTTCCTGATGCAGTGCAACGACGGCCTCGTCCTCCACCCCATTGACACTTAGAAGGCGAACGGGCTCCTACATGCGCAGCGCCAAAAGGAGAGGCTGACGAGGTCTCAGTAGGAGAAAGCGAGAAAAAGGTGAGGCAAGCGATGGAACATTGTAAAGCCACACCGTCAAATGCAGTTGTAGCTTGTGATGAGGAAGAAGATCCGTCAACGGAAATGCAACCAGAATACAGGGAAGATAGCTGGTGCCGCAAATGCAACTAACTACCTCTTTGAAGCGCGAAGGCAAAGAATAGTACGGCACGCGGCCCTCCTGCCATTCCTGCAGAAGCATCTTCGCAGCGGCCTGAAGATCTGGCATTCCGCCCTTGAGAAGCTTGCCTCTTCGTTGTGCGAGCGCCTGAAGCGCTTCCCTTGGGGTCGTGAAGGAGGGGAGCTGGTATAGGCGCTGCAGTGCACTGACGCTTGAAATTGCGATTAGGGCCTCAGCAACGGCCTCTGGCTCCGGAATTTGAGGGACTGGTAGAAGCGACTGCAGCAACAGGGAAGCAGATGCCACTAGCGGTTTCTCCTGCTGCTTCTCTGGCTGTTGATATTGCTGCTGCTGCATGGCTATCAAGGAGAGAGGGTGCGGCAGGATTCTCGCAGTGTCCTCCTCTTTAGCTGGTGGAGCAAAGAGGACTCCAGGAGAATCAATGAGTTGCGTATGAGAATCAAGTTTTACGAATTTCAACTGGCGAGTGCTACCCGGAAGCGCAGCAACTCCAGCTGAGGACACACTGCGCGTCAGAGCGTTCACCACAGAGCTTTTTCCCACATTGGGATATCCTACAACACCAACTGTCATGAATGCCTTGATGTGCCTGCTTCTGCCGTTGCTGCTGCCGCTCGAGGGCTGGTTCGATTTCGTCGGGTTCGTGTTGTTCCCTTCAACGGCCATTGTGTCTCCTGCTGCAGTTGCTGTCGTTGCCGTTTCTGCAGCATTGCCCGTTCGGGAAGGCCTTGCCGCTGCGTGAGCAATAGAAGACAGAAGCCTCAGCAGTGGCTGCACTCCAAGTGCTTGTGAGCTGCTCCTGCAAGTCCAACGTACAACCAAACCACTAAACTCTAACCTACGGGTACAAATTCCTCGCAGAGGGGAGCACGTAGCAGTTATCTGTCATATCGGTTTCAAATTGTGTATCTGCCTTTGGTGGCATAGTTTGGTGGCAAAATCATTCATTTTACTGAGCACGGTAGACGCAAGCACTGGTCGGCTATCCGTAGAAGCACTATTAGCCTGCCTTTCACGTATACGCCGTCCCCGTAAGACTCCAAGCATCAGTTTCTTTACAGTTACCTTTTAAGTTTATCAGAGGCGCGAAGAGGATCCGCTGCACACCACCTGCCTGTCCGCTTCCCTGCAGTGCTGCTAGTGCTGCTGCTGCATTTGAAAGCCAACACGGGGAACATGGAACTGCGTCGCAGCTGGTGCAGCCAAGCTGCAAGAGCGGGAGCTGGTAGCAAATCCACCTTGTTCAACAGAAGAATGACCTTTTTGCCCTCCCTGGATGGACGCATAAACAAGAACACGGAGAACACTGAGAAAACATAAACCGTGTATTGAGTACCAGCTCCGTATGCCCGCATAGACCAAAGAGTGGCAGGACTGAACACCACATCCTACCTAAGGGCCCATCTCTCTAGACCGGCGCATCGAAATGCCAGGGGCAATCTTGCGTCGAGGACGTGTATGATGATATCTGAAGCTGCAAGCAGCTGCCGGAGCTGCTGCTGCTGCTGCCGGTGCAGAGCAGCAACATGTTGTTGCTTGCTATTGCTGTTCAGCGACAAGGACGATTCAATCGACTGCAACGCTAGATCAGCTTCTGTAAAAACACCCACAAACAAGCCATACAATCTGCACCCCAATTATACATCGTTGCTGCTCAGGCGTTCCTTTTGGCGCTGCGTGCGTTTTCGATTCAGCCACAAGGCGGACCAGAGGGGCCTGCAGCAGCTGCTGCTTCAAACGCCATCGTAGCTGATTCTGCCTTGTCGGCAAGGTCTTTCATTGCCTTAGCATCTGAGAATCCATCAGCTTGCAGTGCTACATCTGCTGCTGCTGCCTCCTCTTCTTGCTTCTTCTGCTGCTGCAGTCTTTCCTCTCGCTCCCGCAGCAACCGCTCCTCCCTCTCCTGCTTGCGCCGCAGGAGATTAGAGATAATGTCGGCCTTAAATGGACAAGAGTTTGGAATAGGGGGATCTATCCGCAGCTCTGCACAGAGTGAAACAAAGCAGATACGGGTGGTAGCAGCAGCGAGTTCAGATGCAAGAAGCACTGAGCTGTGCTGCAAGAAAGTGCGGCAGCAGCGACTACAGATGAATAAGCTCTGAGTCGTGCAGCAAGAAGGTGCCGCATCAGCTGAACCAGATGAGCGACCATATACACATGTAAATGGAAGACAGCACCAGCAGTAAACCCTTCCTTACTCCTACGAACAGGCCCTCCCTTAGTCTTCGCCTCCTTCCGCATTTTCCTCCGATGTTCCCGAACCTTCTTTTGTATCTGCATAAAAGCAACAATATACAGAGCCTCGGATGCGTCAAGTGAGCTAGGTAGTAGCGTTTTAACGGCTCCAGAGAGGCATAGCTGCGGAGAGGCTGAGCCTTACGTTGTACTTCTTTGACAGCTTTTGCCTCTTGGACTGTTCTGAAAAACCGCAAGGGAGCCACAACCTAAGCTACAGATCGTAAATCCACAACGGTAAACCCAGAACCTCAGAGCCGGGTGTCTGACAAACAGCCACACGAAAGAATCCAGGTTCCCGGCAAAATACACCTGTCCAGGGCTTCACCCTTCCGCCTTCGTTTTCGATAGTCTAATCTAGTACACGCATATACTGGTACAGACGAGAAAAAGGTTCTAGCTGTTAAAGCTTCAGTTTCAGGGTTTAATGGGCAGCTCACTCTTGACCTTTGCCATGGTCCAGGCAACAACACCAAACCTGAGGGGAGACCCTTTGGATGCAGCTGGTGACTGTAATATCCTAGTTCAAACTTTCGTCAATATAATAGCAAATTTACTAGAAAAAATTGTAAGCGGCTACTCTGGGGACCCAGCGCCCCACAGACTCGTGTAGTACCTACGGGGCCCCCGATGGGCACGCCAACCGAAATCATTTAGGTCTTCCTCATCTTGGGTGAAAATAAATTATTTGCGTATGTGTTGCCCAGTACAGCATTTGGATAAATGTAAGGGGAGATCTGAATGCCACCAACGGAGCAGTAGAAACGGGAAGAATGTAGGTTTTAGTTTTGGTTGACCTCGCTCGGCATATACGGTGGACAGTACGGCAAGGTTGGTCTTGCAACCAAGCTTCAGAGCAGCAATGTCGTCATGGGAAAAGTAGATAATCTTAGAGAGAAGGGGACAGCGCCTACCCTCTAAGTGGCAGGCACACAACCAATGTTGGTGTTGGTGGAGGGGCGACGCCATCGTACAAATGTTGGCCACCCTTGAGCAGCTCCCTGGAGAGGTTCGTTCGTTGCTGCAGAGGTGCTTTATGCCTGTCTGCATCTGGTTTTCTGTGTTTCTCCACCTCAACTGGAGCCTAGCGATTTCGCTGTACCCGTGCGCAGCCACCCCTGTGGCTACGTTTTTCACCCGCCTCCCCTGGAGCCCCTGTGTATGTCTAGCTCTGTCTCGACTTCGCGCGTCCCTACGTTTGGTTTGTGGCATAGTGGGCCTCCAAGGCTCGGTTCTCCGAATGTGCCATGAGCACAACGTAGTTCTTGAATGTGGTTTGTGCGATACTGGGCTACAGCAGCAGTCAAATAGGGCACAAAAAGCATGCCCTAATGCATAGCTAGTCTGGAAGACAACACCACTGCGTCATTTAGCCGGTACGTAGAGGCTACCGCACCTATGTAGGCGACCCTGCCAATGCAAATGCACCTGCAACGGCCGCAGTGGCAGTTCACAAGTTGTCGCTTGTCTGCCGATGAATGGCGTGCTGTTTCAAAATTTCAGGGAGCATCGCCTCGGCTTTGCCTCTGTGAAGCACCACCTGCAGTTTCTCCTCCAGGACAAACGTAACGAACTCATTTGGCTTCTGGTCCTGCCGCTGCTCATCCTGCTGCTGATCCTGCTGCTGTTGCTGTTGTGTCGTTTTGATTCCCAAGAGCTGCGCCAAATGGCGAAGATTCGTTACCTTCGCGCCATCCACGGTGGATAGGAGGCAATTACGCACGCTGTATCCACTAGTGAGGTCAGATGCCAGGATCTGCAGCAGCAGCAGGAGCACAAAATGGGGTTGCTTCTGAAAGCTGGCAACTAAGCCTTCGATGCACCCCCCTAACTGGTTTGAGGCCATAACTCCTAACCTGCGACAGCACTATGGGCTCCTCTCCCTCCACGGTAGCGAAGACCTCCGTCAGAGGCCGCAGTAGGGAGCTGGGCGCTCTTTCATGAAACTTTGGTCCAAATTCATCCTGTGGATAGTGAAGAGGCAGAAGATTGTATGAGGTGAATGCGTTTGCACTGATTACATACAAAGAGTCGAATAAAGAAACAATGGCAAGGCCTCGCTATCGCACGAAGTGAAGGCTCATACAAATAATGTGCAACAAATGCCGCATGCTGCTGTGACCAGAAGAGGGAACGAAGGCAGTTGGCAACCCAAGAATATGTGGCTCTCATCAAGTTTTGTGCATGGAGGTGACGTGGGCACGAGCTGCAGAGAACCACCACTTCCTGCATTGCAAACGGCAGAGCTGCACCAAGAAACACGAGGCCTTTTCTTGCCTTTAAATACTCCAGGGTAAGCGGGCAGAACACCAAACCGCCGTAGACGATGTACCGAGCGGGGCGCCCCCACTGATGTTTGGGGATTAGGGAGCGCTCTGTCTCCAGCGGTACCTGCAAGAGAAAGCGTTCCCAACATCACCAGCCACCCCAACACATGTGCAGCAGAAGCAGATGCACCTTGGGAATGGATCCCTCACACGTGTACACCTCAGTAGCGCTGAAATGGCAAGACTACACCTATTTCTTCGACCCTGCACGCGCTAAGGACAAAAAGCTATTTATAACGTCACCACTTAAGGAGCAACCAGGAGCCTCGTACAAGCACACATTTAATACTTAGCACGCAATTAGTACTTGAACAGATCGCATTCTGGCGATAAATGAACCACTGAGACGTTGGTCTCTAATAGAGTCTACGCCCTCTAATGTTAGAGGAGTTTACGCCTGGGATCCCGGTCGAGGAAAGATGGTGACTCGGCAGAAGCCCAGTCTATTTTTGGAGAATTACCAGGACATTCTGCACTTTCCCGTCCCTAAGGACGGTTAGAGAAAGCGTCTCGCCCATGAACTTCTCCGAGATGACGTGGGAGACGCTAACGCGCTCCATGCCCCTGTACGCAGCCCCCCAAAACATGTATGACTAGAAACCCGTGAGCCAAGGCTCCGTAGCTACACCCTGCTGCACTAGTAGCTGGGGCTGCAGCAGGAGGCTGGGGGAGTCGTCCCACTGAAGAAATAGAAAACTGTGTGCCGTGCGCAGACGTACGAGGCCACGGGAGGTAGGGTCTTACCTGAAATGAACCGTACCGTCTCCAGCCACGTCAGCTCCATCAACTGCCATCACCACGTCCTCCGGTCGCAAACCGATCTTTTGTTCGAGCATCGCGTGCACTAGCGCCTTCCGCTCTGCAGCTGACGGCAATGGTTTGCCTGCAGCAGCGGCAGCAGTAGCTGTTCTGTCCACTGTTGCCAGTGCCTCTCGTGCAACAACGACGGGATCGGCCAGAGGACCACAATCGGGAAGAGCATCCTCCATACACGACGTCCCCGTTTCTGGACCTCCACAAACCTCCTGGGGTCGCACTGGTGCTGATGCTACTGCTGCTGGCTTTGCAGGTGCACCGGTCTCTGGCGCTGCCGAATTGACGTCTGCTGGAGCCGGTTCTGGTGCCACTTCCTCCTCTACGAGCTTCTCTGCAGCTGCCTTTGCTCGCGCAAGAAAGTTCCGAGATCTCAACGCATCGGCTGCCGTAACAAGGATTCCACTGGCAGTGACACCTGCAGAAGCAGCAGAAGCAGCAGCTCCGACAGCAACTATGATGGCATTCTCCAATGTTAAGCTAAGCGTTTTGCTGCTCCCGCGGAAGATACCAAAGTAAACGGCCTCCACGTATGGCCTATTACCAGGATTACCAGCAGCTGGGGCAGTTAGCGGCAGGGTCCATAGGGCATTGTTACCTTTTGGGAGATCCTCTGCCTTAAGCTTCGAGACGCCAAGCTTCTGTTGCATGCATTCGTTTTCCAGCTGTTGAAAGAGAACACCGGCAGCTGGGAAGCCAGTGTATCTGCGATGTCTACTGAGGTCTACGAACAAGTGACGCACGACGTTCCATGGCACAATGTAGCCCACGTTCTGCGCCGCCGAGGCGTCGCATCCTTGAAAAGCAACGCCCACCACGCGGCCGCCCTTCAGCGCTGGTCCCCCGCTATTGCCGGGGTTAATCGCCGCGTCGATTTGCACGCACAGTAGCCTGGAGACAAACACACCGCTGCAGCATGCAGCCGATGCTGCTGCTGCCCCCACTGCACCAGCAACCGACACTTCGCGCCACCGCAGCGGTCAGACATAAAAGGCACCCTCCGCAGCTGTATGAGAGTGGCCAGCAGCAAATGCAACAGCAGCGCTAGCCAGAAGCGCGGCACAACGGCGCTACGGAGCAACCCAGCATTTTGCGCATCAACACTCAATACCAAGTACAGACAAATATTGGCTTAGGGTTCAAGGTTTCATGTTTAGGGCCTTAAGGAATTACGCAGTATTGGAATGGGCATAGGTATTAACGTCCACTCTGCTGACAACCCCGGAAGTGATGCAGAGATTGTCTCCTCCACGCGGATAACCCAACACGATCACCCCGTCCTGCAAGGCAGGTATCTGCAGCATCAACGACAACAACAGCGTAAGGAGCTGCATCCAATGCGAGCAATGGTACTTATTCTATCAAAACGTCAGTGCACCAGTTGAGAAACAGACACCAGAAAAGCAACAGTCGCATCAGTATCATCATATGCGGCACCAACATCCGCGAGAGTAGAAAACACGGCAAAGGTGCCAGTAGCAATGAAAAGCAGCAGGATAAATAGTAGTTGCACCACCACACGGCTTTCTCTGGGGAGGCGTCTGCAGCAACAGCAACGGGATCCGCAACAGCAGCAGCCGCAGCCGACCTCCCCAAAGAGAAGACCTTGTGTATCTGCCCAGAAGTCGTCATTATCAACTGTAAGAACCGCCAGGTCGCACTCGTGAGCCACCGCAAGAACCCTTGCAGGAAACTTGATCGGCGACCTGAGGCGAACAATGACACAAGCTGCTTTCCACGGTGCAGCTGCTGCGGCCGCTGCTGATGCCGCTGTTTCCGCTGAAGCCCCCCCCATAAAAAAAAATGGAGCCATGAGGTCCAGAACAGACGAAACACAAATATAATGCCTAGACACTAAATGCGAGCCAGACACAATGCCGACAGCCACGTAGTCGTCAGACAGTGAGTCTGTTTGCCTGTTAGATCCAAAGAAGGAGAGGTGGGCACAACATTGCGTGGGAAACAATATGTGAGGTCACTGGGCATGTGAGGGGGTTGCAGCCGAATCTGCAGCAGCTGCTTGTGAACAAGAAGCAGCAGCCCAAGCCAACGCGACAAAAAGAATTCCAGATGCAACAACAGCTTCACATAAATCCTGACCCATGTTTTCTGACGTGCAGTCGGTTGTTCCAGGCCACACAGTGCGCATTGGTGAGGATGATGCGCTCGCCCCCTCCGGCAGAAGGATGGACAATGAAGCCGCTGCCAGTGCTGCTGCCTTGCCGCTGCATCTGCCATGGCAACGCATAGTTGGGGTCGGTGAAGTCGCTGTATACCTTCACCACAGAGGTACATAGGGAATTCAAATCCAGCGCGCCGCATTCCAAGTCATCGGCAACCCCATGGGCGGGCACCGCAGCACGCAATGGAGACCAATGCCCACATTCACTGTCCCTAGAGTTTGTGATGTTTCTTGTGCTGCCACTGCAGATGCTGCTGCTCATGCGTAAGCTTTTCGGAAGCAGTGAATTCCCGATGAAAGAGTTCAACCCACGGGCAGCTCCGCTAGCTGCAGCACCGGCAGCGTATCGGGGGCCTGACGCAGCAACAGCTGACAGCCGAGGAACTCCCTGCAGCAGGAAACAGCAAAGCAAGAAATACACTGAGAAACTGGCAAACCTTGGCGTGCAGGCAGCAACAGGAATGTCTAAGCAGCAACGGAAAATACAGCCAGTGCAACAGCAATAGCAGCACATTCCAAGTGGACCACAAACCTCAGTGTTCCGTGCTGTAATATGGAGTGGTGTCCCGGTTAACGTCCAGCAACGGGAATTGGTGGTCCGTTCCCACAGGAGTTTCTGCTTGTGCTGCTTTACGTGCTGGCGTAGCAGTATCTGATTTTGCAGCGCCTGCCGAAGCGGGTGGTGCTGCTGCGGCAACCGTGGTCGAATCCAGGAGGCCATTTGCTGCAGAAAACCCTCAGAAATGCGACTGGCTTTCATCTGCCTTGTACTGGTGATTCTGTCGATGCTGCTGCTGCTTGGGGTGCTTCTGAGTTTGCTGGCATCAGTCCACACTGCAGGCAACGGGAAACCGGTGCTGCTGCTGCTAGTGCCTTGGAGGAGAGAAAAATCCGGAAAAAACAGGGAGAGCAGCACGAAACAGGCCACAAAGTATGACGCAACGAACGAAGAGGGGCACATCAGAAGACCTTCTCTCTCTAGATTTTTCCTCCCTATCCTGGATCTGTGCGAAGGCTCCGGCCTTCAACAATCCAACCCTGAAAACCTCCAAATAAAATACACGAAGCCCACCCATAAAGACACACAGGGTAGTGTTTCTACGTAGAAGGCAAAAGTCACTGTTCAAGGGCCTCGGGGGGGGCCCTCGTCGGGCCCCACAGAGGAGCAAGAGCAACTTGCAGTCGGCAGCACCAGACAAAAACATATGTTGGTTCACTGAAGTTCTAAACAGCGTAGGAAAATGTAGCAATTGTTTCTTGATATGAAAGTTGGAGTTTTGCACAGAGAGCCTGGACCCCTGATATTGTGTACGGTTTCTGTGGACTGTGCGCGGCAGAAGTTGCGACTTCGTGTAGTTACCCTGAGAAGAAGTGTGGTGTTCAGGGCATTCGTTTCTTTTTTGCCTTTGGCTTGGTTTTAAGCTTTCGGTACCTCATGTGCTGGGCTCCTTCAGAGGTTACCTCTGGTTCCAAGTGACGTGGCACAGGGTAGTGAGAGCCTGTAACTGGTGCGGGTAAGTGGGGGTCTGTCACTAGTTGCAGCAATCCTTGCTGCAACCTGCTCAACTTGCTGTAACGCATGAAAGCATACGAATGCCTCCTTCCGATGCGTGCACTAGTACTGTCCACAGGAATTTTATGCGGAGTTGGCCCGCACTAGTGAACCTCCACGCCAGTGGAGGTTCACGTCACGCTACAATTTCCATTACTACAAGCATCAATTTTTTATCGCTCCGAAGGTTCAGTACTTTGCCTCCAGCTTAACCTGGTTGCCTGAGTGTCTGTCGTAGCACATTTCGCCTTACCAGCCTGCGCCGTTCATGCCCCTCCGAGTTTCGTACTTTATAAGTACTTCTGTAGGTGCTAGTTATAGAACCTATACAAAATCTGTTCACAGTCGCTTCTGAGCAATTGCCTACCTCTTCAAATTCCTCTCTTTCCCAGCTGTGTCCGATCAGTTCGCAACCGTCGTAGCCCTGCGCAACTGTGTCCATTGCTGGCGTTCTCATACTGTGGCATTCATAATGTGTTATCGTTCATGCATGCGAAGGAAAGTATTGCAGCTGAGTTTCGTGTATCATGTAGATCGCCTTGCAGGGCTCCCAGTGAACCTCCATAGCATTCATCCTCACTGTGCATGCTGCGAACTATTGAATTGTGTGCGGACGAGCATTTGATGCAGCCTGTTTACGGCAGTCGAGGCAGTGAAGCTTTTTTGTTTATTCGGTGCATTCCTTCATCGTGGCAGCACTGCACGAGACACTGCCCGTGGGCGCATTATATATTGGCAGCATCAGATAATTGGACTCAACATAAGGCTGCTTTAAAATCCTTAGCGGCCCCCGAAAAAGGGCATTTGCACTTTAGAACTGTGAGCTGTAGTTCGCTATCCCCTCACAGGACAGGCATCCATTGTCTATGGATGGACCAGTTCGCACTGTCAGGAGATTTCTACAAAATCTTGGACAAAACTGTTGGCGTTGCGTGCTTACAAAGAACACATCCGTGTGAATATAATAGGGCCTAATGCGCCTACGTATGTGCCAAGAATTTTTTCCACCCTGTCTTCCCTTCCAAACCGCTGAGTAGACGGTGTTTAAAGCGCTAGCTTCCACTGTTGGCCAGCTTTTGGCCAGTAGAGGTGGCAGTACAAAGAAGTAACAGCACTGTGAGTTGCAAGTATCTTGCAATCAATCCAATAGTAAACACCCCCTGTTCTGAGCGCGAATACCTCCCACAAAAAGTCACCCAATTCCGCATTCGCTTCTGGCATGCAGAAACTCTTATCCCTACAAAGCTGTCGAGCAATTTTGCCCGGCGTTGCAGGGCCTGAAAACGTATAGAAGAACCAATCATTCTGCCGACAGAATGCCCTAGTGTTGCAGCCCCAGTATGATTTGGTGGCAGTTCTCCAGCATCGACAGAAACTCTATCGACAGGTAGGAGAATGCTCTGGGTGCAGCACACAGAACAGCGCTAAAGCCTTTCCAATAGCAAGATCTTACCCAGATGCGCAGACAGCGCAAATATATCGCCAGGCACGCATCAGAGATGAAAGGACACACTAGCAACCACAACAACCATGCTCACCTGCGTGCAGCGGAATGCATGCAAAGACGTACAAAGGTTGGAGACCTGTGATGTGGCAAGTCAAAATCGCAAGCATAGTGGTAAGGGTAGGATCATGTACATGCATCCGCTCAAATCATATTCACAGACACCAGCAAATTCGCGAACAAGCATAAGCACAGAGAAGCGGATACATATTCATCCAACTGACAAGCTGACGCTTAGATGCATTGCAGTCGCCACCCCATTCTAGCCCGAAAGCGGAAATCCGAAGACCAACACAAATGCTGTATTTGCAACGGTGGGTACCGTGATCAAGAAGAAATATAAAACAACAGGAGGTGCTGTTGCTGTTGTTGCTCTTGTTGACAGCGTCATTGCCATTGACTTCGTTTCGTTGCCACTGCCCTTGTAGACGGCGTGGTTGCCTGTTGAAAGGACCGTTTTGGTACAGCGAAGAGGTGACGGCAGTGCCCAAATTCTCATCTTCGCTGCCCCATTCCCCACCCTGTCCACAGTTTTGTTGCCTTCCTGCACCGGCGCACCATTTGCTACTGGCAGACTGGAAGCGCTGCTGCTGATGCGGCTCAGCGCAAAACAACCTGTATCACGTGACGGGATATGGATGTTACGGCCTCCCATGGTGCCGCCGCTTTAACTCTTCTTGCAGCAGACGGGCCACTGCTGCCTTCACCAGCTGTGTGCAACCTGCAGAAGCGGGCTCTCCTACCGCTTCAGTTGCCGCTTGAATAGCCCTTGCAGAGACAACCGGGTGCCTAGATACTGCAAGATACAAAAGGCTCGCGGCAGCAGCAAGGTAAGCGGATCTCCTTGCTGCTGATGGCTCCTTCGTTTCCGTTGTCCCTGATGGTGTTGAGCTGGGCGCCTTTGCAGGTGCAGGCTCCTCCTCTGCAGCTCCTGCCGACTCGGGTCTCGCTGCAGCTTCTGAAGACGGCGGCGTTTTTGCACCTGCTGGAGAGCTTGGGGCTCCTGAATCCGATGTTGCTTCTAGTGCTGCTAAATGTGCTGCTGCTATTGCTGCTGAGTCTGTGACAAGTGATGCTACTGGTAGCGCTGCTGTCTCTGTAGCCGCAGCTGTGCATGCAACGGCTAGAGACTCTGGCGAGGCCACTGCTGACTTTGGTGCTGCTGTTTCAGTTTCTACTTCGGATGCTGCTGTCGCTGGTGCAACATCCTCTGCTGTAGCAGCCCGTGACTCTAATCGCGCCGAAGCGGAGTTTCGCGCTGTTGCTGTTCCTATGGTCTCCGTCTCCAGTCCAGCTGGTGCAGCTTCTCCTGATCCCGCCGCTCCCTCGTCTGGTGATAAGCACGCCTCAGCTTGAATTCTTAAAACCCCAGCAATTACAGAACTCAGAGCGGCTACAAGTACCTGAGAAAGAGGCGTTAGGTCACTGCCGCCGAAGGCGGTGCTATTTTGAGGGGATAGTTCCACCAAGAATTCTTCTAAGGTCTTTAGCGGGTGGTTCTGCTGTGCTTCTATTGTAGACAATTGAGTCTTGCTAACGCGGTAGCTTCTGCCGCCCTTGCTGCAGGTCCTCCTGGTGCCACCTCTAGGGGGCACGGAGGGGTATGGGGTCAGCGCAGGCATCAGACTGGAGACTGCTGCCGCTGCAAGAAGACACGGGAAAGAATCGGGTCCTGCAGCTGCAGACTGATTGTAGAGACGGGCAATGCGCAGCAAAAACCCTCGCAGCTGCGCTGCAGCATGCTGGCAAGAAGCTGGCCAATGCACTACGGCTGCTTCTGTGCCTGCTTCCGCTTGTGCTTCAGTAAGTGCTGTTGCAGTTGCTGATGAGCTTTCCATTACCAACGCGGTGTCTGCCGCGCCTTCTCGCTCGTTTGCCGTGATCTTACCTGACGAATTAGGGTTTGTACGGGTTGCAGCTGGGGGTAGTGTTTCTGCCGTCGTTACGATGTCCCGAGACCCCGTTGCTCCAGCGGAATTAGGTGTCTTTGCTGCTGGTGCAAGCGCTGCATGGTTCCTAAGTGAATCAGCTAAGTATGCAAACTCACTCAGTCGCTGCAAAGCAGTCCCTATGCGTGCGCACCATCCCGGCTGCTGCTGTTGCTGTTCTTCCTGTTCGTTCATGGCCCTCCTGTTCCAGGGGCCATTAGTCAAAGCAAGGGCGTCTACAGCGACAAGCGCTGCAGCGAGAGCCAATACGCCTTCAGTATCCCCTGCTGCACAGGAAGAAACAGTGGATGTAGCGGCAGCTGCTGCTGGCGGGGTTCCCAGAAAATCTGCATTTCCCGTGAAACTTGCGACGGCTGACTCAACCAGACCCGCGCAGTGTCCTAGTAAACTGGTGTTGGCAGCATGTGCAGTTGCTTCTGTGTCTTTGGTCTTTGAAGTCCTCCCTGCTGCTGCTGCTGCGACGGCGCCAGCAGCGCGGGCTGCTGTCTCGTACAGGCTACGCAGCAGGTGCATGGCCTCAAGTGGAGAGACACCGCTTGCTGTTCCATTGCAAAAACACGAGAGAAAAGTGGGGATCTCCAGGGGGGACAGCAAGAGCGAGACTGCAGAGGCAGCTGCAGGCGCCGAGGGAATCACAGCCACAACGGAGAAACCACGCTGCAGCAGGGACAGAGCAGCTCCACGCATACTGCCACGTAGTTTTTCCTCCAATTCTACTGCTGGCAGCGGCGCTGAATCTGAAGGCAGCCAAAGAGCAGCTGCTGAGGTATCTCGCATCGATGCGAAAAAAGCGAAGGCTGCGGCCTCTTCGCTTAAAACTGCTGGGTTTTGCTTCAGTGCACCGGCGAGTTTCCAGAGGAAGCAAATGCAGCCATAGACGATCTTTCCCGCTGCGCCCACAGCCGCCGGTGTGGCTCCCAGCTCTACCTTTTGGGCTGCTTCGATTGCAGCAGACTTTGTCTCCTCACCCCCGCTAGAATGGCTTTTGCCATGCTCTAATGAACTAGAAACAGCACCACCACCGCCACTTCCACAATGATAATGTGTCTTCAACCCTGAAGCTGCTGCCGCAGCCTCTGCTGCTGCTGCTGCCAGACGCCCTGCAGCCTCACAGGCCCGGCGTAATGTTTCGGGATAGAGCCACACAGCACCCGTCGAATTTTCGGATGCCTCAACGGTGGAGGCGTCAGCAGGGGCAGTTGTGGCGCCATGGGAACGGGTTGGGCTGTCTGCTCCGATCCAGTCCTCTGCCCAATCGTCTTCATCGAGTTGCTGCGGCTGCAGCTGCTGTTGATGTGGCTGCTGGTGTTGTTGCTGTTGCTCAGGATCTGGTGGGAAGCAAAGACACAACAGCATGGTGCCGATCGACTCTAACCTCCAGCACATCTCGTCTGCTGCCGCCTCTGGCCAGTCTGCTGCAGCAGGGCAAGATTCACGTGAAGATTTTGCTGTCTCCACGGGCTGAATTAGCGCATCTGCCAAACCGTTCAAAACAGGGCAGCACGCCTCAGGAAATGCAAGTGTGGGTGCTGTTGCTGCTTCTTCCGGCGCAGTTACTGTTCTTCTTGCGGTGCTGCTACGCGAAGCTGCTGAAAGCGCAGCAAATGCGGCTGACGCTGCAGCAGCTCGCTTCTCCCCACCTCCTGTGGAAAGTGGATGACACAGCAGAGCCAGCCCCTTTAGCAGCTGTTGCGCCTCTTGTTGTTGCTGGTCCTGGTGCCACTGCTCAACCTGCTGTTCTCGCTCACGATGACGCTTCAGTAGGCATGCCATGAGATGCAGCGCCAGGGGAACGGCGCAGGGTTCTATTGCTGCAACCCACTGGTGATGTTGCTCCAGGAAGACTGCCGCAGCACGGGTGGAATGTGCAGCACCATCACTGGGCGCTGCACCTGCCGTAATATGGCCTAGCAACCGACAAGCCAGAAGAAGGCGGCGGCGCACCAGCCAGTCATATGGATCTGCTGCTGGCGTTGTTGCTGAAGCTGCTACCACCAAATCTGATGCTGAATGCACTACGTCTCCCAGGGGCAGCAGCAGCTGCCCCACTAAACGCCAAGGGCTAAGGCAGCAACCGGCTTCAGCGAACCTTGCCATCACCTCCAGCGCCATAGCCGTAAGTTGTGCCCGTTGTTCTTGATCACACAGCCGTTGTTGGTGATGCTGCTGATATTGCTCCTCCTGAACTACATCTCCACCAGTTGCAGCTGCCTTGAGACGCAGCAACGCAGCTCGGTGTTGTGCTTGAGCCATATATCCTGCTGCTGCAGCTAACGCTGCTGCTACTGCTGTTGCTGCTTCTGGCACATCATGTCGCTCAGGAGCTATAGGCGTTGCATAACCACGCAGCAGCGCAGAAACCGCGGAGGAGACGGCCACCTCGTGCTGCTGCAGCTGCTGAGCTGCGCGCAACTGGGTGGTCGTGCAGCCCGAACAAACTCCAGTCAGCCGCTTCAACAGCAGCAGCAAAATCCTCAAGCCGCGACGACAAAGCGAAATCTCCTCGTCGCTGGATATTCCATTTAGCTGTTGTTTTTGACGCTGGTGCCGTTGTGTCCCCTGCCATAGGAGCTGGCACGCAGCGCGGAAAAGCAAAGGCAGGCAATCAACCAGAAGAGGTCCTCCCAGCGATGCTGCCTCAACTTCAGCGTACTTTGCCTGATACCCATCAGTAGGAGGAACGATCCAGTGCTGCTGCTGCTGCTGCTGGAGCTCCGGGAGGGTCAGCAGCAACTCGAGACACTCTGCTGCAGCAGAGCACACAATTGGATGCACTTCCCCTCCGCTCCAGTTGTTGACGCTGCTGTCGTTCACATCGGTACAACTTTCATCCTGGTGTTGTACTCTTTCCGGTGCAGATACACCTGGAAGGGGTCTCCAAACAAAGCCTGTCAGGGCTGGTAGAGGGCGCGCTGTAGCAAGAGGAGAGAGCAGCACCTGGGAAGTCTGTGGAAGCAGCTGCTGAGCTCGTTGCAACAAGCCAGCTGCTCTAGCGTCATTTATGCTGCTGCTGGACCGCAAGGTGGAGAGCGGCTGGGTGGTAGGAGTCGGTGCAGGAACACACTTGCAGCACAACATTGTAAGGAGCAATATCCACTGCCTGGGATTCCTTGGCCCCCATATTCGGACTTGCTGCAGCAGCAGCTGCAGAAGCTGCCGCCTCTGCAGCGCATCACATTCCGAATTCAGACACTCCAGAATAAAGAGAGACAGTTGCGGATCTCCTACTACAGGTCCTGTGGCTGCTGCTACCACTTTTGATGGCGCAGCAGAAGCAGCTGCTGCGATTGTGGCTCCCCAGAATGTCTCCCCTAGTGGAAGCGACATCGACAACAAACTCCGCGCCGCCTCCCTTCGAACAACGAGAGAAGGCGAGGCAAGTGCAAACTCGGTTGCAGCAACTGCAACAGGCAATAATGCACGAAGCGACGACGCTGCAGCAGCCAGAGTGTTGTCCTCGGCTTCTGCCGTTGCTGTCCGTGCCGGTGATGAGGAGGACTGAATCCACACCAAAGCCGTGAGGCACCGCAGCGCAGGAGCGGCGGCAACCAGCTGCAGAGCCGTACCGCCGCTAATGTTGCTGTTGCTGCTGTCGGTAGAACAATAAAATGAAAACGAGAGTATGTAGGAGGCTTCTCTAGCCTGAGCGTAGCGGCAGTTTGACAAGCAACAAATGGCTACCCACGAAGTCCAAACAGAATATACACTATATTTTGCCATTTGCACTAGCTAGCACAGCCTAATCATCTATTTTCCGTCCTTCACCCCTATTCCAAGCATGCGTCTCCTACGCAGTGCCACCAATCCACCCCGTACTAGAAATCGCTGTTGGGACTGCTGCACTGTACTTACTGCGTGCGATATTTAATCCTCAGTGGCAGACAAAAGCTCATCAGGCCCGGCCCTAGCTGCTTCTTCAGCGTGCTGAAGCAGGCAGTGCAACAAATTCCTCGCCGCTTCAGCAGCTAGCACTGCAGCACGAGATCGGTGGGACTGAGACGAACTCAACAAAAAAGCGAATTGCAGAGTCCTAAACAGCTTCTGCTGCAACACGTGTTGCTGCTTGTGCTGCAGGTTCGGTTGGCCATCTGAGGACGTGGAGCCCGAGAGACGTTTGGCGTCTGCTTGTGCAGATGCTGGAGAGTCGACCGTTGACCTGGCTGCTGCAGCCGCCGCTGAGGCAACGGCAGGGAAGGCGACCCCTAAAAGGCGAATAACGCAAAGAAGCGCGCAGGTGGATGATACGCGTGCTGCTGCTACGTTGTCTTTCGCTGCTGCCGTCGCCACAGTATCGGTACCAGCAACAACCTCTACTGCCGCCTCAATTGAAGAAGTTGCAGCCACAGCCATTTGCAGAAGGCCCTGATAACCCTTTCTGTTGTCATTAGCACATGTTGTGGCGGACGAACCAGCATTCCGCAGCAGGGGCAGCAGGCGAGCCGCAAGAAGAGACACACTGCAGAGCCGGCCCGAACTCATGGGCAACGGCAGTTCTTCTACCCCCGTTTCCGTTGTTGTCGACGGTCTCTGTAAGAAGGCCTCAATATGCTTGTTTACGGCTTGTAGACCCGTTGCTACCGCCACTTCCTGGTGCTCCTGCTGCCGTGGGGAATCCAAAACCTCCATACAGGAGTACAGACCCCCAGCAGCATCGGCATAGAGAAGCCGTTCGAGCGGGGATGCCAGCGAAAGAGCCTTCTCGCAGCAGCACCACAGAGTGTCGACAGCCGACAATGGAATTTTCTTATGCTGATGTTTCTGCAGCGGCAAGCTCAGCAAGGCCCGGCTTGCTCTGAAGACGCCAGACAGCACCGCCGCAATAATACCCATTTGCAGGGTACCCTGGCGGCTCTGGGAAGGAAAGTCGCTTGAACCACGGTCCGCAGCAAAGTAGGCATCAGAAGAAAAAGGAGCATCTGAAGCAACACAAATGGTTTTCTTCTTGAGCCGCGGAAGGCCGAAACGCTGCAGCAAGTGCTGCGGTCTGCTGGCCTTCTGGCCCGCAGACGTTCCGTGATGCACCCCAGCAACACCGACAGCAGTTCCTGCCTTTCCTGCCTCAACTTTGCTGCGGTAGCCAATGCGGTGGACAGACGGAGCATCAAGGGACACAGGTGGAAGCGCTTTCGTTCCCCAGAAACAGCAGGCCGCCCATGCAGTCTGTTGCAAGGCTGCGTCTGCTGCGGGAGAACAGCTGCTGCAGCCCTCAAAGAGGCGACGAAGCAGCAAAGCTCCTTGCAGAACGCGGAGGACCTGCGGAGGGTATTCTGCTCTCCAACCTGTTTCTGTTGCACAAACTGCTGCTTCTGCAGGAGCTGGTGTTGCGACAAGGGACGGCAGCCTCAAGGCATTGAAAGCAGCCGTAGTCGCATCGGCAAAGCAGCGCCACTGTGCCTCCCACAGCGAAGGCCCCCGCAGGCTGTCGACTTCAGTGCCACACCCTATGAAAAGGGCTGGATCTACCGCCCCCTGCTGTTGCTGTTGCAAAAGTAGATGCTGCACAAGATGTTGCTGTAGCTGTAGCTGCTCCAGTGAAGCAGCACGTAGAGCTGCTGCTGGAGCTATGGCTATTGGGCTGATACAGCAGGCTACTGCAGCTGAAGGAAACAAAAAAGCTTCCTTATCTGGAATAGTCACAGCAGCTAGAGCCGTATGCAGCAGCAGCTGCTGAAGGTGCTGGTTGTTGCAGTGAATCTGGACGTGCGGCAAGAGAGACATGGCCTCGAGTACTGCTGCTTCAAGCCCAGCGTATGCAGCAACAACCGGCATGGAAGCGGTCCTGCAGAAGCAACGGCAGCACACTAGCTGCTGTAGTTGTTGCTCCCTTGTCTCCGACGTTCCTTCCTTACACATGACAACGCTCTGCAGAGAGTGCTCCTCGTTGTTGCTGCTGCCGCAGCGGCAACAGCACACAATAAAGGAAACCTCAATGACCAATGTCAAGAAATCGGGGACAGTATCCACATCATGCGTTATGGTTGCTGCTGCTGCTTCTGGATGTTGCCGCAGGAATGCAGTGAGAGCCTTGAATGCACAGGCAAGTTCCAACAGCAAGCATTTCCCTACTGCCTCCGATGCTGCTGCGCCTGCCGTGTTTGCTGTTGGCGTTTCGGCTCCTGCGCCCGATCTAGTGCCTGCTACATCAGGGCAGGCAGCTTCGGGCGTGTGCTGCGTAGCTTCTGGACATCCTGTCGCCGCAGAAGCAGCAGATGCGATGCGGAGGAGACGGCTGATGCTACTTCTGGGGTCACTGAGAGACAAAGCTCTGCGGCAGAAACGTAGAAAGCAGCAAACTACCGGTGACAGTAGCATTGCCTGATCCGTATCTTCGTTGCCCACAGGAAATGCAGCAGAGCTTGCTGCCGCGGCAAAACCTCCAGGAGCTCCAGAAGCACCAGCGGGCAGCTGCAGCAAGGCCTCTGCCAGCAGGAAGAAGCACGCTCGCGCTTCGGACCCCCCCCTTGCCAGCAGGCCCAGTAGAGCTGCAGCACCAGCACCACAAAGCAAACAGAAGCACATGGCCACGGCTGGCTTTAAGAAGTCAGCTGCAGCAGCAGCCAAAGGTTTGAGAGGAAATGCTGTGCGCCTTACCGGTAATGTTGTTGTGGTCTCCTTCGTTTGTGTATGACGCCGTTGCTGCATCTACTATTGTTGCAGCAGGTACAGACGAACCTGCTACCGCTTCTGCAGTTGCTGGCGTCGGCGGTTGTGTGGGAGAAGCAATGGCGATGGAAGCAGCGAGGCCAAGGGAGGCACCCCACAGCCCTGCAAACTGAAGGGCATCGAGCTGCGTGCCTTGTACACTCGTTGTCTGGAGGGCGGCCTGTGCCGCTGTTGTTGCTGCGTGCATCAGACCAAGCTTCAATGCGTAAACTGCCGAATAGCATCCAGAAAGGGAGCGGATGCGCCAGATGCAGGCAGCTGCTTGGCGCTGCACTGCTGGCCAAAGAGCGCACCGCAGCAGCTGCTCCTGCTGCAGTGAATTCTCTACAGTGAGAATGGAGACAAGGGCCATATGCAATGAAGGCGGGAAGGACACCATGCCATCCTCTGAAGCAGCGACGATAGTAGCCTCTAATATATTCAAGGCAGCACGGAATAGCAGCGGGTGCGTGAAGCTGCCACCATTGGTGCTGTTGCTGGCACACCCTCTTGCTTCAATGGGGCCTTGCGGAGCTGTCACTCCCGTTGCTGCTGCTGCTATTGCCCGACTTAAGCAATCGACCAAGTCCAGTTGCTGCTGCGTATGCAGCAGCGGAAGCAGTTGCTGTGCGGCATGCGACACGAGCACCTGCGAGTGAAGCGTCTCCAGGGACAGACAGCAAACACCTGGAGAAAGATTTTTGTTGCAGCTGCAGCAGCAGGTGCAGGTCACTACGCATTGATCCTGCAAACCCTTGGATGCCCCTTCCCTTCCGCTGCAACGGCAGTGAGACTCAGCTTTTGCCAGCTGCGTCAACAAAGTGAACAGACACTCCAGTGACATGCTGACGAGAGAGACAGGCGAAAAACACCGCAGCAAGAAACGGCAAAGGCACGGCACGGCAGCGGCAATCGCCTGACGTAGTAAACCGCGCTGCCTCGCCTTTAGATGCAGCAGAAACGGACCGTGCTGTTGCGGCTGCAGCAACGGAACGTACCTCCCTGCTGCTACAGACGCCGCCGATCCCTTCTTGGCATCCACCACTGCCCCTGCACTCAGCAGCAGCCACTGCCTCCGCAGGAAAGTGAAGGCATCTTCAACCCTGTGCACCTCGGAATAAAAAGTCTCTGTAGTAGCTGGTGAAGCAGCAGCCGCTGCTGCACCAGCAGTCATACACTGACCCAATGAAAGCGATGCGAAGTCCGATGCGCTGTTGCTGGTCGCCGTAAGATCCGTTGGCTCGTCGATAGCACTGTGTGAACCCTGCTGTTGTTCCTCCTCTTCCTTTTCCTGCTGCTGCACCTGCATTCGCTGCTGCTTCACCTGCTGGTGCTGGTGCTGTTGCATGCCTACTACGGCCTTGGCAGCTAGAAGGGCTGCAAGAGCTGCTGCGGCATGCGGAACGTTCTCCTGTGCTTCTGCGAGCAGATGTTCATTCTCTGCCGCTGAAGCAGCCGTAGCGGGTTCTGGTGCAGCAGCAGCGAGGACAGCACTTGGAAAGGCCTCGCCATGAGGTAGAGATACACCTCGAGGGAACGCCCAAACAACTTGCTGGAGCAGCAGCAGGGCCTCTCTAGCCGCTTCAGAAGCAGCATGTATATTATTACTTTTGATGATAGTGCTAGTTTTGCTGCTACTAGTGCGGCTGCTGCTGCGTCTGTGGCTGCCGGCGCTGCAGCGAAGGCAGGACCTTGTCAGAGAGAAGAGCTTTTCAGCCAGTGCTTCTCCGCACGCTCCCGTTGCCGACACTGCGGTCCTCAAGGCCTTAGCAACTGCTGCTGCTGTTTCTGTTGCTGTTGCAGCCGCCGGTGCTGCTGGTGACTGCAGCAGCTTCGATCCCACAGCAACCAGCAGCGGCAGCAGCGGAGACAGCGCCTGCGGGCACGCCCTAAACAACTCTCCACACAGCAGCAGAGGAGGGAGAGCAGACAAAACCTTCTTTGTGCCTGCTGCAGCTGCAGCAGCTGCAGCTGCCGTCGGGGGTGGCGTGGCAGCTGCAGCAAGTGGAGCAGAAACAGAGGGGGGAAAATGAAGCCCTTCACCTGCTGCTGCCAGAAGCCGAGCAGCAACACGATGCCAAACACCACAGTCCTCAGTGGAATGTACAAGCAGTAGCAATACCCGAAGCAGTTGCTGCTGCAACGCAGGAGGAGGCTTCTGGCAGCAAAGCAGCAACAATGCTTCCTCCAGATGCTCCAGCACCTCCGTTTGTGTCGTGTCGTCGCCTTCCCATTGCGACACCCATCGCTGCGGCTCCTGCTGTTGCTGGTCTTGCTGTTGGCGGCCCTGGTCCTGCTGATCCTGCTGCTGGTGCTGCACCTGTTGGTGCTGCACGTGTTCTTCTATAGGCTGCCTATGCTGGTGATCGCATTGTGCTTGCCAGTGAGGCTCCTGGTGCTCCTTCAGCTGCTGCTCCCGTCGCAGCAGCTGTTGCTCCTGCAACAACAATTCTATCCGCCGCAGCAGCTCTTGCTTCGCCAGGTCCTTCCGGCTGTCAGAAGAAGCAGGAGCAACAGCCAGAAGACTCAGCGCCTGCACAGTTGCCGCTAGTGGAGACACATAACTAGATTCCATTTTCGGCAATATTGATACTTGCGCTGCGGTTTGCGTGTTGCCTGCTCCCTGCTGAAACTGGTAGGCGGAGTATCCTGTCAGATGGGAACAAACAGCAGGCACAGAAGCTCCTCCAGCTCCTCTGTTGCTGCAGCAGCTCCAGTCAGCGTGGCCTGCAGTGACACTTTCGCGTTCTTCGCGCTTCTGCTACTGTTGCCGCTGTTGCCGCTGTCGCCGCTGTAACTGCTGCAACTGAACTCTCCAGTGCAGCGAGGGGCTACCGGCGTCAGAAGACTGTACTTTCCTTCTTTGCTCCATCACCAGCAGCAAGTCGGGCGACGACCCATGTGACAGCAGCAGTTGTTGCCTATGCAACACAATCTGTCACTTGATGTCGCTTACGCCTCCCAGTCTTTTGCTTCCTTCTGGCCGATGTAGGTGTTGAAGCCGTTGATCCTATTGCTGCTGTGACAGCCAATGATGCTATTTTTCCTGGTTTTCTGTCTAACTCCTTGCTGCAAGTCAAGGCCGGTGGAGCATTTGAAATCTCCGCAGGGACTGTAGCCAACCTGCTGCTGCTCCTGTTGTCTGTTCTTGGCACAAGTAGACAGCGGCAGGATGGTATTGACGAACTACGAAAATACGAAGCACACCGAGCAGCATAGAGGAGAAGAAGCTTGCTGCTTACGATGCTGCCCACTCCACTTGTTTTTGCTGCTCCTGCTGTCTCGTGGGCCCCGTGGGCCTTGCCGGTCTGCTGCTAGTGCTCGGACTGTTGCAACCTCCCCATCAACTGCTAAACAACACCAGGAAGAGCATTACATAATTTGTTTTGTTATTATTTGCTCCATGTATCGTTATTAACAGCGGCACAACGTGTTGTTGTAACGGCTGTGCGTCGCCTTGTAGCTGCAGCGGCAGCAGCCTCAACGACAACAGTTGCGGTGAAAATTGCTGCACCTGTTGCAGCAGCAGAAGTCGAGTGCATTGTTAACACCATTGCAGGCAGACATAAAGATAACCCCCTTGCGCAAGGGATATTTTGCAGGAGCTTGCTTAGCGGCTTGGAGCCGCAGCCGACTTCGCAGTGGTCTGCTATTGCTGTAGCAGTAGCATCAGAACGTTTGGTTCCTACCCATCAGCCGCCAAGGGTCTAGACACAATCTGCTCACAAGCAGGTTAACTCCCAAGGGCAGTGCCAAGAACTGCACCACAAGGAAAATTGAGGATGGGTAGACCTGGCTGCTGCAGTAGCAGCGGCAGGCACATGCTTGTGATTCAGCATTATCTAGTTATACTCTTGATGTGTGCTGCTGCTTCTAGGGCAGCTTCAGCTGAAGACTCTGCTGCAACAGCATCGACGCAGGAATTGCACGCCAGCGACCATTACGGAGGCAGCACGAACACGAATAGCAACTGGATGCTGCTGGAGCTGTCGGAGCAGGTTGATTTGGCCGCACAATCTCTCAAGCCGAACGCAGAGCCAACTGTCTTTCGGCCGCCTACCCCACAGTCAGCAGCAGCAATTGCAGGAACAGCAGTAGTAGTAGCGGCAGCAGGAGTAGCAGCTACCAGAGCTTGACGAGAGCAGACAGGCAGCGAGCAGACAAACAGAGCACTGCCGTAGGCTGGCATAGCAGGCCTTCCTAGAAGGCAGCAGCAGCATGACAATGAACAGTAAAGTGAAGCAGCAGGCTGTGCAAGTGAGATTTAAACTAACAGAGCCAGCATGGTGGCTGAGGCGTGGAGTTCTTGTCTGTCGCTGTTACTTGTTTTCCTTTAGAGAAGAAATGCACTGGAACTCGAGGATGGATGTCGTCGTTTTGTGCCTTTCGCTGGTGGACAGCTACCTCAAGACACACATCTCTCTTCTTAGGCAAACGGTCCCCGAGGCATCATCCAAGCTTGTCAGATCCGACGCCCTTCGTCATGCCTGTCTCCCTCGATTTGTCCCTTCTCTTCGTTTAGAATATCTGCAGTTGTCCTTCTTGCCTGCTTCCCTTGTTGTTCCTCTTCGCCTGTCTATGTTGGTGGTGCCCTTGAGTTTGTTTTTCTGTCCTTGGGTTCCTTGTTCTCCGCTGCTTCTGCCTCGTGTCGCTTTTTGGCTTTTCAGCCCGTCTCTGGTGCTTACGAGCAGGTTGGGTGTACACTCTGCAGTTTGAAATATAGTGCTGTTTGTCTTTGTGAGTTGTCCTCTTTCTCCCTCGCATATCGCTTGCTTCCATCCTCCGTGTCCCCAATATGCGTGCTTCTCTTTCATCGGCGCTCTCCCCTCGCCAGTCTTGACGGGTGCTTCTCTGTCCCTACTGGGTCAAACTGCCAGTTTCTGCACCTCTCCGCGCGTGTGCGTCTTCATCTGTTCTTCTACTGTCTGCGGTTCTCGGGCCATGTTCCCTAAGGTTTTGCCATGCTGTGTACTTAGAGTGAACGGGGGAGCGCCGTGAAACAAGCTGCTGGGGCGGCAGAATGATGAGCAACACTGGAGAGACCTGGGACTCTGAGCATGTGGGGCCTTTTGTGTCTTTGCCTGTAGGGCATGAGAGACGATGACGTTCTTGCAACGCTCATGCACCAAATGTGGGCGGGCTGCTACAGCAATGCCCTGTCCCTTGCGGCCGCAACATCCATCTTGTCTCTATCGTCTCAGGAAGCTGAAGCCCTCCTCAAACCTCACAAATCGCCAATGCGGTTTTCTGAAAAGATGCTTGTCGACATTGATAAACTTATCAAAGAACTTGCGGTTAGCCATGACATCGGGTTTAGCCCGTCGGGGCGACGCCTTAGGGCTTTGGGTTAGCGCTTGAGGTTACGCGTCGGTACCGATTATCTTGCGAGTTCAAAGTGCTTGCATTCCTGGGGTAACCGCCCACCTTTGGTGCGTGTGTTTGTATGCGGCCCCACTGCTGGTGCGCTGTTTGGTATCGTTTTTCTCTGCGATGTGGAGCCTGTTGTTCAGGAGGGCCGTTCGCCTTCTGATTGGGTTGCAACGGACTGGAGAGACACTTGGTGGTTTTGCATTTTCAGCGTGTTCTGTATTTTTTGCCTTCTCTTTCTCGCTGGGAGGAAGGCTGCGAAGGCCTACAGAAGGAAACACAAGGGAAAGGTGGGGGCGCGAGACAAGGCTCCCATTAGCAGCAGCCCCAAGTATTTATAAACAAGTGGGTCGTCCAGCAACAGCAGTCCACGCAGATGCAGCTCTGCTGCTGCAGCATCAGCAGCTGTGCCTCGCGCTGTTTTGACGCCCCTTGCACCCCTCAGGTCTCCTAATGGTGAAACTTATACCCATATCAATATGCAGGAGTGACGATCCCTGCTGCCCTTCCTGCAAAGGAGAACTCTGCTGCCGCTGCAGGGAAGAGGTTCAGGGCAGCTTCTGCAGAGGAGGACTTGCTCCAGCCACTGCAGCAGACTATTTTGCTGCTGCAACAGCAGGACGAAACATTCCATTAGGTGTGTAGTCCAGAAAATGTTGCGGTCAGGATATGTTGCTACGGCTGCTAATGCCTGGTCTCTGAACCATGCAGCAGCAAACGACTAAAGCAAAGCGGAGAGCACTATTGCAGCAGTTGCTGCTGATGCAGGAAAATGCTGCATTAGTGATCTGTTACTGGTGGAGTGGTTAGCTCGAGGGACATTTTTTCTTTAAATGCTTTTCCTACACCTTCTGCTTGGCCCTCTGCTTTGCTGCGCTTCTCCCGGTTGGGTTTTTTCTGTGCCTCATTTGCGCGATTTCTTAGACATTTGGATGACGTATTCATTGGACACTTGGTTCGCTAGTTTTTCTGGTCATCCGTTATGTTGTCGTTCTCATAGTTTGTCTATGCCTTCCACCTTATGGGGCCGTTGATGCCAACGAGACTTTCCTTCAGAGCGCGCGGGTTGGCCCACGGTGAAAATAAATATGAGTCGTCGTCATCCTCAGCGAAAGCCTACAAACAATGGCAAAAAACAGAGAGCTGGCAGAGGGGGAGGCGTACAATGCACGGAATCATTACAGTCGAATTAGAAGGCATGGAAAAACAACCACTGTCCGAGCAGGCGCCACAGCGACATGCATACAAAGCGCAGGTAGTACAGGGGAAAAGACAGAAGGTTGAGTCAAACGCAGTAATAGTCTTCCACAGACACATGGGAAAACTGTAGGCATAGAGAGGGGGCAAGGGGGAGCAGGTGCGGATTGAATATCACTGAAGTGTATCTGTCCTCTAAAAGCCAAGAAGCATCATCCACCTCGGGCTACGTGTATGCCATTCGAAACAAACATAAGGCAAGCGACGTACATAGATGCAGGCGGGCCACAGACTTCCGCAGTGGGAAGGCCCTAGCAAGGTATCATGGGGACGCCCAAATAATAACAAGGATCAGTTCAGGAAACGCTAATGGGTAAAAAGGCATATTCTGAGGATATTGACGGACTTTGTCTTCTTGCCTCTTCTTATGGCAGTACGCCAGAACAGCTTTATGAGTCTCCGCATCCATCCGAGGCTCGCGAATAGGGGGTCCTACATCAGTGGAAGCAACCGCAGCGCATGCCATTGCAGGTACAGAACCGTCAATGCCGGAGAAGAAAAGCAGGCGAAAATGGGCTAGGATTTCTCTTGGTATTGACGCTGTAGAAAATAATATGTCAGACACGAGGATTCCGAAGGACAAACCCCAATGCTGCGCTTATCTTTGGTTTAAAATTTAGAGGTTCTTCTTCAGGCTCTGATAAGAGTTTTCAGGCATCCTACCAGCATTCTTTGGCTGCAGCCGCACAACAGTCTTTGTCTTCTCGTTTGTCCCTAAATACTTGCTGAGGGCCTCCGTCTGTTGCAGCTGCTTGCCTGTCCACCACAGGCAGGCATTCTCTAGGGTAATGTTCTGCAACAACAGGAACACCGGAAGCAGGAACCCCCATGAAGGCAGAAGCTGCAACATGAGTTGAAAAACGACGGCGACAGCTCCACAGAGCGCTCAGCAAAGAGGCAAGGGGGCAGGTTTGACATCGACTGCGCCCAAAATAAACATCCCGAGCGAAATTCAGTTCACTTCCAGTGCTCATTTCTTGTAATTCAACAGAAGTCAATAGCAACGGCAGCAGCAGCAGGTGCACCAAAGACTCCGCAGGCGGCGCGTTGGGACGTCTTGGCGCGTTTGTCCACATGGATACCTCTGAAATTTCTTGGCTTCCTGTGGTTTCCTTGTCTTCCAGGATAAGGCGAACTGGCTCCCAACTTGGCAGGCCATGGTTTGCAGGGTAGGCAATTTGCAGTGCTCCCTGCAAAACATTAAGTGTCTCCTGCACTGCCTCCAGTCGCAGTGCTTCACGCCGCTCAACCTGTACAGAGACCGCGAAAAAGGGGCGAGAACCACGAGCCTTTGTATTTGAAGGTCCCCAGTACACAAGGGAACGACAAGTCCCCACGGGGCATACTGGCAAACAAATAGTCGGCACCGTTCTATGTTCTCTTTTGCCTTCAAGACATATGTAGTCCCAAAAAATGCTGTAGAACACTACATGTGAGCCGATGCTCAATATCTAAAAGGCTTGTGTATAGCTCTCTGTTTAATTCCTCTAGAATGTGCCCTTGCATGGTCATGCTTTTGGCTGCTATGCACTTTTGAGCATCGTGTATCTAGAAATGCACCAGTGTATCCTACAGCATTCCTCTGTAAAAGTGCCTGGGAGGAGTGCCTGCCAATACGTGTGAGTGATCTTTCCTCTCAGGCCACCCGTCCCCTGCAGGTTCTACTACTACCACTCTGAAGTGGCGCTGATGCTACACCTTCTTGTGCGAAAGCGCTTCTTTGGCCTCCGCACACGTGCGAAGGATGATGTCGGCCACCTCTTTTGGAGGTGGCAATCCCGTCCTATAAAAGTGTGGGTCGGGATTTGTTGGCGGACCATCGGGATACACGTTTAGGTTGGACAACTTGGCCACCTGAGGCCGCAAAAACCCTCGAGTCCTACGGATAAACCCCAATCCTTTGCCCCTCACGGTTAATCCCAACAGGTGGGCAAATTCTCTAGCTATTGCCTCTACAAAGAGACCCATTAATGTTTCTACCCTCGCAAGTGAGCAGACAGGTGATACTAACTTCCTCTGTCAATCCCCTGGTTTCTTCTGGTCTCAAGGGCCCATAAGTTGCCAGCGCCTCTGCGGCGTCTGCCACCTTCAGCGCCTTCATGCGCTTAAGGTGCAGCGCGGTGACCTCTGAAATAACATCTTTGACTATTTCGCTTGTTTTAGTGTTGAACAAAAATTGATGCTGTTCATCCGCCGTTTTTACATGCAGTAACACCATTTTGGCAAACAGCCCGCCGTTCGGGTTTTGCGAGACAGCGTGAAATCGAGCAGTCTGCCTGAAAGAGTGGTCAGTTGCATGTTTCACTCCGTTAAAACCACTGAATATTTCGGAGATGGAGTTCGTTGGAAAGGAACGCCCGTGGCGGTCTGCACACCTACGCTGGCGGCCGCTAGTGTCCGTGGGGCGATGCACCGCCAAGCAGAGCAAGACGAGCCCTGCTGGAGCCACTTTGAATCGGTGCTTGCCAAAAGGAAAAATTGTCCTTGTATCGGCGAAATTATTATACGGAGACTAATTTCATCTGTAGAAGCGGAAACCTTGTTTCGAAATGGTAAACTTAATCCTTCTTTTGGGCTTGCGTACAGGACCATGGTTCACTCCCCGCATAACGGCACAAGACGATCTCCCCAGGCGCACACACATACGCACACATACATACACACACACACACACACACACACACACACACACACACACACACACACACACACACACACACACACATATTTTAGGGCAGACAGGGACACACACGGTCGCGTGTGAAGCAAAAAACCAGTGGTATCTATACTCCCCCGTGCGTCAAATGCTTACTTGATCTGCTTCACATAACAAGGGAGGAGGTAGTAAATTTCCCTTGGTTCGAGCAGTCTCATGAGTTGCCGTGATTCCTCTTCATCGTCTACCTCCAGCTTTAGATCCGCGCAGAGGTCCTGCATACGCCAGCAATCCGTAAAAGGGCATCACATATTTTTACAGTGCATACCCCCAAACATCAGTTGTTGCGTCACCGCATCCAGTGAGTTGCCGTGATTCCTCTTTGTGCGCAGTTGGTAAAGTGGATCTGCACGTTTGTATACTTGTTCCATGTCAATGGCCTTCTGATGTTTCTTCCCTCCACGAATGTATCAGCTTAAGAGGGCCCACCATCGAGTATGTCATATCACTCCAAACCAGCTTTTGTCCTTTGCAGTGTACCCTAATCGGGGTAATCTTTTAAGTCTGTCTGGAGCTGGCCGGTGAGCCCGTACTAGGCTCTAGTAGACAAGCAGTAGGCAAATAACAGTCCTCAACAATACTCTCCAGCGTTCATGCATGGAGCCAAGAAAACCTGTTTGTGTTTGTATGCAGCGCTGTCTTAAACCTTGAAGTGCAGAAATTCGCATTGAAGTCATAGGCTGCCTCCTCTCCCTTACCCCCAGGCGCTTAAGCCTTGGCGCACCCGACGCCTGGAGACTGGGGAGGCAGGTCACTTCATGTTGAACAACTTTCCTCTCAAGTATTCATAGTTACCAGCAGTAGTCCTCTAGTGAGGGCGATGATCCCGTCAAATCCCCTTTTCCACTCTGTGCCTGTTTACGCTTACATACTTGAAGTTCAATTGCTGTCATTGGATAACTTGCCCGGTAATAGGCCAAAATTCTTGAGTTGCACATCCACTCAATTATTTTCCCAGTCCCCTTGTAACTTCCTAATACCTTTGACCAACTAATTTTCAGCGCCCCCAAGTTTTGCTGAGCGCTTACCTCTTACTGTGAGTGGGATGGTAGCAACCTTTGAACGGGACGTCCTTTGCAAACGCCGCATATTCCTCGTAGTGACAGTTCCTGTTTTTTTTTTATGGGTTTTCCATACTAACCGAACGACCTGTGCTGAATTTTCCGGTTCACTCAACATTACTTTTTGAAGATACGTTCTCTTATCATTGTAGTCGATACCCATAATTTCACTAGTTCCGAAATACACTCATTGTGAAACCACCGTAGAAGCCAGGCAAGATGTAGGCGATCTCTTAAAAGGATTTTGTATTGCTTCAGAGCCACTCCGCTGGTGCACACAAGAACATAACTGAACAAGCACCCGTAAGCGAACGCTTATATTCCAGTGCTCCCTAACTGGTATGGTAGAGTGGAAACTGCAGGGCTGGCATCGTCTGAGAACAAGTGAAGTCTGCTGCAGTCCGTGCCAAGAATTAGAAGCAACCACGCCCTTTGAGAGAAAATACTTCGCTAGATATGATCTCCTTATGTTTTCCATTTTTCCAGTCAACGGCCTTCCCTTGCTTTCATTTCCACCAACTGACTCCACATGTACTCTTCCCGCGAAATTCTCCCCATACATGGAGGCTGCATTTATGTCCTTGGCATGCGGTTAGAGTGTCAAATTACCTTCTTTAGAACTTTCAGTTGCAGACTTAGCAGGCCTTCACCGCGCAGTGTGCCCAATGCCTTCCATGATTTCAAGTATGTCTTCCAGGGGCCCTGGCACACTTATGTACTCACTTCAGCACATTCCAGCCGAAGCAGCAAGTATGTGTACTTCAAGCCAACAGCATATCAAAATATTGGGTTGTTTTGTTGCCTTGTCCACGTTAAACGTTTCGACTAACGCCGGCACACCAGTCAGCGGGCGCTGACGAGGCCGATGTACAAGCCTGCTTGGAACCCTTCAGGACGGAACACCTACTTACCTCACTCTATGACCTACAAAATGGCAGTAGCATTCTTATGCAGGGGTCACCGTGGACAGACGACTGAAGAACTGCGTGCAAAATGCTATTCGACAGACAGCTGCAGTGCCCTGGGGTCGCCTGAGACGGTGAGCCACCCCACTTGTGCAAAAAAGAACATAAAGCAGAAGACAAGCATAGGTAAGTGGACGTTTGCATTCCCCTACTCCCTACCTAGTATGGTACACTGGATATCCCACTAGGAAGTGTGGGGTGATGCGCTCCTTCGCGAATTGGTCGTTTTGAGGTCCGCCCAGCTAAAATACATGAGGGAGCGAGAGCCTTTTTGGAACCATTTTGAAATAGAATTCAGCTTAATTCTAGTTTTAATTTTGACCTTCTAATATTAATAGTCTAGCACTCGGCGCCGCTATCGTCCCGTGCAGCAACAGGCTGGGATATCACCAGGATATACAGCAAATGCCGGTCAAGTTGAAGGGTTGAATCGTTGCTCTCCCATAGTGTGTCATTCAAACTGTTTCTTTTGTGCCATTTTTATCACCAATGTGGAGGAAAATACAGGATATCAGCGTTGGGGATAGCGCATGTTATACCGTCGAGGGCGCAGCAGCCGACGGGCTTCTGCCGCAACTGCAGTACCCGTTGTTGCTCGTTTCGTTACAAAACCAGAGGGTAGCCGCTTACACCAAGTTACCAACTTCACTTTCCAGCTGTTGACTTTGGGCCTGCATATTCTCATCTTCACAGACCACGTTTCTCTGCTGGGCAACTCCACGCAGCTATCGGCGCGGTCACCATTGGTATGCGCAGAACTGAACAGATGCTTATCTGCGCAAAGATTGGTTTGTAGACAGCAACGTGGCCTTTTCTAGTTTCTGGGAACCAAAAATGGATGGTGTAAAGTCCCGAAACGAGCCAACCTTGCTCTGGGTGGAGGAAACCCGCCTCGACAAGGCAGTCTTCGGCCTCTACCCAGGAGGTGACCTTCCCGACCCTGAGAAAGAGACAGAAAGAACGCAGTGAGTTATTCGTCGCTACGAATATTCAATTTTTATGCTATAGGAGGAGCTCAACAGACCCCGAACACCACGGTCTAGTCGTTTTCACTCTGTGCACCGTTCAGTTTGCGAGTAGACGGCTGAGTTGTGGAAGCATTCGTTTCGACTATTCCCTTCACTAAATGAAAACGTTTATTTTTATCGGCATCCATCGAATATCCATTTTAGGAGTAGACATCTGTGTTGAACTGCCTGCATCCATACGGCGGTTCAATATTTATTATGTACCATAAATTCTTGTTGTCTGCGAACACGCGCCACCCTAGACTTGCAGATACAGGGGCATCTGCATCGGCTGTATTGATTGTACACTCGTACGCTCAATTTCGGCAAAATCATTGCCTAGAATCACTATCCAACGGAGTGTTTTGTGTTTTAATCGCCGGCCCCGCAGGAAAGAGCTTGCTCTCTCCTCAACCAAGCGGGAAGTCGTCGCCTTCTACTGTCTCTCTCTTGCGCATGACTACATGCATGAGAAGCACCAAACCTACCAGCAGCTGGCTAGGGAGAAGTCTCCGCAGCATGTGAGCACCTTTGGAGCCTAGTGGGTGAATTCGAAGACCCCGTTCCCGACATTTTCATGGGATGCCAGAGGAACTTTTTCGAGCGAGCATCTGGTGTACTTCTAGATATTCTTCAGTTGCATGGAATAAATTTCCTGGGTTGCCAGCTGTCGAGGCAAAAAATAGTGAAAGCAGGGAATGCGGACAACCCTTTTGTCTGTGTGATCCTTTAGGGCATGAGGGAAGACGACGTGCTTGTGTCTGTGCTACACCAATTGTGGGCTGGCTGCTACAACAACGCCATGTCTCTGCCAGACCCTCTCTCTGTCCTACTTTTATCTTCAAAGGAGGCCGAGAACCTCCTCAAACCCGGCGACACCCCCGAGAGGTTTTCCATGCAAACTGTGCAGATTGTAGACCAAGCAATCCGGCGTCTTGCGGTCAGCAGAACCCTAATGCCCTAAATCGCTCACCGTGCCCCACAACTCAGCTCTCTAGCCCTACAGTCTGTGCTCTGCTTTTTTGGCTTGCACCGGAAATATAGAGCAGTTCACCTGGCAAATTGTCTTCCTGCAACTAAGTGTGTCTTTTCGCATGCTTTCGGTGTTTCACAGGAAGCGGAGTTCCCCGATGGAAATGGCCTTCCCACATACAGCGACAGTATCACTGCCGTCGTGGGTGCTGCTTGTCTTGTATTTATTTTCGAGTTGATAATATTTTTCGTGCGGCGCCTTCCAAACTCATCTCATAAGGCGCCACAAGGGGGCAGTAAAACATTGGACGCTACTGAGAGTGCGACTCAAAATATGGCACCTAGGAAGAGTTCACTGCAGCAGGAGGGCCCATCAGAGGAGAAGGTGAAGGCGGTGGATGTGCAAGAGATGAGGACCTGCATTCAACGGAGTGGAGGTTCGCGCAGGACTACCACAACGGGGTCCCCAAAGGGGGCTTCTAGAGCCGCCCCTCAAAGAACATCTTAGAGTTCTTACATGTGACCCAGAAACAAATGTCTCTACTACCGAGACAGGATGCCCTCAGCTTGCGTCTTTGCACAGCGAACGTGTGAGAAAGGGGACAGACAGTCAAATCCGTCGGAACCTGAGCAGGCACTGCTGACTGCAGATATCACCCACGACAATCAGGGACAGGAAGCACCCCAAAAAAGAGGGAATAGAGGCTGCTCTTTGTGTGAGGGCAGTGCCAGCTGGCTTCGAAGGAGCCGAGGTAGACATTTTCTGTCTCCCGCGGAGAGACAAATTAGTACTCTAACTCCTACCTACTTCGTTAAGGTTTGCCTTTTCTTTGCGAACTTGAAGACCATTGGTAATAATTAACAGACTACCAGCATACTGCCCTATAGACCCCTCTGCCAGGTGTATTTTTTTTGGCACTCGAATGCCGTACAACCACATCTGCACGTGTTCCGCGGCTCCCCTCCCTTTTGTTCGTTCTCGTTTGCAGAGTTAGACGTACAAATTTTTGTGCAGCAAACAGGTGGGGAGCCGCAAGTAGAGCAAACCTGCAGTTGTTGGACGTCCACTCAGGACGCGCGCTAAGAGATCTCACAAGAAGTGTTGCCTCTCGGGAATCCCTGTCCTGTGCGACAATCAATTCCTAAGCACTTGGCGTAGTACCTCGTAACAGCCACAGCAGCAGCCGAGGCAGAGTCTACACACTGCAAGGATTGATAAAGAAGCAGACAGCACAAGACAGCGGCAGTAAAACACATAAGTGAGGCGAGCGTGGACGCCTACGACTAAAGATAGATATGCCAATTCGGAACATCCGACTGCTTCAAGGACAGAAAGGGTTTAGCAAAGGGGGCGGTTGCGATAAAGACCTCGTGAACGACCTAATGGAGTTCGGGGGCAGCAACGTTTTTGGTTAATTGAAGACTGTAGAGCAATCGGAGTTGCCCCTACAATTTCACGGGATGTATAGAGATTACGGGCTGTTTTGTCTCCACAGGTAGAAGAGCATCTTCAGGAGGCAGGCACAGAAGAGTAGTAAGCGCCTCCTATTGGAGCATCCAGGACACAGAAAAAGCGACATCGGCAAGAGCAACAAATGCATTTTGTGTCTCGTTCCCTCGATTAAACTCCCTTTTTCGCTTGTGCAAGGTCAACCTCCTTAGCGAGAGCGAGAAGCCTGTTGATTTCGGAGTGTAGTTTTATTCCTTCCTTGGTGTTTTGCAGCATTTTTTGCGGCCAGTCCGGATCGAGGGCGCTGCAGCCAAGGGACCAGTCTTTGTCGAGCACATATACTGGGAATGGGCCATCTTTCTCCACACGCGCGCCACTAATCAATGATACCACTTCTGCTGCTGGGTAGGTGTCACGGCTGAGCTGACCCATATCCCGGAGCATTTCCAACCGCTTTCTCAGTCTCTCAGCCCGAACAGGAGTGGGAGGTCTCTCTGCTACTGTTGCTGCCCCTCCTGATGGGTGCTCTATATCTACCCCAGGTTGCTCCAATGGGAAGGGGGTTTGGCGAGAGGGATGCAACAGATGTGGGGTCAAGGCACTGTGCACGCTGCTAGCTGAGGACATATCCGAAGTTACGTTCGTGCTGTTACTGCCGAGGTCCGTTGGACTCGATTCTCTGCCTTCCAATTTGCCTTGGCCTAATACTGAGGCTGTTATTGCTGCTGCTGCAGCTGCTAATGGAACTGCAGAGGTGCCTCCAGTTTCCCAGAGTGCTTGCTGCTGCGGGGGCTGCGGCCGGTGCAGTTCCGGGATGTGGCTTGCTGCACCGCTGATATTTAACAAAGATGCTTGAGAGTTCTTCCGCAGCAACAGGGCCCGGCGAGAAGCCTCAGCGGCTTGTTGCCCAGCTGGAGACCGACGACCAGACACTGGCCCGTCTGGCTGGGGACTTGGACAGGCACATGCAGGACTCACGGTCCTCGGAAGGCCTTCAGGGAGGGGTGTGTGAGCGTTAGGCTCCTCATGACTCCCGTATGGCGACAAAATGTCTTCACTTGGGGGTGCAGGTCCCCCAGAAACAACAGCCTTTACAGAGTTGCCACGAATCGGCTGCAACTGCTGCAGCGGACAGAACTCTGGCTGGTGAACCTCTGAAATGGCCTGGTGCTGCTTCACAAGTTGGTACTGATGCGGAGGGAGGACACGATCGAAAGGTGCTACGATGTTGTTGCCACAAAGCGGGCGGGAAGCCGCTGCAGCAGCTGCAGCCCCTGCTGCGTATGCAGCTGCCGCTTCCGCTTCTTCAGAAAGGCGAACTCCAAAGAATGTCCGCTGCATTTCGATGAGCTGCTTCTCCGGAGGTATTTGACGCTGCTGTTGCTCGTGTAACAGCAGCAGTTGGTGGTGCATCTGACATTTCTTGCTAGGCGATGACATGCGCAGTGGCAGCCCTGTAGGCGACTCTGACCTTGTTGTGGCATAATGCTCAGTTTGCGGAGCAGGGAGAGTCGGCGCAAGTAGCCTCTGGAGGAACAACTGGTGCTGTTGACGTTGCTGCTGCCGATACAGTTCTAGTGCGTGGAGCTGCTGCAGCGTGCAGCTGGTTTTTACTGGCATATGAGCCGCGGGTGGTTTCAGCAACTTCTGCTGGAAAGCACGTTGCTCTAGCCGCTGCTCCTGCAGCACCTGCTGGTGCAGATGCTGGTCGCGAGTAGGACGTAGCTGCTTCTGCAGGCGGGAATTACTGGGGCTAGGAAACAACGGAATGCTACGCTGCTGCACACGTAGGTGCCCATGCTGCTGGCCCGCTTCCTGTTGTCTAAGCTGGTTCTGCTGCTGTGTAAGGTGTTGCTGCCTTCGGCGTACCCCCATGGAGCACCCAGGAGGCCCTGTTGCCAGCAGGGAACTGAGTTTCTGCGTGACGGTGGATACCAGGGCTTCAGCTGAAGGGCCAATAGTCGTTTTTGCAGTTGCGGCTGAATCATCTAACACTTCTGCAGCCAGTTCTATTGCAGCACCAGCTGAAACGGAACCACTGGTAGAAGGACCAGCGGTGGACCTTCCGTAACGGTCTGCGTGGCAGTCTGGCGGCAGCTGAGATATTTGGGGACCTTTCCCAACAGAGGGCGTTGAACAGTGTCCCAGCCGATCTCGCTGAACTTGCTTGTCTTGCTGCAGCGGAGGCGACTGCACTTTTCGTTGCCGTTCGGGATGCCCCCCATGCTCGTCCCGTTTCTGGTGACGGTCCAGTAGTTTCTGGCGTGTTTCCACAGGACGCTGAATGCTAATCTCTTTGGCAACAGCTGCCACAGTGGTAAGATCACCACTGCCCGGAGCAACAGTACCGCCTACAAGGGAGGCTTCAACGGCAGCTGCGGCAGCTGCTGCCCTCGGCTGACCACCTCCCAATACGGGAGAGGTGTTGCCGGGATGTTTTCTGCACTTGTCGTCGGTTTCATTTACAACAGCAGCAGATGCAAGCACGGAAGAGCTGCACCCCATAGGTGCTGGGCTGGAACGTCCACCCAGCAGAGGCAAAGCTGGGATCTCAGAGTCTTCCAGCTGTGTGCGATGCTGCTGGGGGTCGCTATGCAGCTCACCTATTGAGCTTGCTGGTCTCCACGGTGCAGAGGGCTCCAAACGTTTGCTAGCAAGATAAGGAGGAGTTGCACCGGGAGCAGCTTCTCTTGTTGCCATCGCTGCCACGGGGGGAGCTGCCGCGTCTGCAGCATCTGTTGCTTGCGATGGTCTTGACGACAGGCATGAAGGGTACGGTGTTCCTAAATCTGAAGCGGTCACGCAATGGCCTCCTGTGCTTCGCAGGTGCTCTCTCTGGTGTTGTTCCCGCAGGGCTAAACGGTGTTGCTCCTGTAGTGCTGGCTGCCGTTGCTCCTCTGATTGCTTCTGCGGCTGCGGTAAGCCCAGTTGCCGGTTCCAGTCTTTTCTGTATGCTGTTGCATCAAGTAGGTCGGGGCCGCCCCACTCGGCAGTTGCGTCAACGGCAGGCCCAGCAATACTGGTTGGTCGTGTTGCTGCTCCTGAGTTTGCATCTACTGCAGGATTTTCTGGCGTCGTCCCTGCTGCCATAAACTGTAGTCGAGTGGCTCCGCCAGTTAATAATCCCACAGTGGGCAACACTGTAGCTGTTTTTGAGGCGAGACTGGTACCTTCACCGCTCGTATGCCGGTGTGCGCCAGCAGCAAGTCCAGCAGCAGCACATGGAGCAGTAGCTGCAGCTGTTGATGCTGATACGAGTGCAGATATCGAGACATTTGTTGCTGGAGCTGCATCAGCGCTGCAACGGCTGCCTGCTGAAGTTCCCCTTCCGAGGAGTGGAGCGGCTTCTGCTTCACTGGATCCTCTCGAGGATCGACTTACCAAGTTATGCGAACCTCTCCTGCTGCTGGCTTCGCTACAGTTCATCGAGGACTCTAGAGATGTGCCGGTATCCAGAGAATGGGGACCTAAAGTGCTGCATGCTGGCGACGAGAACCTAAAAGGTTGCTGGCGGCCCCTGCTGCCGCCGCTGCTGCAGTCGTTGCTGCTAGTGCTGCTACTGCTGTCGCCGCTGCTATGGCTGCTGCTGCAACCTGGCGTTGCGGGTGTGGAAACGTTGATGCCCACAGAAATACCTGAATCCTTGAGGCAGACTGCTTTGCTTCTGGTGCTGCTGCCCCCTCGTGTACACGGTGTCGATAGACCGGTGGTGTCCACTGATCCCAGTAGCAGCATCAAACGCCTCTCTTGACGCTCCTGCTGCTGGTGAAGTTGTTGCTGTCCTCTCCATGTTTGTTTGTGTGAGTTTTGTTCTCCGTGTTGAAGTAGCTGCTCCGGCCTCTGCTGCTGAAGGTGTAGTTGGTACTGTAGCTGCAGGCGTTGCTCGACATGGTGCCGAAGGGGTTTTCGCTGCTGCGGTCTACTATCTAGAACTTGCTGCTGATAGGGAAGCTCTTGCAACTGTTTCTGTTGCTTCTGGATTTTGCTTGGTCGTTGGACCCTGCAGCGCAATATGCACCCACAGGCAGTTGCAGGCAGTTGTTGGTAGCCTGGACCTGTCAAGTACCATAGCATTGCTCAACTCACTTGTGCCACCTAAGAAAAGGGATGCATCTGCCTCCAAGACAACGATATTTCAATGGCCGTCGTTCTGATGCTGCTGCAGCAGGCGCTGCTGCGGCCACTGTTGCTGCAGGAAGAGGCCATGCGGAAGGTCCTGTCCCGGCCGCAGCAACTTCCGCACCTAGAACAACTGAGCTAGATTGTCCCGGCATCACAACTTCAGAGGGTCTTCGGAATATTGCTTAGAGACTTATATTGGTATCGCTGCAGCTGAGGCTAGTGCTGAAGTGCTCGCTGCTGTAAAGAGTGCGACCCGCTACCGCGGTAGCTATTGATGGTTTCCCTGTAGGAAATCTTGGTGTTATGGCAAAACCGATTGATCCAGGATTCTTCTCTAAGGATGGGGCGAGGAAGGGCTGTTGCAGTAGCTGTGTTTATTGCTGTAGGCACCGCCGTTGCTGAACGCGGTGCAGGTGAGAAAATATGAGGCAGTACGACTCCTCTGCTTCCCTCTCAGCATGGAATAGTGCATAGTTACACCAGCCAACATCACGTAAAACACTTCATGGGCGCAGAAACAACTGTTATGGAGCTGAATTGGCGCATTTGTCCTCCTCTCTCATCCGAAGGTAGGTGGTGAGGGGGAGGGACAAACCTCACAGGCTAGGAGTGAAAGCCTGCAACAGAGTGCCCTTCGGTTTATTTTCAAAAAATCTGTTCAAATTTGACAACTGCCAGGGTGACAAAGACGGGTTTCTCGACGACTCCGCGTTGGTGACAGGCGTGGTCTCCCAACCAACTCGGCGGCTACGTAAATGTCAGAGGGACTCAGGTGAGGTATTCATCAAAGAGGACCAGAACAAACAACAAATGCAGAAGTAAACAGGAAAAAACCATCAATGGGGATGGGGGACTCTTTTGTTGGTGGACTGTTGGTAGTCCACCGCCGCCGACGAGAGCCCCTGCGACGGCCAAGTGACCCACGTGCCAAAACAACAAAGAGCCGTCAGAGAACCTTTGTTTAAGCATAGCTGCTTTTTTTGGTTGGTCAATAAACTTTGAGCCTTTGTCTTTGTTGCCTTGCTCCTCATCAGTGCTAGCGAGGCTCACCATACTCTGTTCGATCCACCCCACTGCCAGGGTTAAGGCCCTCAATGCTGCAGAACACTCTCCTTCGTCCGGTGCAGACAATCAGCTTTGCTCCCAAACATTTTACGGTGCGTCAACGTTTCATGCCCAGTAGGGTCTAATCAGGCCCGAACAGTCAAAATACACTGTTCAAGTCAATGGTGCTGCCTAGAGCTGTCACCTACACCTGTGCCGCTACAATGCCGGAAAGATCAATAAGGAGAAGCATAACAGTATGCTGTACGAGTGCCGTTGGTTGTTTTCAATGACAGATCGTAAGCACTACCAACTGAGACAGATGCTCCTTCGCTCGAAGGAGTCTCAGCGCCAGCAGTAAGATCTCCCCTCAGTTGGGTAATCACTGCCTTGCCTCCACTTCCATCAAGAACACTTTCCTTGCTCTTCTCTTAATCGACGCTTGCACTTATGTGGGTGCACATCTATACACTCGCAACCGAAATATTCTCGTCTACTTGGCCACTCTTCCATCATGTGTCTAACTCGCATCAACTTGTTGATGTGTATGCATACACGTCATCCGGAAACCTAGTTATGTGCGGCTACGCACACCCTGTGGGTGAATACACGCTAGCTTCTAATGTGTATATATGCCCCGCGTAGATCCACCAAAGTAAGGTAAAGCGGACTTATCGCTGTTTTGCGGTGGCATTTCCGCAGCACAGCGGAGTGCAAGCGTTCGGAAATGCTTCCGCTCAGCACAAGACCGGAAGAAAGCAAAATACCTGCCTGCTCTCTCTTGAACACATGGAGTTTCGCCAGTTACTTAAGTGTTCAACCGTCCACTGAATCTACCATGAAGTATTCTTGTGCATGAAGAAAAATCCCCAGCGTGGATGCCCCTATGCTTCATCCCCTATTCATTTCTCAGGAGAAACAGGTGAAAGGTATATGCAAACGTTTCCTCTCTGCAAAAGTCTGCAGTCCTCGCAGTTCCCGTAGATTTGACGTGGGTCCTTTGAGAAGGCGACAACTCAAAACTTCAAAAGTGTCACCCGTCTGCTAGGGCACATGGGAAGCAATGAACAAGAATGTCCAGAGGCTGCCACTACGCTGATCATCACTGCCTGGTGTGAATACACCGCTAAGCACTGCCCGACTTATCTGCGACCCGGGGTGGGGGCCCCTGGGTGGGGGCAGTTTTCATGCGTTTGTTACCGGGCCACAAACGCATGCATCCGTTTCCTCAAACGCAGTGTACACAAGGAGGTGTTCCTGAAGAAGTTGGCTCGTTACTAGCTATCAATCTTTTCAGATGCTACTGCAAGTAAAAAACGTCCTCGATGCACACAAGTTACTGCAGGAACAGCGGCACCAGCTACAGCAGCCTCCGGTGACGCAGCAGCCATAGCAGCCGTTACTTTAGGACGCATGAACCCTGAATACTTCCAAGGTGTCAATAATCCGTGAGAGACGAGCAGGGGACAGGCGGATAAGGGATGGAATGTGTGCCTTGGCTTCATCCGGGGTGCGGGGCAGCAGGTTGACCAGCAGCGCTAGCTCAAACTGCTGCAAGTCCCCTTCCCGCTCAAGGTGCCTGCAAGCCCAGCAGCAGTAGCAGCGGTTCAGCACAAAAAATCGGCAACACCCAAACTTGATGCAGTATGCATATTCATGCTGCCACTTGCAATAGAAGCAGCAGCAGCTGTAACAATCGCGGTGCAGCAGCAGGAGTAACAATAGATGCTTCTGGAGTTGTACTGCGGCCGTACTTGCGAATCTCCACAACGGCTGTCCTGACAGTCATCTTCCCAAAGCGCGAAGAATACTCGTAGGATGCTTTGATTAAGCTGCAAATAAGCCCAGAAGCCACATGAGCACAGACCATAGAACGCGCTATTCCCATCCCCCGCCTTGCGGCTGCCGCTGTCGCCAACAAAATGATTTCATTCCGGAATGGTAGCACTTCTGCGAGCAGCAGATATACTGAAGGGAACAACCGAAGTACCGTCTCCCTATGCTACTGCTGCCGTTGCAAGCTACTGTCGCAACTGCTGCCGGAGGCTCAGACAGCTGGCATTCGGCTCAACTCATCAATCCAGAAGTATCTGCAGCAACCAAGTCGAGTAGTTGAAGTGCTGGATTATGCAAGCCTAAGTAGTTGCTCCGTTCACACACAAGAGCTCCACCGAAATGGTACTCACTTGTGCGCTTCTGCAGGACGAGAGACAGAAAGGCGGAGCTGATCCCCTAGAATGAGCTGAAGCTCGCATAAATTAAGGCACTTGGCATTCTTGAACTCTGTAGGCAAAAACGCATGAAACTCAGGTACTGTGGCCTGGCCTTCATCCCCGCAGTCCGCATGGAGACTGGAGCTTTGAGTGGTCTGTACAATTGCAAGGTCCCCACAACTATAAGAATAGCAACTTGACGACCTGCACGACCTGAACTTGATTCACCTGGACCCAAGTCGCCCGCCAGGGAATCCTGCGTTGGAGAATCCATTTTCGTTCGGTCAAACCCAAGCACACCATGCAGAGAGGTCTGATATTGTAGGGACAGGTACTACATTGAGCCCAACGTTCGAACAGCTCTTGAATACATGGAGTAAGAAAGGACAGAGTGGTAGTGCAAAAACACCACCCTTACAAGTCGGACCTGGGCGTGTTGTAGAGAAAGCTGTATAGCAGGACCTGTGGCAAGTTCAGCTGCTACGGGCGCATGGCCAATGATGATTGAAAGGGACCCCCGGTAACCCCCCAAACCACACTGGAAGTACTTAAAAAAAGGAAAGCTTATTGAAATGGTGTTTCTTGGGCCCTGGATGTTAATGGTGTTCAGCAATTCGTCTCTGCAGACTGCCGCATGCAGTCCCAAAAGCTGCCGCTGTGCCGTGCTAATATTTGAAACGGATTCGTCTGCTGCTACCAACGCAGACGAGTAGTCGAGAAAGATGTAAAATTCTTTTACTCACTACTGTTAAATGTCTCTTCGAGTCCCAGGTTCTGTCCTTCGGCAGGTTACGGATGACTTTCCTTTAGATGTAAGACACGCAATTCCAACAACACGCATACACATATCAATGGGAGTTTCTGTACCTTCAGGTGTTCAGCACCCGGCTCCCTAAGCTTACCGTGGCACCGCACGAAGTTATCCAACGACGATCCCAAACTCGAGGACTCTCGTTACCCTGTAGATCGTGTGAGAAAAACAGTCCTGCAGAAGTGCATACTCAAGCGTACCCAATCACGGTTTCAACGCATGCACAAACAGCTCTTGCAATCGTCATAGGTCAACTTAAATCGATACAACTTACGACTAGTAGTACCATGCATGCAGCGAGAGTCGAAGACCCTATTTAACTCTCAGGAGCTGTTTTTCAGACGAAACACTTGTTATTGGATTTTTTTAAAAGCGGCTGATCATCCTCTCTTGTCGCTTACTTTTACTGCTGGTGCTGCAAACAATAATGCACTTTCGCACGCCAACCTGCTGCTTGGCCTTGGCCCAAGACCCTCTGGATGTTCTGTATCATGCACCGGATTGGTTGCTAGTTTTGATGCCACCATCTCAACCGAATCAGGTTTTGAACTATACGGCGCACGTGAAATGTACGGCACGCGTGGTGTCGGAGTTACTGCAGTATCTAAGGGAAGCGTCCAGTTTTAAAATTGAAAGGGAACCAAACTACCAAGCGCCGAAGTTTCCAACAAGCTATCTGTAATGGGGTGAAACTTCACATCGGTAGGAAAAATTGCTGCCGGGCAACGTGTAGATATGAAAAGACACTTGACCCTGTATTCATGCTACATTGTGACTGCCAACATAACGTTACACTCAACGAGCTTTGCCGTGCGCTGTGTACACCCACGGTTTTAGAAGCCTCTGCTAAGTCGGGGAGGAAGCGCACACGAGTAATTGCATCAGTATTATTAACAGGCACTATCTCGGGTTGTCGATATTCTGGCTGCTTAAAGTAATATTCCCTTAGTGTTGTTGAACAAATTCAAGATCCCAGCCATCTTTAGTTGCTCCTTGCAGTGATAGTGGCAACATTATGGGAACACTCTAAGGGCACTCTTAAATTCGCTGAAGCGTTTTAGAGGGTGACCACTGCGAAATACACCAAATGGTCTAGGAGTTGAAATTTCCATAGGAGTCAAGGCCTGATAGGGACCTTCGGCTTGACCTACCAGCGTCCCACAAAAGTGAGCAAAGGATCTCCTAATGAGAGGTATTTCTTTGGTCAGCCGAAGGACCTGGCCAAGAGCACCAAACCTGTGTTCACCACTTCCTGGCCCACTAGAGCATGATTATGCTCTAAAGTAAAGCTCCTATGAAGAGCGAAACTGGAATGCGTATTCGGGATAGTCCTCGTTCCGTGGGGTACAGCGTGGAAGCCCTGTTTATGCAGTCCATACATTGCTGAATTTCCTAAGAGTCGCAGCTCCCTCAATAGGAAAACAGGTGCTGGCCCGAAGAGTCACGATAGTGTGGATCAGAGACTCAGGTCGCTGGTGCCGTTGATATACCTGATACATACTTGACTGTGCAGAGGTAGTTCATGAGTTAACAAGTCACGGAACGCATCCTTCGCTTCAGAAATGGGGACTGTCGTGAGCAGCATAGGAACCAGAATAGTGAACGGTTCCAAAAGCAGCTGGAAAACCCCCAAGCCCCACAAAATCTGGGGCGCAACTAATCGGGCCTAGTGCTGGTGCAGGGAAGGTGCGGCCTGCCATGAATTGTCTAACGCGTGGTCTTGAACCTCACCCGAAGGCTACTGTGAGCTGCAGTTGTGCCAAAATGCTTAAAATTAGAATTCCTCACATCCATCCCCAGTCTCCAAGCATCCTGATAGCCCTAACCCAAGTGCCTGGACTGCAGGAGATGAGGTGCCCAGTCATAGGTTGCAACGTCCTTGCTGCACCACAACGCGCAGAGCGGTACGTATATGCCTGCTTGTATATGCTAAAAGTGTAGGAAGTGACTGGAAAATTTCGTCTGCGCACTGTTGATTTACTAGGCTTTAGTACGATTGGTGTGCGCAGTGCAGGCATACTTGTCAACATTGCGAAGACCCAACCACACATGGTAAGACTCTTGCCACAGGGCAATCCCAAAGGCCAGCATATCCAAGCTTCTCTAGATTAGTGTGAAAACAGTGCAGGGAAGTGTTCCACACCCTTATTTTCCCTCAGCAGCCAAGTTTCACATGAGCAGAATGCAAGTAACGACATCAGGGGAACATGATACACTGATACATTGGTCACACAGACTCTGCTGCAATTTGAACACCAAATCCTGCGGACATAAGGGAAATGACGTGCTCAATTGAAGGTCAGGTGTACACACTGTATGTTTATGCGATATTCGGGTCTTCTGCGAGAAACAAAAGACTGAACATGAATTCTTGGCCGGAAGAAGAAGAAAGGAACAGAAACAGACCGGACGGAGCACCCTAGCACACGAAGGGAATGAGAATAAATCCTCACCTTTTCGAATTATATGTATGCCTCAAGTTTATATCAGTACAAGTTGCATAATTAACGCCAAGGGGCAGAGGTCCAGAAGTTGGTCATCCACAGAGTTAAGGGACCACAGTCTGTGTTCGGCCCTCCAGGCACTGCGGTGGGGCTCCGTAGGCCGCATCTCCCCACATGCCACTTCTATATGGGCCTTGTGTCTCCAAAATAATCCGCCGATTATGAGCGTCTCTTTAAGTGTACTTGTTAATCTTAAGGAATGCACGGGATAAATGCGTCGTATGGGGAATGAATTGACATCAATGTGAGATCGACATCTCAAGTGTGTTCCGTCCAAATAAACCCAGCACCGCCCAATTTGAATTGGGAGAAGCGCGCTTTTCACCAAATATGGCTATAATTTGTTTCTTCACGGCTGTCCTCTAATGGATCCCTTCCATTAAAGCCATGTTAGGCCTTTCCTAGTCGCCGGGGCAGGCGCCGCCGGTGACAAGTTGCCACAGTAAGCGATAAACTCGACCCCAAATAGGCCACGATCCATTTGTGAAACTCACTTAGAATGCCCTGTTTTGTGTCATCTGCGTTGATGCAGTATCATACTTGGGTATGCGCGCTATTCCGAGGAAGTGGTGTTCCGGCTCTGCCAAATACTCCCGGCTGGAGTTATAGCCCTTCTGTGGCATAACTCTAGCAAATGGCCGAGCCAGTGTGTGCTGCTATTCCTCCCGGAATGTATAGGTATATGGTTGCTGCTTATGATGCATGGTCGTGATGATAATCTGTTTTTCGCGGTACCTTCTGGTGTATTCTTATATTACCACAGCATAGAAGGTACTGCATCCCTCTGTTTTGGACGTACTAGCTACTTGAGAATCTCGGACGTCCTTGGGAAGGGGGATATACTGACTGAGTCATGGACTAGATCCTTCGGCCTTGCAGAGGTGTCTTGGCTCATTACTTCGTCCGCTGACTCACACTGTGGCATGCTGTTCCCCCAGTTTGACAGCTCGCTAGATGGTGGTGTGCGGCTAAGCTTGGAGGTTTGGGAGACCGTGCTAGTGGCTTGGGAGGTTCTTAAGCAAGCGCCTTTTCTTAGGTTTTCATGTTGATGGACCTCTCCCGGTGGTGCTTCCGTAATAGTGAGACTCGACCAGAGGCAATCTGAAAAGTGTTTTTCGCATAGATATGTGCACCGTTGTCAGCGTATTTTTTTCCTTGTTGATGGGATGGCGAGTGTGAGGTGGAGCTCGTGATTATTTTTTTCATAGTTGTATCACTTGGAGTACCCATGAACGGCTGCTCGATGCAAACGAGAGTCCCGCTGTGGCTGAGTTTCGTTTGCGCTCACGTTCGTGGGTTGACTGCAACGGCCTCTTGTCGAGTAGCGGGGAAGGCCAGCTGGGCCAATGGGCCGCTTCTCTAGAGGGGGTCGGAAATTGAATGCTTCGGTTGAGGGGGAGAGCTCGTTGTTTCCATTGCTGTCGCTTGGTTGTCCTCGGCTTGCCAGTGTGTTGCTTGTGCAATCTGTTTGTGCGTATGCATGTTGCCCACAGGATGCAGTTTGTGTCTGGGACGTCTTCGGCTGCTCGGCCTCGCAAAGTATTTGGGGGTTCTAGCCTAGGCTGGCGGCTTGCTGCAGGGTTACGATGGCTTGGGCAGTTCCAGTTTGTGTGCTTGTTGTTGGCTGGCGATTCCCATCTGCTTGGACATATCTGTCGAATGGCGATTGCTTGTTCGGTTTGAATCAACGGGGGGTTTGCAATGCAGACGTAGCGTTGGTCTGAATTTTTCTTCGCCCTGATATATTGATTTCCGTCTAGTGGATTGATTGCTTTCAGAGCGTTGCAGCATATACAGACGCTTGCAGGTGAGTGGAGTCAAGCTGCCGAGCTGCCAGAATTGAAAAGATGATTTTTATGGCTCATTGCCGCCTGAGTAAACACAATGCGACTTTTTGGAGGCTTTTCAAGTTTGCATTTCACCGTAGGCTGTTCGATATTTAGACGCTTAATAGGACGGGATTGGAGACCCCCAACCACAGTGCGAGTTTCTTCTAGTGTAGTCGATGGTCTTTCAGGAATGCGTGTCAGGAATTCATTGACCCACAGAGATAAGAGCGGTCAGCGGTTTTAGTTACTTTAGGGTAGGGACTTAGGTCTGCTGAGCCACAGGTCCCCGCAAACGTCTCTAGTAGGTGTAAATCGCAATTTGCTTCGGTTACTCTTATTGTCAATTGGAATACCCACCGTTGCACTGTCCTGGAACTTCGTCGGCACTGCGGCTGGAGCCTGCACCGGAGGCTCCTGCGGTTTAGCCGTTGCTTATTCTACCCGCTAGTGTATTTTAATTTCGACTTTTCTTGTTCTAGCGTGGAAGTATACTTTGTCGTAGCTTGCTAACACGGTTTCAGCCTTGCCGTCGGTCTTAAATTTGTTTGCTCTGTTGCCCGTTACCGCTTGCCCCTAATGCGCCGTCGTTTTTAGACATATTTGCAAATAGTTTTCTCCACGTTATAAATGCGCTTCATAGTTAAACTCTGAAAGAGCGCATGCGTCGTTCCACTGGGCGTGACGCCGTCACGATATCCGCTAGGCTCTGACTGGCTGCCTCCGCTGGCGGTCCTAACCTATCACTTCCACCGGTCGTTGGTTTGGTTTTGCTAGTTAACGTTATAACTTCTGGAACATTGATGAAATATTTGCAATTTATTGGCAAGCAAATAGACATCAGTTGCCCTTGGACGGGACCGAGGTCCAGAACCTGAACGCGCCTGAACCGTTGAAGACCACAGCGTCGCCCAGGTGACCTGTCACGACTCCGAGCAAACTCATTGCTGCCCTGTAGAGGCATCCGGATCGCACGTTGAGTGACTTCCGATGAGCTTTCCTGTGATAGTTTTCCTTTAGTCGGCCATTCTTGCTGTGTGGCGATTTCTGGGAGGGCAGACGGCTAAATTCTGCCGCATCCAGGGTGGAGAGTGAGCTGTGTTTTCAGGTATCGCCTGTCACAAGCAAGGGACAGACGCCATCTGCAAGCATCACTGCTTTTACTTAGCATTCTGAACAGCCAGCGAAGGCTTCCCGGTGCCCTTTGTGGTGGCAGTAGCGATTGGCAGGCTATTGGCCACATTGCGAACTGTTCGTAAGACTACTTGTGAGAGTTTCTTGCAATTTACTCGCAACAACTAGGTGCTGCTTGCCAAACGCAGAGCCAGCATATTTTGGGAACAAAGCTCTGAGCAGCCCCTGACATTTACCTGACAGCCCGACAGCGTTTGTGCCAAATCATCCAAATCGTCGACTTGATTCCATGAGTGGCATGATCGCCGGTCGGCACAGCACTGCAATCTCCTCCGGCTACATACATTTAGAGCTCTCTGCATGCTGTGGAACCTAGCCTGGAAGACTATACGCTCCGTTGGACCAGTGTTGCCCTTCACGGAGAGCGTGTTAACTGCGCCAACATCTTTTGCTGGCAGTAAGGGGAACGGCGCACCGCTAGTGATCACCTGCAAGTATGATGGATGTATCTTCTCAAGCATCCCAAGGCAAGTATGCATTTGCGCATTTTGTCTCCTCGTCGGCAGGGAGGGTGCAATTTTGCAGCAATCCGCAGCAACGAATCTGCCAAGTTGTGCGTGTTAATGCATCATAGATGTCACTGTCCGTGCGCTACAGACGTACAGAGATGCCTACCAACTAGAGATACCCCACGTAATCTGAAAAAGGCTCCATTCTTGCAGGGTGCGCCACATTGTTCTGCTCTTCCGCATCATGCGCTAGACTCTTCAGCGACAGAAGCACCGCTGTCACCGCTCACGTCTCCAGGGGGCGTACTTGCTTCAGTTGACATCAATTCCAGAGAGATGCTACTGCAAGATTCTGAGTCTGCACGAACACCACAGCCTCCGAAGGGGGAAGAGGGCCTGCAGGGAGAGAAGAGCAGCCACATTACGCCAAAGGGCAGCCAGCCGCAGATCAAGCAAACCGGCTCCTCGCAAACTTCAACGGAAAAAAAGCCCTCATCTTCTGGCTTTTGTTTGTCAGCTGATGCACCCCCGTACACTCCCCAATCCTCAGCAGCAAAGCAAGAAACAAAGGCAACAAACAGTTTAGGCGCCGTAGCTGAGACGTTTGACTTGGGATTTATTCGTCCATTTAACTCCCCTCTTGGGCACCAACAGCAACACAATTTACAGCAAAAACACGGGTATGCGTCATTAACTGCACCCCTAACGACTTCTGGTGATGCAAGGGTGCCTCGCCGAGCAGAGTCGGTAGGCCTTACCCAAGCAGAAGCCCAGCTCCAATCCGACACTACCCGAAAGCTTTCTCTGAAGCCAAGTGCGAATGCGGTGACGTCTACGGTACCACTCAAATTCTGCAAGTTTCTCGTAGGCGAAGATGTTGCAGGTTTCTTGGTTGGGCGGAAGGGCGTAGGTGGGCCAGCGCTCACTATTAAGATTGGTGGCCGTTGGCACATGTTATTTTCCACTCCATGCGAATATGCGCAACTAGGGGACATCTCCAGCTTGCGTAGGTTTCGTGCAGTGCTAGTCTCCCCGAGCAGTGTACGACCTCTGCGGTGAAATCTCAGGCATTGAAGAATTTCAGTCTCGAAATGGACCGGGGCTCAAGGTCAGCGTATCAAAGAGGGGGGAACTTTTTCCTTGCTTGCTTGAACGAACAGCGACTGCAGTTGGAGTTGGTGATGGCGTAGAGCGAGCATTGCTGGAAGTCTCTCGAGTAGCACTCGACAGGGCGATGCATAAAGAGGAGGAACGGCGAATTGACAATGGAAAAAAAATATGCAAACCCAAAGTGAACAAATTCAACTGCTTGAATTAGCTTATTGCCTTGTACCAATACTACTCTGAATTGTGTTCAGGCTATCCGCATCAGTCATCCAAGCTTTTGTGGCAGAATGATGTATGTTGTTTTGGATGCTTAGGGATGCTTTAAACTTGTTGTGCCCGAGACTGCGCTTGTGTACATTTTCACACCGGATCCAGAAGGGCGTGTGCCTGTGCTGGAAGTCGGTAGGTAAAGTTTTTCGAGGCTCGCATTTTACACAGTATTTCAATGCGCAAACTGTAGGAACCGGCTCAGTGGGAGCAAGCAATATGCCTAATCTTATATCTTGACGTAAAGCCTACTTTGTGCGCTGCAGCTAAGAAACACGGCGTTGAGATTCTCTCCTCCGCAGAAGGCGGATACCTACACAATAAAATTCATCATTTGGGACTGAAGGTGCTGTAGCCCGCCGCCTGTGGTTGAACCTTGAGTGTACCTATTCGCGTTCTATGAGCCTATTCAACTTAGTCGTTCGCCAACGTGCCCCCACCGTGGATTCTTTATGCTTGGATGAATGTGCTGCTTCTCAGGAAACCATTCTGCAAATAATTGGCACGTCAGATACGGTGCCACCAGCAGTGGTGGATCTGTCACTACTTTACCAGGGTGACCCGTCTCTGCCTTCATCTCTCCACTTGAACTACTCGCATGCACACTTTGTTGCCACACCACCCCCTCCGCCTACCCCACCGCCTTCCCCAGCTCTGAGCAGCAACTGTGGCACCCGTTTCCCCCCCCACTTTGCGCACCCCTCGGAAGCGCTGCATTTAACCAGTAGTCACCAGTCTTATGGAATCTCTAGCACCTGGAGTCAGACACCGCAACCGACGCCGATTCTGGACGGCCACCGGGTTTCTGTCAGCTCGCAGGCTTCTATGCTTTGCATGCCGTCAACTGTAGGCAGCTCGGATAGCATGCCATCTGCTCAGGTGTCACAAGTCGAGTGCCAGTTGGCACCGCAAAAGCAAGGGTACCAGGGGTCATCTTCTTATGCCCTTCCTAGCAATGGTAGCGGGTGTCTAGGTGGATGGCAGAATTGTCAGGAGAGTCCCGCCGTGAGCATGCCATCGCTGGCGGGGGAGCGCCTCACAGCAGAACTACAGCATCACTTAGGGGCCGCAATAGTTGCTGCGGCAGCAGCAAACGCAGTAACCGCTCAGCAACAATCGACCTCAGTCCCTACCAACACTCATACTTCATTTTGGCCCCAACAGCAGCAGCAGCAGCAGCAAGAGCACCCTCAACAGCAGCTGCAGCAGCAGCTAAGGCCATCATGTGATTGGCCGCAGATCCATCTTCTCAGCCAGTTTTGTGCGGCCCATCCTAAACAAATCTCAAGGCAAAATGAACAAAACAGGGCACTTCTCCAGGACAATGCACAACGGGGGCAGTTTCATCAAGTTGAGTCGCAGCAGCCAATTCTACAGAGACAGATTCAGCAGGCGCAGCAGGAACACCGAAGTCTGCACTATTCTAATCAGCTAGATGAAGTCAATGGGTCTCGTATGCCGTCCTCGGCTTGTGCAATGAGTTTGCAACAACTGCAGGAGCAGATCAACGCTCTACAGCTGCAGTGTAAAGAGGACGAGCAACGGGATGATAATGCTGCCAGTGTAAGCTCTTTCACTTCTAGCGGTGGACAACCAGGCGAGCAGAAGCAAGTGCTGCTCGCAAAGCAGACGCAGCAACAGCTGCAGCAGTACTTACAACAACAGATGCAGCAGCGGCAACCACAAAATCTGCACCAGAGTCAACTCTACCGCCAAACTCTGCAAGTCGATATACCACCTTTGCAGCGATGGACACTACCCAATACGGCATCACTGCACGACGAACAGAACTACCCCATTACATGCTCAGAGCCAGGAGATGGGCAACTCCAGCAGCTGCAACAACTTCAGTCGCTTCGAGAAAGAACATTATTTAAGCAGGACCAAGCTGATGAAGCTGCGGCCCATCAGCTGAAGCTGGATCCATTGCAGCATCCACCGCACGAGGCTCCAATCGAACCACTATCTCCGGTACCGCCCCCCCAGTGGGCACAGATCCCGCAACACCAGCTGCAACAGCAAGCCCAGCAGCTGGCTCAGTCGCCCAATGATGCGAGAATGCCACTAAGTGCTTCTCAGAGCAGCCCGTCTGGAGCTCCCCCAGACATGTCACTGCAGCTACCTCAGCGGCAGCTGGAGGCTCATGATGGTATTAATGTCGGCATCCTACCTCAGCATCCGAAAGAGGCCTCATCTGCTCTGAAGCAAGCTGGGCTAGAAGGACCTGAATACCCTGCTCCTCAACAGTTAATTCAGTCTGAAGATATATGTGACCCTCTCACAGTACGCAAGCTTTTAGAGGATCTTCTTAAAATCATAGGCCTCTCCACAATCCAAGCCCCTAACAGCCACTGCCAGGGGTCGAAAGCGGCTGCGCTCACTCATTCGGCTGAGACTACATTAGACAATGAAGCGTTGGAGGAACCTCAGCAAAGGACACTAGAAGTGGGATCGCGGACACCGGAAGGGGTAGCAATGTCTTCCATCCACACTAACAAGGTATATTGCATTTGAAATAACGAAAATACTGAACGCATACCACCACAGAGAATACAGTTCCTAAGGTGTTAGGCATTGCGGTGAAAGTCTGGAGTTTAAAAGGAAGGATTTTGCTTAGACAGTACCCGAAGCCGTTGATGTGCATAGACATGAGATAGTGCTAGCCATGCAATTCAGTGAAACAGAAGGTGCTGCTGCATCTAACAGTGTTGTGGTCTGATTGCAGCCTTCAGAGGAGCCATTCCTGAATCAACCTTCGCAAAGGCAACAGCCCCAGCGGCAGCCAGGCCCGTCTTCGACCAACAACCGCAGGAGACGAAATGCTGCCTCGGCATCCACTAGGGCTGAGCCTGGGTCTAGTCGAAAAGGTGCAGATCTACGTTTAAAGGCCTCCCGTCAGGTGTGCGCATCCAATCCGTAAATTGTCTAGTTGCAGACGACCCCCACCGCATGCGGCGTCAACCGGAAGGCGAAAAAAGGCACTTCTCCGGTACAGTAACTAACCGCCTTCGCAGCAGACTCGCTGTTACAATGTGCCACATAGAGCACCAGTCTTGCAAAGCAAGTTGTTGACCGCGAATACTTTTGCATACCAATTCTAGTGCATTTGCTTTCCCTTTGTTTTTGCTGAGTGGCAATGGAGCAAGGGTATATTCTACTTCCTATGTAGCCACTGCGTGGCCATATCTATGATGCAAAGCAGGAACTGTCTGCCTGCTTTCAAATGTACAAAAGCGCCATTGTGAAGGTGGAATTCCATCTTGTGTCTCTTTCTCTGTTCCTTGAGGAACAAGATTGTGTCCGTCACAGCTTAATCCGGCTAAGGCTTGCTTACATTGAGAAGTCTGTCCCCTTTTGTTCTATTTGGGCTACTGCAGCGCTGGCGTGCGCTCGTGTTTCGTTGTGTGTAGTATTATACAACCAGGTATTCGCACACAGCATGGCTTTGTTGCTTTGGGCTTTTCAAGCTTCGAAGATACTGACTGGTGCTTTGGACTCTCGACTGTATTTGCCACGGCATTTTGCCACCGAAAAGCTTCGGCATCCCATTTGTTCCTTCCCTGTTCGGTCCTGCGGCGATGCACAGCAGTCGCGCAGCAGTTTTGACGCCATTTAATAAGAACGCAAGTTATAGTGGAGCACCAGCGTAGGCCAGATCAGTATCGAATTGCCTTATAGGCATAAAGTTACGGCTGGCATAATGTGTGCAACGGAATGGGTTAAACTGCGCTTGTCGGTAAATGAGTTCAGTTGCTCTGACGACGGCCACTCGAACTAAGCCTTGGCAAATAAGCTTAGTCTTCTTATTCCATATGCACTGACGTCCAAAATCACCGGGAGAGAAATCATAGGCCCAGCCCTTCCTACGCCGTAGGGCCGTTCTTGCTCTTGACGTTCGCCCCAAAGCCCTTCCAAATCGCATGGCCGATCTTTTGCTTTCCTCCCACACTACAACCCTTATGAATAGGCACTAGTAGGTGGTCAGCAAGTAGGTTGTACAGACGATCCACAGGCAAACCTGATGCTCGAACATAAGTGTACACTAGCTCAAATAGCACAAGAGGGGATGGACGTCTCAACGTAGGCAAGCCTTGGCCCGATGAAGCTGTGGCGGAATTAATCTCTTCCCTGAAGGAACAGAGCAAGCGAGATACTAGATGGAATCCCACTTTCACAACGGCGCTTTTGCATGTTTGAAACCAGGAAACCAACCCCCGTTCGCATCATAGATATGGCCTCGCAGTGGTAGCTGGAGAGACGAAAGCACGTCGAAGTGCTTGCACTGTCACTGCGAGGGCCATCATACATGTTCCCATGGCTGGCAGCAAGCTTGCTTGGCACGGAGCAGGTTGCACTGCAGCATAGTCCAGCTTTCGATGCCCTTAGGAAGTTGCCCTTAATCCCACCCTTCACGTGCTGTTTCAGCTAGCTGCCTTTTTTTCATCCAGCAAGGCGCCGATATTGCTAGTTCTGGCGTTCGTGATGTGTCCTATGGCTCGCCGCTGTAGGCTGCAGAAACGCCTCCAACAAAAGAATTTTGCTTCAAATACACAAGATGCAGGGCCCATCGAAACCAGTGGCTGTGACCGTTCTGCCGCAAACTGTTGTGCCGGAAGTCCCTTATTGCCTAGCCGTCTTACATCTTTCGTGTTAGGGCTCAGCTCCAGTTGAACTGTTTTGGGCGATAAAGGCACGTTGGATACAAAGTAAAAATCATTGCTTCTGATGGCACCAAAAGAGGGCTATGACGTGACGCAATAGAGCAAAACCCACAGGGACCTCATAGTCTAGCCTAATTCGCGAACGAGGACAAAGCTCCAAGTGAAAAACAAGTCATTTGCTCTATACATCGGCAGCGGCCGCAGCAGCGCTTCATCGACGCGTAGGCAGGCACTGTCATTGACGAGAAGAAGTACTGCCGTTCTTTCCCTCCCCAAGGTGCTTGCAGTGCGGCTTGGCGGTAGAAGCCTACCTTGAAAGATGCCCCACGCCGAGCCCAGATTGAAGGGCGGGTCTTCTAAGGTACATGGCGGATGCCCAAAAAGCAACATGGATGGTGTCCTGCCCTTGCACAAGCTGAAGCATAGGAGCTCTTTACCTGGACGCGAAAAATTTGGCATCACTGACGGCACCATGGTTCTCTCAAATCTAGATGCAGCAGACGAGAGTGCAGAAGGCTCCAAAATAGAGGATACAAGCATGCATGGAAAAACATCTACATTTAGACCTTTTAGCTCGCTGATGAAGCAAAGCCACGGCTCAGCTTTCGCACGAACGGGTTCCCAGAAGGAACCGGTGAGGGACAATAACAACACGCATTGCGTAGGGCATATCTTCCGTGCACCTGAATGTGCACCGTATGGCCTCTCTCCATGCCAAGCTCAAGGGGGGAGCGGCTGCTTCTATCACTACCCTGAGCTGGACTATGGCGTGTCCAATCAAAAGAATATCGGTAGGCCACGCGTTGAATAGGCCACAGACGCAGTATGTGCTCTCAGTTTTCCCCCCAAAAGCAGGGGGAATTTAAGTACGGCCTGAAATTGCTGACTTTATCTCTTCGAAAGAAGTCCAAGTAAGTGCAGCCATAAGGCTGCGTTTCAGCAGGCGCATTCCAAGGCCACGCCACAAGACATCCGGTCCTTCGTTTGCCGCCAACTGTGCAACACGCCGAAAAAGCCCTCTATGCGCTAGTCCCTGCCGGTCACTGCCACGGACAACAGAGCGCATTGCAGTTGAAGAGGTCGTCGCTGCTGAAACGGCCACCCCATCCAGTTGCAGTCGAGTTCTTAACACATCAAACGGGTGTGTGATAGCAGAGGCTGTGGCAGCTGCAAAAGCACCACAACCGAAATTCCGGAGTGCATAACAACTAACACGCTCTCGAGCATCAGCCTCCACACCCATATGGCTTTTCAAGTTCACGTAAACCACAAAAAACAGCCCAGAGAAGGGAAAATCCCGGCAAATTGTAGCAAGAGTCCCTCGAAACCAGTCAAAAGGCCGCTCATTTCGGAGCAGTTGTGTGAAAGCTTGCAACATGCCTCCGGAGCCCTAAGGGAAACAAAGCAAAGGAAGGGAAGCCATACACAGGCCAGATGGTAACTCGCATGCACTGAATTCTTAATCTAGTCTCCACGCACCATTAAATCCCCTCAAGGGACCACAGTGTTTCCGTACAACTGCCCGTTGCCAGAATAAATTCAAAGAACACAAACTCACCAAGGACGACTCCATTCTGGTCTTCACAATAGAAATCGGATTGAAAATGGCAACGGCTGCTCCCCTAGCTACGCCGGAAATGACCCCGAGGTACCATGCAGGAACGACATTTGGGTCAAACTGAACAAGCACAAAATGAGATATTCAGAGATAACGTAAAATGAGGCTTGTCATTCATGAGGATATCTCTTGTACAAGGGCGCACAAACAGCACACGATGAAGGACATTTACATGAGCAAAAATACCTCAACGGGCGTGCCTGATATCCTCTCCACCGGTAAAGTCTTCAGAAGAGGTGCTACCGCGCCCCATGTGCTCATCATTGGCCCTAAAGCTGCAAAGTAAATGCCTGGACCACAAATGCACACATGCAACTCATGTGTGCAAAAGTTAACACCATAATCCCGGGGAACATTGCAGTTTACCCTTGAGGGGGGATTACTTGTCCCAAACTTTGCAACAAAAGACAAGCTGTCCCCACTTCACAAACAAGGACTAGACAGTCAAAAATATTCCTAATTATGGGCCCTTAACACTGCTTCTAGAATGCGCACCGGTCCCTGGGGCCACCCGAAGGATAGTGGCCAGTGAGCCACGCCAAAAGCCCAAGGCTCCATATTCTCTGTATATCGATGACGCAGCAGCTCTGATGGAAGGTCGCACCCCTGCGAGGCATTGTTGTTGCTGAATCCACACAGGAAAAAGCGCAAATAATAGGCGAGCAGAAGTTGAGTCTGTCACAGCAATGGCGGCAGTTGAAGCATGGTGTAGTAGCTGGAGCATTGAATGCGGAAACATCAGTATCTACGTGTCCCGTTGTCCCCATGAAATTCTTAGGAGGTGCTATGAAAAGCAAACACCTGTCGGGTTTTGATTATATCTAGGGGTTGAAGGAATACAGCGGCTGTGCAGCTTGACAGGGCGCCATAGAGACCCATCCGGGTTGCAGATGTATCTTCACGATTCCCACATCCAAAAATTGCAGCACTACTGGGATTAGGCCTTCCACCAGTACCTTCACGCGCATTTTTGTTCTCTGCAGAGGATTTGGAGCTGTCGGCCGATTCAGGGTCCGATCTGTCCATTGTGTGCGCCGCGCGTGATGCAGCCCGCAAGAACGAATGCTCCCCGAATGAATGTCGGTGAGCTCTATATTACTGAGACCCAAGGTAATGAGATACAGACGTAGAGAAGCCTCTAAAAGGTGTGTGAGGGATCAGAAACGCAATGACGGATAAGACATGAAGTTGCATCCGTTGTTCCGCAGAACAAGAATGACCCCACACCACCACAACTCCTAGTAGCACATTCGCATCAGTATATACTAAAAAGAATTTATAGAATTTTACACTTAGAGGTAGACTGAACCTGTAAACTGTATGTTTGCGTTCAGACCGGTGGGCCAGGCGACACAGGGCCCCCCGCTTGGGGGGCCCTGTGTCGATGTAAAAGGGAGGCTGCTACGCAGCAATAAACATGTTTTTGAAGAGCAATAATGGGATTGCCGTCCAATTTTGGAGTCATCTGGCTCTGGAAATGATACAGGAGGGAAAAAGGACCACAACCCCTTGGGAGCGTATCGAACTAGATGGACGTCACGCGAACGAACGCTGACACAATGAGAACGGGAGGTTAAGAATGGGGCATGGAAGACCATTTTTGCAAGATTAAGTCAATTTTTAGGTGTCACGTGCAGGATTAAGTGACAGGCTCATCGCTCTTAGTCACGTCCCTGGGCCATTGGAGGTCTGTGGTTCTTGATTGCTTTCCTCTCATTTACATGCTTCACCATAACCGCAAGCAGTGACCACGCCAATAGCTTAGAGAAACTGAAAGGCCTAGATGGTTTGGGCCAGATCATACTTTTACACCCTTGACGTGTGCTTAATCGTGCTGCATCCGAAGCATTTATGCCGTTTTGCTTTCTCTCGTCTGGGCAGCTAAGTTACGTGAAGTAACCACTTTGCTTGGGTTCAATAATTTTAACGGCACTTCGGTCCGTGAGGAACGGAAGCCTGTTACTAGGGCAAATTTAATCATAAGCGGGCTTCTCTTTGGCTCGTTGCCTTGTGTGTAAGCGGCCCCGGTTTATCAACAACCCGACAAATTGCTCTACTGTGTACATTAAACGCCAACTACGCGACATCCCCCTCGCTATTTCTGCGGGAAACAGACACAAAATCAGCAAAGGAGTTCATTCCACCACCTCCTTCGACGAGTTGCTGACAAATTCGAGGTGGAATCCTACTCCGCAGGTGTGGCTGCCATGAAGGCAACTGTGTTTTAGCAGCTGCTACATGGTGTAGAATGATTTACCAGTGGGTTTCCGCATCTTCTAGGGCTGCTGAACATTACAGTGAAGCTACTTGATTGCCTGGGACGTGGAGTGTGCAGCGCAAGAGTAACGCAAACTTCGTAACAGCATGGAAACGCCGGTCAGTGCACAGGAAATGGTGGGGTAGTTGCTCTGAAACGTCTCAAATGAAGTTGCAATACGCTGCAGATATGCTCGAGCTAATCAGGTTACTAGTATTGGATGCTGGTGGTTTGAGATCTGCGGATGAGGCGAGTGAAAATGTCTAAAATTTCAGCATGCCCAAGAGGACTTGGTGGGTCAATTGCCAGGCAGAACCAACTTTTGTTTAATAACAGGCGGAGAGCTGCAAGTTGCTTTCCTGATGTTAGCATTTGGCAGTATGCATCCGCGGCTCCCTGCGTTACGTCAACTGTTTAAAAGGCACGCGAAACAGACTTTATCCAGTGCCTGGAGCCTTTGGTGTAGGCAATCCTGGCATTTTTGCATTCGCATAATTCATAGCGGAGGTCCCAGGGACCCCCGGTACCTGTTTAGGTTCCGGAACCATTTTGGCTGGAGGAGCAACAAACGGCATCGCCTTGCTTTGTGCCGTCGCCGCCGGTTGTTGCTCGCCGAACAGTTTGGGAGGCCCAGCGCTCCTAGCTGATATTCCATTCGGTGCCCCTTTCCCTTTAACAGTTTCTGCAAACGGTTGCGACGGAACGGATTCCTTTGGCTGAGCTGGACCTACCTGCAGTAGCAAAAGTACAAACCCTGCAGAAATCCCTAGAGCTGCCTAAAATGTCATCTGGCATTCGTCACCAGCCTACCCCGCTGGGGCAGGGAAGGGCCCCGGTGTTTACGTTATCTTTACGCTTACCGTCGCGATGAGTTCTTTTGGGAGCTCGCTGGCTTGAACCCGCTCTCCCCAGCTGTTGACAAAATCGCCTTCAACTGTGGTGAAAATCTTCGATCCATCTGGAGTCACATACTGCCCACCCGAGCGATTTAGGCAAGGAGATACTACCAAAGGAGCCCCGTCAGGCCTCAACACATTGATACCATCGGGATTCACAAGAGGTATAGTCGCGCCACGAGAAGAGTCAGCCGTATTCTTCAGGAGTGCCAGGCGCTCTTCGTCTGTCGCCCCCGACCAGTCGTACCCTAGCCAGGACCGAATCCTTCTACTGCATACGACTGTGATTAGCACAAGTACAGTGGAGGCGAGAGCCCCAAATAGACAGCAGCCAACAAAGCTGAAACAAGAGAGCCCAAGGAAAAAAGATTCTGGAGCTGCTGTATCACCCTCAGACGCCTGCTGAGTAGTTTCCACGCGTCCCTCCAAAGCCGGTTTGCTGTTGGCTGAAGCATTCTCTGATTCCCCTGAAAAGTTGTTATTGGTCCCAGGTAAAGTAATGGACGTGTTCTCACTCAGATGTGAGTCATGGGGGGCTGCCACCGGTTCGTCTTGCGTGCCTGCCAACTCAATCGACCCATTAGCCCCTTTCTCAGAAGGAGGCACCAAGGCAGTTCCCTCATGTACATGGTTCTTTGTGTCCTCAATGAAGGGCGAATCGTAAGGGATAGTCACGGGTTCTCCCAGAGGTTGTGTCCCCCCAGACAGAGCGTGTGTATTGTCGTCCTCGGTGGAAGGTGCCGCAGCAGAATCCCCTTCGACCTTCAGTGCCTGTGTATCTCCATACTCGGCATAAGAAGCCATAGAAGTAGAACCTTCAAATGCAGAGTTTGAAGTGCCTCCATCGTCAGTCGAGGCTGCGACAGCAGGTGATAGCCCACTCTCAGGGTTCTGACTGCCCTCCTCCACAGCAACTGTCGAGTCTTCGGCGGTGCTCAGTGGTTCGTTTTCTGTGAGTGAGTCCACAGCAGGCTTATCCAAGTGCTGTCCGATTGTTCCATATGCCGAAAGATCTTCAGCGTAGTGTTCAGTCACAAAACGCTCTGGAACATCTCCAAGCGGCAGTGCGTGTGAGTTGTCACCTGACTCTTGCTGCGCTTCCTCCATGTACTTTACAGGACCAGTGCCCAAAGAAATACTCGGGCGGGGCATCTTAGTTAATGAACTGAAAAGCATCCGCCCGCTTGCCAGAGCCTCAGTATCCATCATGGTTGCGTGGGAATGCAGGTGAATGGCAGAGGAAACCGTTTGACTCTCTCTGTCAAGCCCCAAGTGGCCACCTACTGCATCAATTCTGTCATCCTCAACATTCTCGCTCGAACACTTGGGAACAGCCTCACAGACGTTTTGCACTTCCAGTGAAGTTTTGTCACATCTGGCTGCCAGACCTGGTACTGGATATTGATGCACACTGCGTGTACGGGTTCGGTATGCAGTGATTCTCGCAGTGTCACCAGGCACACACGCCGGTGAGCATTCACTCCACTCTGAATATGGGCTGTAAATACACCAACTTGAAATCGATTTAGAAATGGCAACAGTGAACCCACTCATCAGTCCTGAAGCTTCAGACTCGGCTGTTACTCGATCCTTGCAGAGCCGAGTCTCAATAATAGCATCACACCGCGTCGTCACATTGGGGCGCATCAGCGTCTCCTTGACGCGAACTTGCCACATTGCTGGCGTATGCCGGCCTACACCGTCCATTTCAAGCTGCAAATTGTTCCTCCCTTCGTCTGACGTGTCGGCCTCCAGCTGATAACTGTCATCGCACGGTGACCACGAAGTCCACGGAGAGTACTTGCACGTTGTGTCTTCACACGTGCCTACTTCGCTTTTGAGCTCCCCCAGTTCTAAGCTAGTGCTTCCAGAGCCACTACTTTTAGAGGGCAGGAACACCAACGAGAAGGGGCTGAATGAAGCACATGCAGAAGGAAACTGGGCGCCTAATGTGTCGCCAGCCTCCGCATGGCGTGGCTCAAAAACCTGCGTTCGCGCATGCAGCACAGCACAAGTTAGTCATCTGTCTGAGTGAGTTGTTGGTGTTTTTCAGGCAGTATTAGAACGTTTGGAAATCTTGTTTTATCCAAAACAATATGCATTGCTTGGAACTTCCACCAGGTGCCAACAGGCTAGCACAGTGAAAACACGCAGGACAATGTGGATGCGTAAGCAATTTAATGTTTCGGGGAGACTGCCAGGAAACTCACAGCTCTTATCTCACAAACTTGCTTAGCCATGTTATATACAGAAAAGAGAGTGCCGGTCCCTTCACCCAGACGTTGTACAACCTCCCTTCGAAGTTCGATGGCGTCCTTATCATCGAGAAACTGGGCAAAGTCCTTGTTCATGAGACCTGTCTCCGCCTTAAGACGGTCAGAAATGTCAGGTGAGGAGAGCTTTGCCCTCTCCTCTGCGCTTAAACCCAGTACAAGTGTCAGTAATCGATTAGCTTCCTTTTCCGCATTTGTGGCATCTTCCCCCGACTCTTTTATCTGAGAAACCGCCTTGCGGTACTTGTTCACGAGCTGCAAAACATCGTTCAGCACATCTTGGCATTTTTGCCATGTCATCAAACTGGCTTCCCCCGAAATATGCTGTCTTTCGGTTGCATCCAGAGATGAAGCTGACCCCAGCCCTGATCCGTGCGTCTGCAAGGCGGGGAGCTGCACGCACCCACGGTTCAGCAGCTCTACGCCGGAGAAGACTGGGCAAGAAGGGCTTTGAGGGGCTAGTGAGTAAAAGGCTTGCCGCAAGCCGTCTTTTGGCTTCGACGAACTCTTGTCTTCGTCACCAACAACACGAGAAATCTGGACTGCGAAGTCTCCCTCTGATTGCGAGGCACGTAGAGCATGGGCAGCAGCAACTGCTGCGTCCTCCATCACTCTGACAGCCTCAGGGATAATATGACTGACCAACTGAGCGCTGTTCCTGGCCTTTATTAGTCGTCCCACTAGCCGCTCCGCCCTTTGCTGGACGTTAGCAGGCTTCCAGTTTCTTATGCTTGTCTGGTTGACTAAGAGGCGAGCATCATTCAGCACATTCTTCACTCTGTCAAGCTCTTGCGCCATTGAAGCCAGCATTACACGAGCAACGTCTGCAAAAGCTATGTCTAGATTCGTCACGAGCAGAGTCAGCGTGTCCCTCCCCGCCCGTTTCGTCGGCTCAGTCCCACATTCTGCAATGCGTGACACCCTCACACCTGTGTACAATGTGCATACCGGATTTCCGTTCTGCGAATTCAGTCTCAGCGAGTTCGAATCCACAGTAGACAGTTCCGCCAAATTTTCATCAAGACTCTTCACTGCAGAACCTGCACTCCCTATGATGCTTTCTAACACATTCAGGGCGTCCCCTTCAAGGTCTTCGTTAGCGCTTTCACCCTCCTCCGACTGCATAGGAACAATATCCTCAGCGTATATCAGTGCACTGCACTTGTGGTGTAATCGGCACAAAGTAACACAACTGTACAGGTTGAGCTGCTCTGGGGCAAGGACAGTGGCTTCCCAGCCTTGACCGTTCCCTTCCCGGTCTTGCATCTTTCGATAATGCAAGTGGTCCGCCCGCCTGGCAGTCCAGATCTCTTGATCGATGCGGTCCAGCATCAGCCGTTCCCTGCACGATTCATTAAATTCTACTTGAGGAACAACTCCGAAGGAAGCCACCAATGCCGGCTCCCGCGCAATCTGCAAATTTGCAGTCTTCAAATCTGTTGGCACTTCAAAAGGGCAGCTAAATGTATTACAAGGGCGAGTTTTCGCCTGACCTGTTTCTGCGTCACCATCCATTGTAAACTGGGTGACCTTCTTTTCCACCTCGTCGACATGTGAATCGGACCATTCGCCGCTATCAGAAAAAACACGACGCAACCCCTCAACAGCCAGCTTTATTGCTCGTTCAGTATCTGCCGTTTGGGTGCCTCCGCTGCAGAAGCGAGAGCATTCGCTCCACGATATTAAAGAAGCCGCTTCAGCGGCGATTGTTACCATATCCAGTGATGGGGTACCAGACGACAATGCAGCTTTTAGTTGTGCTGCAACGAAGGTTATGCCATCACCATGAAGAGGCTCAGCAAAAAGCAGAGCATTACTTTCAGATTGGCGCTCTCGTAGGGCCTCATCAGCTTGATCTTCGTTTGCTGCAAGCCCAGTTACAGCCTTCCATGCCCAAGCTAATATGACCACAGTTGTGACTAGATGGTTCACGTAACTGGACGCGTGCCTGAGAACAGGACTGCGGCAGCAGCTGCTTTGAAAGCCCATGATAGGCATATGTTGAACCTTTGAAGAGCTATCAACGTGGTGCAGAAGCGAACACACTCCGTGCTAGACATAGTTGGTGCAGCGTGGTGAGCGGCTCAAATTCGCCTACCGAGCGGTGCCTTGCTTCCCACAAGCAGCGTCATTCGTGCTTGCGTTATTCAAAAGCCATTGGTGAATTGGGCTTCGTCTCATTCCACTTTAGGCAGGCCGATTAAGACTGTCCTCACCAGATGAGGAATGTGTAAATTTATCCCCGGGGCTGCTGTGTGTTACAGGCGCAGGCTGCGCATGCCGTGAGCCCCGATGTACCAGCTAGGAGCCTGGAGCCATTTGAGGGGTAAATGGCCCTCTCTTAATTGATATCTCCAAGGGCTTTGATATGAAATGCCTGGAATACGCTGGTCTATGGCAAAAGGGCAAAAAGTTGTAACATCGACGAGCCCGTCATGGACACGATCGAGGTCCGCAGCCGTGTACTGTGAGTTGAATTCAAAGCCAGGTCAGAGTTGAGTTAAATTACTTCTGAAATTTGCGAATGAATATCCCAAATACTGAGCACTGTAAATGCATTTCCTGCATTCCCAAAGACGCGGCGATTGCAGTCGGCAGCTCGCTCCGTCGAGCCGACCAAAATTGCGGAGCAGATTAACTTGTGAGAGCGGAAGCGCATACTTCTCAGAGTCACCCGAAGTGGGACTGCTTGGAAGATGTCAAAAGTAGAATATTTCGCACAACTGGAAGAGGAATTATACCTGACTACTCTCCACTAACACACAAGCAAAATCATGCGGCCCCGAAGGAGTCACGCAGTGATAAGTGCTCTGACGTCTACTATTCGCCAACGTTGGTTTAAATTTTGCAGATTACCCATTGTTCAGAAAGCATGCTTGAGTGTGTCCTTGATGCAACTAAGCATACTTCCATGAGAACATCATTAATTCCCCGTTGAATTTTCATTGCGGCATATTTCGCACCTTGGTTACGGTATGCGCATGCGTCAAACTAGTTGCACTCAAACTAGAAATTGCTTAGGCTATTTCAATTCCAAAATACTCAGGACTATCGGTTGAATAAGTGATTTCAACCGAGGAGAACGGGTGCTTCCTTCAGAGCGCGCACACCTGTCATGCACATGACCGTTCCCAACAACGGGCAACACAGTAATAACCCATACGGGTTCTCCATTTTCGATGTATCCTGGTGGCTTCGACTCCGTTCTGTCTCAATGTATGGCGTGATGGCCAGCAGGTCATCAAGCAATTGCCGCTATAGATTGAGCCGATTTGAAGAGAAACGGGGCTTTAAGTCTGGTGCGCACTCCACACACACAGGCTGTCCCGCTATCTCAGAAAGTGATTTTCCACTGTGTAGAGTTCTCCAGTGGACGGTGGGTGCCCGCTTCTATTTGCGGAGTCCTCTGTAATGGCGTTGCACGCTGTGCTTTACCTTCAGAAAGGAACTTTCTACTTAAATGCGTAGATTACATGGAGGCAAAGAGAGAGCCACGCTTCTCCTAGACATCTACTATTAGAAACCATTGCAGAGGCGATTGATATCTCGGTTCGTGAAATAGGCAGCTGTTTACACTGAGAGATGAGTCTACGGAAGAGGACGAACATTTTTTGTTCGTTTACCCTCGCCAAAACCAAGTGCCTTCGCATATTCATTTATTCAACGAAGTATTTTAAATTTTACATCATTGCCAAGGACATCCGTTCGAAAAATCTGACAGCAAGTGCGTCTTAGCCTTTCGGGTGTTCGTACATACACCTGAATCCTCGCGCAGAGGCCTGCGACAGTTGTGCCCCAAACCATATTTTCTTTCGGTTCGTGCAAGAGATTTTGCACTACGGTCTCTGTACTTTTTAGGGAATTCCTAAGGCAGTTTGACCATGATGGAAAGAAGGGAAGACCAAGGAAAGCGGCTTGCCCGCTTTCTTCCTATGATTGTAGGCTAGTTTTATCATTTCGGCTCTTTGGTTGCCTGCGAACCAACAACATTTCAGGTGATATGCAGCGTCATGGCCATTCTATATACAGTTTACTTGCTGGTAAGCTCTCTTTCCCCACAAAATACACAAAAAGCATGCGATTGAACCTGTTTGCAGTATCATTGCCTGCCAATGTTTCAATTTGAGGTGCCTCCCGAGTATCGCGACCGTGGAGCTATTGCAGTAGGAGCACTTCACTTCTTCGTTGGTAAGGCGATTGATGTTCATCCCTAATGAGGACCCCGTTGAAAGCGTTGATTTGCAGCTCATGCTGGAATTGCTATGGTTTTATGGTCGTTCTACAAAACGTATTCAACTGATCCAGGGCGTATTCCAGGTAAATTTAATTCCTTAAGTATAGCGCGAAATCATTCTTCATGAAGACTGGCAGACACTCACGAGTGGGAGAGGCAGCCAAATCCTAGTCTCATCACGGAGAGGAAGCGAGACGGTGGGATGAATTCTTTTCTTGCACATACCGATGGACTGTAATCTTGACTCTTAGGCGGAGCTAGATACTGCCACAAATGCTCCAAGTATAAACCCGACCGCTGCCATCATAGCAGCAACAGTGGTCGTTGTGTCCTGAAGATGGACCATTACTGCCCATGGGTGAGTGGAGTTTCCTATGGCTACATAGCTGGTTAGTGGAAAGCTTATATGGGTTCCAGGTTGCAAACGACGTCGGATTCTTCAACTACAAGTTTTTCTTTTTGACTCTGCTATACAGTGGCGTAACGCTGATATTTGTGTGTTATACCATGGCGGCCACCGGTACGGTCTCTCCCTACAAATTGCCATGGTTACAGCACATCCATGCTCTTCTAGTCAGGGCTTCTATTGACGACTCTAACATTTCCTTCGAGCAAGTTTTCTTCACGTTCCTCGGGACTGCATTGAGTTTCTTCATGCTCGCGTAGGTTATCTATGAGTAGCTTTATGAAGCAACTAAACTTAACATGCGTTTCAGCATTGTTCTACCTTTCTGCATCTTCCACTGCATGCTCATCACTACTAACTGCACAACCATCGAGTTCTGCGAAAAACGCCGCACAGGGCGGCCAAATCCCTACGATGTCGGCCTCGCTGGGAATCTAAAGCAAGCTCTGGTAAGAATGAGTGAATATTTGCTCGTAAACAGTAGTGTAATCTGTCTTTAAGGGGGACCAACTCCTTCTTTGGCCAATACCTGTTGGTGGGCCGAGCGGCGATGGAATATCGTTCCCTCGCAACCGTTAGTTGCCTTTCAAGCTTTCGCTGGTTGGAGAAGCCATAAACCTCTTTCCTACAAGACATTTGCCTTATCCAAGCACTCTTTATTGTCTTAAGGACATTCACAATCAGAGTTCATTCCTAGTCGATACCCGCGCCGGCAGTCCACTAGTACACTACACGGGTGCTCGCGGACCCACAAGCAGTGTGACGATCCCAGAGGGGAGTACATTAGAGAGAATACTGTGGTCAAACGCCTCCACAAAAGTGGCTGAACATTTGGTAGCTGGGAAGATCTACCCCATTTTTGAACGCAGCAGCTGTCACGCATGCAGAGAGGTGACCCTGCATGACGCTTCGCTACTTACCTTACCAGACGGAACTGTGGGAACCCTTGGCAGGGCATGTGTTAAATACACAGTTTGTTTTCCCCTGGCCAAAGCTCGAAAAATCCCTCGAATGCGTGATCGTTTGCGTCTCATGGGATGCCGGTGTCCAGGCCGGTAGGGGCGGAGGATATATATTCACCAGCTGTAAATGCATCTGAACAGTTGAACCCTGGCCTATTCAACCCTGGAGCAAATGGGAGTAAATCAGTCTAAAAGCAAGGAGTTTTCCCCTTCCCTTGCGTTTTCAGCACCTGGTGAATACGCGCATGCGCGAAATGCTCGCAAGCTGAGCTAGGCGCCCACGGGAGCCGAGAATGACTGAAGTTCCGTGGCATGAACTTGACTTTCTGGAGGCATATGAGCACAAAATGTACAGCAGGGTCAGACAGACTGGAACATCCGTGTTGTTAAGGCTGCAAAATGGAGAAGACCCACGAAACGTGTTCACGCCTTCTGGCCTTCCTCGTGCACCACCTTATCCCTTGTGCTGCAGGCTTTCCGATCTTGGGGAGCTGGGGCCTGGTAATACAATTTTGAACAGGAGAAACTGTAATCTGTTATCATTGCCCAGAATTATGCCGACACATAGGTATCCGTTGCACCGGTGCGAGCTTACTCAACAATTCACTTGCCGCAATACGTAATTCTGTGAAATTTGCTTCCACTTGCTTTAGGAATACCCCTACTCTTCCAGTTCATAAAGTTTCTCCTTCTTTCTTCCGCTTTGAACGGCCTCTTGTCTCTTGGAGTCGTAATAGCTGTCTATTCGAACAAAGCTGCAGACGCTCAAACTAACTGTTCAACATTCAACAGAGGTACAACTTTTCAGTCGCATTTATCGTTTTGTTAACTTCACACTGCTCGCGCATAGCTGAAGTACACGCTTATACTATTATTGGCTCGGGGGGCATGTAACCCTTCATGCCCCATTATCACATTGTGTGTAGTGTCTGGTTGCTTGCAGCACTTCTTACAGCAGGCTGCATAGACCAAAAGGCTTCCGAGTCTTGTGTTCCTGCTATAACGCATCTAGTCATGGTCTTAAGTGCTGTTCTCCTCCTACCAGCTCTATTCAGGCGGCAGGTAGAGCTCACTGCGTGAACGTTTTGCAAATACGTATTTTCGACACGGCGGTTGCAGGCTTCCACTGTTTCAATGTGTTGGCCGGATTATTCTTAGGAACATCTCAGGAAAACAGCAGGAGAGCAGGTGTATCAGTTACGGGATTTCGCACTTTTGCTAGATGGTTTCCCTGCCGATGCAATAGACGAAGAAGAAATAGCCAACTTCTGTTGCCATTCCATCCTGCCTAACCAACCGTCGGAGTCTGTTGTCAAGGTTGTGATAGGCTTCGATGCTAGACATTACGACGAGCATGTAAAACTTCGTGAAAGCTTGAAAGAGCGCCTCGATATCCTCAAGGTTGGCATTCACGCGCCTTCTGTTTCCATGCACCTCACCAGATGCTCGAACATGCATATGCGTTCCACTGCTTCCTCTGGCGGGGTCACTGTGGATGACTTAACCTGTTGACTGGAGCTTCCATTTGTAAAGGGATGTGCCCCTCCTACTTATTCTTTTCTCGCGTTCTGCTTCTTTCGGAGGGTTGCCTGTTACCACTCTAATCGCGATCAAACTTTCTTGGCTTCTAGCAGTGTACCACCTGTAGGTGGGTCATACGCGCTCACTACATTCGCTTTCCATGCGAACCAGAAGGATGGCTCAGAGGAGGAGTCTTCTTCCGCGAAAGATTTGCACAAACTGCTAACTCGAGTGGAGCAAGACACTCTGAGGTGACCCACAGAAACGGTAGAGGCGAATGACTGTCCACGCGAAGCTTTTCCAGGCATTGCATTTTACCGGTTCGCTACGAATCGAAGTAAAGAACGGTGCTTTTCATATACGCATTGTGAAAGTACAACCCCTCATTTATCGCCTAGACGTGTTACACAATCCGTTTCCCTTTCCATTTCCACGTTTTGATGGGCATCTTCTTGACTATCCAGGAGCACCGGATACGCTGTAGTCGTCTGCAAATATGCACAAGTAAGCATTGATTTTGACTTCGCAAGCAAATGGGGGCATACTTCACGTAGAATTCACCCCGTGATCGTGTGACAACATTGATCAATCTGCTGCAAGGAGCGAAAGTTGTGTTTGTGAGGCTTTCGTTATTCGGTATCTTGGCGCAGGACAGAGACGAATGCCTAGCAAGGCTACGCACATGGAGATCTGTTTTGAGGAAATGGAGTTGTGGTCTACTTGGAAATAAGTCGGCTCCTCTTTTCAGAGGACAGCATCCAATAGGCGTACGCAAGCCTTGGAAAATCAGACATTCGAATAAGAACAACCGCTGCAGCAGAGGCCGCCGCATGGAAAAATAACACAAAATGAGTGTCCGCACGTATCCACAGGCTCTTCAGTGGCGAGTATGTGCATGCTTTTCATCTGGAAAATCCTTTGCGTGTGCCGTGCTATGGTGCTGAGGTGGAGCCAGCGCCTCATCCAGAGGATATAGTTTGGGACAACCTCAGCTTCTCCAGAGCAAAACGGCTGTCTGTTCAAGTGAGGTGATAAAAGATAGCTGCAACCGCTCATTCGGATGTTCCTCGTGGAGTGCTAAGGATTGTTGCTGGGACAGCGTGGATTGCTGCTGTTTTAATTGCAGGTACTGTTGTGGGCCGTTGCACTGGGCTTGTGTACTGCCTCATTTTGCACTGCTGGGATGCTGATTATTCTAAATATCAGCCTGAAAAATAAGGACTTTACTGGAGTCAGCTAAGACACTTCCTCTGTCTGATAGCTAGATAGCGTGTCCAAGATGAATACACTAGAGCCTTCATCTTTTCTGCAAGCTGGATAGAGATGCCTCATGGGTCGTGGCTCGTCCATTGAGATGCGAGGCTTGCAGACTGGTATCGGTCTGATCAAGCTTGTTGAAGACTGGATAATGTCTGTGAACGGCAGTGCAATTCAAGAAGCTCTCAGCAACCCTGTAAGCGAGTATCATATGAAGCCAAGTGTGCCGGTTGTGCATAATGCGCTTTCATCTGACATGGTAACGTTCGTGCTCAAGCGTCACTGTAGAACTGTGTCAGTTGTGACTATAAACTTGCGAGAAACATTGATTGAACTTGCTCTGCTAAGGTAGTAGCCTGTCTCCGATAAGGTAAAATGCTTATCACGTCCTGACGAGTTTACGCCTGCATGTGCTTGTTGTTACTTTTGTAATTCGGCCTTCTCTATTTCGCTGTGACGGTTTTATACTGCAGCTGGACAAAGAATCATGGGCATCTCTGCTGTTATCGATGCTACCATCTGTGGCAATCAGTTGCATAAACGCCCTCCTTAGGGTTGTTTTCTCCTTCTTCGTATGTTAGGCCTCAGAGTCGCTAGAGCTGTCCTTCTGCCGGTGCCGTTATTGATATGCTGGCAGAAGCTGAAAAATTGCAGTTTTGCTCACCTCGTTGGGTGTGCTTTGTGATCAAGTCTCTTAGGGAGCGCCACATAAGCCGTACTGCAGAGCAGGTATGGCCAACGTCAATGTAGGATGCAGAAATTCTGCAGTGATAGCTTTCGCTGTCCAGTCTCTCTTCTTTTCACTCCCATAAGATTCCACTAGCTACACAAGCGCTTCCTTTCTCTATCATTGTGAGAACACGTATGGGTAAGGAAACCAAGAAGAGGGTTCTTGAACTCAAACTTGTGTCATTTGCAAGGTGGATCTACACAGGTAGCGTTTATGGTACGGTTGACAATTACGTACACCATAAACACTGGGCTGACGTACATAATCGTGCTTCAAGACCCAAGATGGTGGTGAGTTCTGCCAGAACCTTCATTTCCGTTCTCAGGCAGGGAGCAGTACAGTGCTCAATGACACGTCCATAACACTTCCACCAACGGTGTATAAATCATAGGATAGCCCAAGCCAACTGTTTTATGCCTTGATTACACGTATGTGCGTGCACTCTGCAATGCTGTCGCCCCTTGCAGGTATGTTCGAGGGGGCCTCATTGAGTGCGTCGCCATGCAACTGTTTTCTTTTCTTCTAAGTGAAATCTCATTATCTCTACTGCAAGTTCCCTGGATCGTAAGATCGACAGTTGAGTTTGCTGCTGAAAGTTATTTCATTTACGTACACTGCTGTCGTTGGTCCTATAGCGCATTTTGCTCGGGCTTGCCTCCAGCCTGTACAAGTGTCTTGGCTCTCTGCATGCCCTGGTGTTGCAGTTGCGCGTAATGCGCCGGGACTGCCTGTTACCCATCCTTAAGAAGCCCATATCTCAGGCAGATTTCAATCGACTGCAGGAAGGGCCTGATTTCTGCACTCCGACAAAGTGAGAGGATATCAGTTGCCAATAGTCATCGGACAAGCGAGTGCTTGCTACGGGCGTTTTTGTCGAAGATCTTCATTTGCGAGTGAGGTCGTTGCTTATTGCGCAGGTATGCGGCAATGATGCAAGGTTTCTGCTCTCTTTCCCTCTATGTAATGATTGCACCATTCCTCAGCGTGCAGGCCATGTGCACATGGCTCCTGCTGTATTGGATATACAAATGTGCGTTGTTGCGTCTTGCAAAACGGCCGAACCCCGAAATGACAGCTGTAGTTAACCAAGTACGTCACTTGTCATCTTTACTTGACAGGAAAATACAGGGATAGTCTGCAACGTACAGTGTGCCCGGCTGGGGAAAGGCCAACATCGTATTTTTGAATTACCTGCGGGAATTCATCAAGTAATAAGTTTTTGCTTACCTTCCAGCTAATCGGTTGAAAGTATTTTCACTATCCTTGATAGGCTATATTGGTACTTCGGGCATCGGTACTGCTCCTAGCAGCTGGCTCCTTTTTGCTGCGGCCTACGACAACAGGAAGCGCTGTACAGACCCTCCATATATGCGGCTTTTCTGCGGGGGTAGTGGCCCTCGTTTCAATCCTACTGCCACGCTGGTTGCAACTTAAATTCACCTACCTCTGCGCGGTAAGCTTGGAGTGCGCAGAAGGTTTTTCATAGCATAGCGATCAGACTTTCTAGACCGGAAGCGAAACACTTTGCATGCATATACTCCCGCTGGGTCCTCACGTTTTCCGCTTGGTTTATGTTCTTTCTATGCCGTGTGCAGACTGGAGCGAAACCAACAACATGGCAAACTGTGCACTACTACAAGCTTCAGCACGCTTTCTTTGTGCATTATCACACGTCCAATCCAGTGTATGCTTCCTGGGGGCCAGAAAGAAATCCCCAGATCCTTCGTGAACCGGGAGTAAGCGCATGCTCCCCCGGTGCCACCGCAAAGGCATTCGCTGCTAGAGGCGCAGCAAAGAGGGCCAGGCGGCGCATGGCCGCTTTCAAGACCAGAATACCCGAGGCTGCTTCTGCGTGCAATATCCCAAAGGCAGTGAGCAGGAACCCAAGCATACAAAGCGCACGCAGCTCCTGCTGCGTCGCTCCTGGGGATACTACTGCCTTTGCAGAGCGTGCTCTCTGGAATCTTTGGTTGCAGGGTGGCGTCAATTCTTCAGCCCCTGGTTCAGATTCTGGCTGCAGTGATGCATCTGGAAGCAGTAGCAGGGATAGCAGTGACAGCGAGACAACGGATGACCTTGTTCCCAACGCCGCAGCCATGAGAAGATTAAGGGCTACACTGGTCGAGGGAAGGGCTGCGCCCGAATTCCAGAGGCTCCTCATAGAGTCACAATCAAAAAGCACAGCTAAACCCAAAGCAAGGGCTTCTGCTGCTCAAGCTTCTGCAAGTAGCAAGCAATCTAAAGATGCGGCTTCTGGACATTCGCCCTCTTTCCAAGGCACATCCAGGACTAATGGCATGAAAGAGGCAGTCAAAAGTCCTCTAGGGAGGGACAGAAGTTTTCGAAGCCAGCAGTCTCTCCTCAGTGGAGAGGCATTCCCCCGGAACGCCGCCACAGAATCTGACGACACAGGAGAATCGGAACAGCCCAGCAACTTTACTAGTTGGCTACAAAGTCTCCTGCTGAAGCACCTTTACTTCATAGGCTGTTCGCTGAGTGAGTCCGAAGGTAGTGGAGTATGCGCTGATTCAGCATGTGGGTCCACGCATGACCGCTGAAATTCCACCTTGCTCCAGGAGATTAAAGGCTGCCAAAGAATTCTTGAATGCAGTAGTAACCGCGCAAAACACGCGTACAACACCATTAAATTCATGCCATGAATTACTTTCTCGTTATGAGTTGTAAAGAATGACACCTGTTACCTGTTGTAGCAAGGTTCAAGTAAGCCAACAACCTGTCAACGACTCCTTCAACGTTCAGTCATTTGATCCTTTTTCCATAGAGAACGTGGATAACGAAATGATCATTCACGATGAAAGTGCCACAGTTTAACAAAAAGTAAAAGGGGCATGAAAAGGCTTGCTGATTACTGGCGGAAGCATCTTACTGTGGCAGAGGCCCTCCGCTGCTCCCTCACAGCCACGCACTGCATATACCACAATGGGAACTAGCGACTCCTCTCGTGCCTTGTGCAACTGTTATCGGCGTTCGACGATCTAGCAGCACAGTCGCAAGAGCGTGTGAACAGCCTGGAGTTGCTCTAGTCCTCCACCAGTGTGCTTTCCATGAAGTTCTGGGTTGTCCTTCAGAAGAAGGCCCCCAGTTCGCAAGAGTTTCACCACGTTGCTTCCACCCATAAGCCATATATAAGACCCACCACCTATGACGCAGAGCGGAGTGTTCAGTCTGACACACCTGAGCTGGTCACCTGGCCACTCTGCAAACTGAACTAAATTACATTCGCTGAGACCTGCTCGGCGAATGCAACAAAGTATTTTCTCTCGTTTGTGGCAAGGAAGCCCTAGTGCGCAAGTGCTGCCACATGCTCACCGCCGGCGGCACCTCTCCCAGTTGGCGGCTATCGCCCAGAAAAGGTGCCCCACTCCCTCCCAACGCGCTGAACGCATCTCCTCTTGGCGAAAGCCGCCGAAGCGGGTCACTAGGGCTTGCCGAATGACCTTCAGACAAGGCAGCAGCAGTCGCACCACTAGGAACGCTGCATGGTACCTCGTGAGTTCCCGCAAAACTGACACCTTGGGCTGGGCGTTGCACTTCCACGTCCGCAGGGTCGTAATGAGGAAATAACCGCGTTGGGGTTGCTGTCGCCGCTCCTGTACCCCTGCGAAGTGTGGCACTTTCATTTACACAACTGCTGCTGGGAGGCACGGAGCTCCGCTGAGGTGCCCAATGGCTGGAACCGGCTCCATCCGCTACAGGGGGTGCGGGTTGGGTAAATGCGCCCTGCGTCGCGGAGCGGTAAAGGTGTTCTTGCTCCTTCTGGTGGAGCTGCCGTTTCTGTCGACTGTATATTGCTGGCCTCCATTGCCCGGATGCCCCTAGACGGTCAGCTGGGTCTTCAGGTTCACTGTCGCTACTGCTGTTGCGGCCGCTCGTGCTTTCTCTCCTGTCGGTTTGTTCAGCACTGTAATTGCTAGCGCTGCTGCCGCAGCTCTCTCCGGCGCTGGCAGCTCCGCTGGCACTACTGGCTTGCTGCATTTCTGGGGCACCTATCCCTTGGCCGTCTCCGGAAGTGTCCGTGGGAGTACCTTCTGCAAGAGTTGCCGATTCTTCATCTCGGCGGAGGTGCAGGGAGCTACGTGTTGGATGACTATCTTCCTGGGGCACAGCGCTCCTGCTATGGTGTGGCACTGGCCAGCGCTGGCTTCTCTGCGGTTGAACATTATCGGGATAATGATCCGGAACCTTCTCAGACTTGACCCACCGCCCATCAGGAGAAGCGGGCGACTCCTCGCCTGGAGGTGCTGGCACAGACCGCGCTGTGTTTGCAGCTGCCAGCCCGGAGACTGCGGATTTGCCTGTGTCTGTTGCTTCTGCATTGGCCGGAAATGTGGGCAAATCTTCATCTGGAAACAATAGTTGGCGTTTGTCTGCCTCTGCTGCCGCTTGCATCTCTCTGTGCTTCTGCAGCTCGCGGTGCAACACGTGTTGCTGCTGCAGGCCCTGCTGTAGTCGCTGCTGCCGCATTCGATGGCCATCCAAGGACTGAGAAAATAGCGCAGGAGAGTCCACGTGGGTTGGAGATTGCGTGTCTTCCTTTTGCTCCTGCCCAGCTGCATGGAGCAAGCTGTCTGTGTCTGGATAATCACAGTGCAGCTTCCGCCGTTGCTCTTGCTGCTGCTGAGGGTGCACCGAAGCAGAGTCAAAGTTGTCTGATCGCGGTTGCAACTGGCGCCCCTGGGCACCAAACGGCTCCGGGAAGTCAGGAGGCAAGAGCCACGCAGCTGCAGCCGCTGTCGCTGTCTGCGGAGTAGCTTCTGACGAAGGCCCGCCTGCTGCAGTTGCACCAGCTTGTTCCGTTGGGATGCTGCCTGTAGTTTCGCTCCCGCTAAGTGTCCCCCTCCAGAGTTGCTGCCGTCGTTGCGGCTGTTCCTGACGCTTCTGCTCCTCGTTTCGCTGCTGCTGGGACGCACCGTGATGTTGCTGCAGATACCCCCTTGTGCGAACAAAGCGTCTGCGGCCTGATGCAACCCTCGTCTTGCAGCCACCGCTTCCGGCGCTGCTACTTCTGCTGCCATCTTTCCGTACACCTTGCGTTGCTGCTACTCGTCGGGGAGGCGGCGAGGGCGGCTGTTGCTGTCGCGGTTGCACGGCAGCCTTACCCGAGCTCCCATTGGCAGCTGGCGCAGCCGCTGCTGCAATATTGGAAGCAGCACCACCCGTAGCTCCAGCAGCAAATTTGTTCCTTCCGAAAAGATTAGCTTCGGTCCACTGTTTTTCCGGGCCCCTGTCAATAGTTTCCCTGCCACCGTCGCCATTGCTGTCACTACTACTGCGGCTGCAACTGCTGCTGTCACTGGTGCTACTCTTGCTGCTGCTGTCAGTTTCTTCCCAGTACGCCGTACTCCGTTTAGGCTGGTTAGCTTTTCTGACTGCCGCAGCACCGGCAGCGCGCGGAGGCACTGTAGAGTACAGACTATTAATACAAGTCGTAAGGCTCCTCCGTGCAGTAGCCGCAGGCGTTGCAGCCGTTGCCGTTCTTGCTGCCTCCCCTGTTCGTATTTGAGGCCCCGCGGACGAAGCTCTCGAGCCATAGCGGCCCGCAAGGCGAGACGCACTGACGCAGGAATATTCCCTTGCTCGCCCCGCGTTTGGTGTTTTGGTCCTTTCTCTTGACGACGTCCTCGACGGGGGTATTTCCGACGAACTGCGGCGCTGTTGCGTCGAAGAGCTGGCTTCTCTTCTGAGTGGGGGAGGTGTTGGCACAGCAGTTGTTGCCGTCGGAAAGCCTGAGCTGCTGTTGCCGCCGGTGTGCTCGTACTCTTCAAAAACAGTATATCCTTTCGCTGCGTCCGTATCACTTTCACTGGAAGTGGCAGAGTCCCAAGAAGGGCTGTCACCCTCAGGCTTCGCTTGCTCCCTCCCTGACAAGGCAGCTGCTGCAGCTTCATTCACCAGGTCTGCTGCCGCCGCTACTGACGGGGATAAGCAGTCCATGGACTTGTGAGGAGCCGTCTTACAGGCAGGGGTAACGTTGGGTGCATCTTCTTCACAATTCCCAAGAACGGGTTGTTGAGATTGTTGCCAGTCGCAGTGGCGGGAAGGGATTGAGGTGCTCCCTTGGTTTTCACTTGCACTCCTTTCGACCTTCTGTGTTTCGGTCAAGTTGGGTTCCCCTTGCTGTTGTTGATTCTGCGGCTGAGCTTGCGTCTGCTGCTGCGGCTTCTGGCTCAGCTGGTGCTGCTGGACCTCTTGGTGCTCTTTCTCCCTTCTGTGGAGCCACTGACCAATTTCAGTCTCACACTCGATCAGCCTCTTCTGCTTATTTTGCTGTTGTTGTTGCAACTTCTGTAGCTCATGCCAACGCAAGGAATTACTAGTACTGCTGGAACCAGACTGGTGTTCACCGGCTACTCGGTGCTCCTCGAGTTCGCGTTGCAACTCGTGCTGCTGCCTTTGAAGGCTTCCGATGGAGCGCAGCAACTGCTGTCTCTGTTGCTGCAACTTTTCAAGCCGGGGTCCCGCCTCATCCGGTTCACACTGCTGGCTTTCCTGCCCTTTTCGCTGGTCACTTTGCTGTTGCGTGTCATGCTGCTGCTGCTCTGCTGTGAGTTGTTCTGGCTGCACGAGCGTCGGAGACGGCGTTGACTGCTGCACTGGTTTCGCAACGACAAGTAGCTCTGGGTGCCTGTACAGTGGCTGAATAGGCAAGAGCAGCTGTCTCGCATAGGACTTAGCGTCCAATAACGCGATGCGCGCTTCATTCAGCCTGCAACCACGCAACATGACAACTGTGGGGCTTTTCAGCCGTTGCCTCGCAGTCCAGTGGAGAAGCAGATAAACTGATACATCCACGAGCACTGCACGCGGAGCAGTTCAACGACAATTTCCTCCACCTACCGTTTAAAGTGGTTTTCGTGTCTGAGACGCAGGTCTTCAGAGAGGGCAGAGGCCTTGTCTGGATGCCATAGAATACTCATCCGGCGAAATGCCTGAGGATAGCAATGAACAGTGCATGGCACGAAGAGGATTAAGGGACTAGTGGACACTGACACCAATCAGGATGAGTGACGACGCAATGCCGAACCTCCTGCACCAGACAACTCTGAGTTGTGCTTGCAGCCGAAGGTACGTTGAACAAGGGTTAACAACGGAAACGAAGCAACAGCAAGCATATATGGAAAACAGCACAGGCCTCGGCCTTCGAAACGTACGCGGTTTACTGCGGCTTTGGGAGCACCCCTTTCAATCCCCAGCACTTGGAAGCTCGATGCTTGCAGTTGGGCTTCGTACAGTTGTCGCCTGCGTAAAGGGAATCGAGCACAGCGCCTACGTCATGCAAACGGATGCGTAGGGCTTGCAAGTTTTTCGTCGCCATACCAATAGAACACTCTGCGTTGTTAAGAAAACCTCGAATAACCCAGGAGAGTGCAGTTGCTACAGCCTGCAACAAGCTGCATCGACCGGCCAAGACAGTGTCAGGGTAAGTGAATAGAACCAAAAAGAGTGTCCGTACTTCTGGTAGTGCTCAGCGGCGAACGAATCTGGGCAGTGCTGCCGCATCAGCTGCATGTAGTTGAGTGCCCCCTCGAAGTCCAGCAGCCATTCGCACGCCTAACGGACAGAATGCAGCAAACGGAAGGATGAACTGGCTCAACTACAAAATGCAGTGTATTGGGCTGAATGATGCTCAATACGACGCAATGTTGACAACGCACTAACCGATATTAGGTTTAGTTGTTTGGAGGCAACACGTCTGTCCCACTGTCAAACGCGTCTGTCTCCAGCATCCTCCGCGTCGTGCTATATTTGCATTCTGTTCTCACTTATGTTTCGCTCACCTCAGCAGCAGTTTCGTAGGCAGCTTTGTAGTTTGGAGTCATACTTAGACAGAGGGAGCAGCTCTGAAGGCTGCAAATCCAACGGCCAAGCCGGAGAGCACTTCGACCCTAACATGCCACAGATAACCGCACAGTCGGAAGTAAATGCTGCTGCAGTACAGTACTGACTAGGCAAGGTACAGGAGAAATTCCTACAGCTGCTGCGCGGCCGAACGCGCAGCAGCAATAGGAATTACTGCTCTTTCCGTGGGGAGAAGCAGTTCACCACTTCAACTAAACAGGAGCTGTAACGGTAACTTTAGACTGCGCAGGGTCCCACAGTTTGAACTTTGGCGGAATGCACGGCGCGAACACCATCAAGTAGAATTCAGGAAACACTTCCCCGTACTTTGTTGAATGCAAGCTTTGCTGTGTTTTCCATGAGCGAAAGATTAGACGAGCTGACTGCGCCGGTGACTTCATCTAGCTGCTGCTGCTTCTCCAGCAGCCGCTGCTGCAGCTTCAGTGCCTCGGTGTAAAGAGCAAGGGCGGCTTCGTTACGATGCTGTCTGTATAACGAGCTTGCCTGCGCACCCACATGCACACGCCTGCGAACAGTGGCTTCATTAGGTCGGAAACTCCACTTTGCTAGGCGCTGCCGTCACCACAGCATGAATCCGCAATAAAAGTGTTGCCTTTTGTGCTACCTGTATGCCCCGCATTCGCAACCTAGACTCCTAGACTCCTGGATATGACAGAGAGCGAAGGCACCTGCTGCCGTGAGTTGTCTGACTCGCCTTGGCTGCATATTCAAACACGACGCCCCGCCAAGCCCTCAAATTGCAAGACACTCCGGAAACTTCCTCCTGAAGCTCTGAGCGGTGCTGCATTTCTCCCACAACTGCAGCTTTCTTTAGCTCGCTCAATTCTTGTAGATGCGGCGGCAGCACGAGCGGCAGCAGGTCCGCCGGCGTCTTGCCTTGCCTGTTTTGCGCGTAGAGAAGCTCGCAAGGGAGGGATATCAATCTAAGCGTGCCAAACAGCTGGGGCAAATTCCTGGAGACAAACAACGTAAAATTCACGCCGCACATACAAGGCCAAGCGACGGTTGCTCTGGGCGCCTCCCCTCCCCTCAAAAAAGCAGAACCGCGTTGATTGTGCACACTAGCAGATGAATGTTTCCCAAAGGCTTTTGGCCAAACAGCCAGCAGATGGCAAAAGGAAACGCCTGCCGACGACAGCCAAATTATGGTTCTGCTGGAAAACTGCGTTGTACCACTGTTACAATACAGAACAATGGTAGAACACAGTGTACAGTGTGTGCAGCCGCTTGCCTCAGGCAGATAAGGTGGAAGACGTTGTTGCCTGATTCTCGGTCGGTCAAAGTCGCTGAGTGCAGGGCCAGCGGGGCAGTTCCATGCAGCAGAAGCCCTGCTGCCGCCGCCACTCCCCCGGAACCACGCAAGAGCAGCTGCAGCAGGAAGTGCTGCCGGCCTTCCCCTCGTGCATCCCAGCTGCAGGCTGGCGTCACGGCACCGTTTTCTGCCAGATTCCCTTGAGGACATACTCCACAATGTTTGTCCCCCTGCACCAAGCCAGCCCCGCTACTGCCGTCGCCGCTGGAGTGGCAGCAGCTGCCTTCTAGAAACTTGCTGCCGACTGTGTCTTTGAGGAGTTGCAGCCAGCGTGCATTAGCAAGCAAGACGCCTTGCTGCTTGAGTCGCAGCAGCGTGGAGATGTTCTGAACGGCTAAAAGAGGCAGCAACACTTCGTCAGACAATGCTGTGCCCAACACCTCGTAAGCTTCACGCTCCATCGATTCATCTATTGACGCAAGTCCGCCGTGATGCTGCAGCTGCAATTCAGTGTTGCTCGCCGTTATGCTAGACGACGCAGCGCGTCGCTGCTGCGAATACACCCGAATTTGCATGCTTTCGGCTCTCAGCCTTTCCAGCAGCATGCCTACGATTTCAGGGTCAGCCCCTGCCGCTGGGCAGCGATGGAGAGCTTCCCGCACTGCCAGTGCAACAGCGCCTGTTGCCACTGTTGACGAAGGTGCTGGTTCCCTTGATATTCTGCCTTCCATAGCGCACCGGCAACTGTGCAGCGCAGCCTTAAGCTCGCCAACAACCGCCTCGTGCTGGTCATCATTGCTGCAGCAGCAGCTAGCACTGCAACCCCATGCAGTGCATGAAGCAGCCTCAGCTGCCTCCACACAGCACCAAATTCCGGCTGCATTGTATGCTTCCAACGAGCGCCCGTCAGTCCTTTTCGGGGGCAGCGACAGCCCTCCACTTGGGGGCTGCGCTTGCAACCCACCTGTCGCCATCTGCTGAGTAGGCGGTTCACTACAGACACTTCTATGAACACTGTCATTTTCCACGTCCGCCTCTCGAGAGCTCATTCCTCCTCTTTCCTTCTCTTCACACGATACGGATATTTGCATACGATGAGAGAGCTGACGCCGGAGACGACGAACCTCTGCATAAAGATGTTGGGTGTCCTGATGTTGTTGCTGCCGCACTTCCTCGACCAGTAATCTTGCCTCATCACCCAACGCTACGCGGTGCTGTAGTTGCTGCAGGGAGGCAGTGGCATCGAGGTAGTTGCCTTCTGCTGCTGCCAAGCGATCCGCCCTCTCTTCGAGCTGCTGCTGAAGCAAGCTCACCTGACGCAACAGTAACCCCGCCTCAGTCTCCCGGCTGGCAAGCTGTTGTTCTTGCTGCCTCAGCAATTGTTCTTGATGCCGCAGCAACGCATCCTGCTGGTGCAGTTGCTGCTGCTGCTGTTGCAGTAGCTGCTGTTGCTGTTGCAGCTGCTTGTGGAGCTGAAGTTGCTGCTGCCTACTGGCATGTTCTCTTAGCTGAATGCGCCGAGCAACAGCATGAAGCCTGGCAGCATCAGCAGACGCGTGTGTTGAGTCTGCATCCTCCTCACTCTCTCCTTGGTGGGCAGCATCCCGCATTGTCCTTTAATGCAGCAGTGGGGCTGCGAAAAACGACGTGCCTACACCTGAGGCAGGATGCAGTTTCTACGATAAGTATACCTGATCATAAGCGGGAACTTGGACACGGTAGTTTACAACCGGCCGAAGATTCCTTTGCGGCGTGAAACTTCCGGTGCGGTGAATCAGTGAAGCAGTCTCGACTCAACCCACTCAACGCAGCTGCTGTTTCCGCCTCAGCTCGGTGCAAAACTTCTAATGCATCCGTTTGTGTAGGAAGAGTAGTCACCACCCCGCCCAACTTTCACCAGGCCATTTTGCGCGAGCGCGAAATGAGGGGGTTGGGTGTTTCCGTGGCCTCACCATGTCCCTTCCTGCAGCCAGCAGGACAGCCCTAGTGGAAATGAGTATATTTCGAACAAAAATAGCTGTAACAGCAAACCATGAGGTGTACACGCACCAGCTCAGTCAGGCTGTCCACTGCAGCCAAAACCCGCCAACGATGATAATGAACACTAAAGGCGGGGGCCGCACCCGTCAGCTCGGCCCCCTCCAACGAAAAGTTCTCTAGAATGGAGTCTGATACATCTGAATGCTAAGAAGTTCCCAGTATTAGCATCCTGCAGTAGACGAAAAAAAAAAACTGATCATGTATCAGACTCTGTTCGGGGCCCCGGGGGGCCCCGCTAACAACGGTGGTGAGGCGGGGCTTTAGTGAGAACACAACCTGCTTGAGTATCAAAAAGGGCTTACAAAGAGACGTGTGCACATTATGATAAGCAGACACCTGCAACTTCCGAAATAACACCTAAAGCAGCCAGCACACACGTGATAACCAAAAGGCAGTCTTGGAGAACAAGTGTTGTCTTCCGGCCTTCCGTCTCGGTATGCAAGGAACATTGAGCCTACAGAAGCAGTGGAATGCGTGAATATATTGTACCTTAGCATTTAGATAAGCATTTTAACAGGGCTGCGTCAGCGGCAGGAAGCTGCCCCACGTGTGGCTGGCGTTTCGAGTTTAGTGGTGAATGCGTGGCGTGGCCTGTATTTGTTCTACAAACATGGGTAATACATGTAGTTAATACATCAGAAAGTATACTGTGTCGTCATGTATCTGCCCTATCAGAGGTAAGGACCTCTCCAACCACACACCCGCATGCCTCTGCACTTGTAAGGTTATCCTAAGACAATGAAGGCATTCACGCAGTTCTTGGCACTCCGGACACACAGAAAGTGATCAACCCGCATAGATAGATTTGGATGCGGATGTCTTTAACCCATAAGGGAGCGTATGGAGCTCATGGAGGTCTCAGTGAGTGGAACGCGGGTCTGCAGTCTAGGCCGAAGAGGGTTGTGAGCTCCAATGGAGCAGAGTTATTTTCATTCAGAGCTCCTTAGATGCAGATGACGTACCACTAGAAAATTCACCAATTAATCTCCTACCACACTCCTCACTTCATGCAGTGGAAACAGAAGGGCACGTGAATGGTCTCTACTGTTTGATGGGTAGTTAGATGAGCAGACATTGCTTATGGCAGGCCCTTCACTATCCATCAATTCTTAACACAAGTTTTGTTTCGGTGGCCTTGAGAGCTTACACAGTATAACATCGGGGCGAAGTATATGAAGGGCAGTGTGGCCGATGGCGGACTCGCTCAATGGGGTACTAGGCCGGAACTGTGTTTTGCGACTCCCGATTCCTCTTTTGACTCCCGTATTTATTTAGAATTGAGTTCACACTTCTCTTTAGATACCGGTGTGGCTGTAGTTATAGCTAAGCTCAGCAATGGTAACGGGGGAAAGGTAAGCATCTAGGTTGTAGTGGATACGCTTGACAAATACGTCCAATTGAACTCGTATTTTCGTTTGGCTATGGCTGAGGGAGTAACCCAACTAGCCACTAACCATGCCTAAAGGTTTAACGTTTTCCAGAAAAGTATGATTCTTATCGGCCTCCGAAGCCCTGTATTGCCCTCTGCCTCGGCTTCATGAAGCGGCTTACAACCGCCGGTAAATTAATCTCTGCAAAGCATCGCTGGGCAAATGGTCAAACCAAGCGTTTCAGTATTTGCTAATCTCTATCCATAAGAATTTTTAAACTGGGTGGATTTTACCTTGTACAAATTGATTCACACTACAGCACCGCAATCGTCCAATCGCCCCTCTCCGGCACCCTTCCCTCTTTCGGCGTTGGACCTGGCTGGCGGAAGTCAGTTGACTTCGTCTGCAGTACCCGACTTCCCCCCCAATCACCTATCACCACGTGAAGGTATGCGAAAATCATGTCAATGCCTAAACAGAAGCCACAACAAACGAAATTGCGCAATTTCTTTCAACGCGGGTAACTGGGGCCCGGCGGATTCGCACGCAGTCAGAAAAGCAAAGGAGCGCGAGCAGCCGAAGAAATTCCCAGTGCGCTGGGTATGATATTTTGGACTTCGTTCTCTCTGCAATGAGTCTGCCTATGTACTCTGTTTACCCTCGATGGGAGCATATCGTTGAGCAACTGATGCTGGTTCTCTGAAGGCGTTCAAGGACTCCGCGAAATATCCTTTAACTTTATCCGAAAAGCGTCAGCAACGTCATTGTGATAAGTCACAGCTGGATGAGGCAGAGATCTTAAGCAATGAAAAGACAGTCCCTAGCGGACAGAGAAAAAGTAAGACGCTAAAATGACAGGGGAAAAGCGAACTATCTCGTTGGCATCTACCAGTCTCCCCTTATTCGTCAGCAACCAGTGCAGGCATCAAACCGAACAGTGCGTCGAATGGTCGGGTTATTAATGCAATTTCATAAGAAAGGAGGCCGAACTGGTTTTCACTTCCTGTGATATTCTGTGACTCCAATACCTTTGCTGTGTTTCAGCTTCTCTGTAACTACACTTTCCAATTACAAAGAACTTCTTTTCCACCCTGGTAACATTTGCTCTTTTAGTCGGGACAGCCTAATAGAGGCACAAACTGGCCCAGTGTCAACAAGATGAACGATTTGGTCAAATAAACCACCATCGCTACGTTCTCCGTTCGGTTTGCAGGCAAGCTGGGTTTGGCAAACCCAGCTAGCAGAGTCAACCGAGTCACAGACCGGAGCACAACGGAGGTCACCGTATTTTGTAAATACAGAAGAGGCTTGCTGAGCACCTTCCGCAACATCAGGTCTCCAATAGCCGTGGAAAGCAATTCACTGTCTCCTTGCTGGAGACGATTTTGGGGAGACACAGGGCGAGAGGTGCGCCAGAAGCAACCGAAGGTCTCCTGGGTTGCGCTGGAAGTACAGCGAATTGGAAGTCAGTACAGCGATATTTCGGCTAAAGATGTCGCAAGATGGCGTGTGGTGCTATGGTAAACGGGAATATGGCCAGATGTGACTTCGTCAGAGCAAAGTGGAAAAATCTGTCCGAAGTTGGCACATAAACTCTAATTCGGCCGTAGTCGGCAACCGACAAGCAAGCAAACAGATGTCTACAGTACTTATGGATTCATCTCAGTAAGGCGCATACATCCTTGCCTACAGGCCTTCCATGCACCTGGATTTGCCGCAACACATGTAGAGGCTGATGGCCGGCCATCTCTTCTCCGACAGCTGCGGGAGCTTGGACCGCTGAGCTCACTCCACCTGGGAAATGCGAGGTGAGAGCATGCGTATTTAAGTAAATCTCATCGACATTCTGTCCCCACTGCAGCCCACAATAGTAATCACATTGGCCATTCCCTCGAAGGGCAAGCAGTGAGAAGCAGCAAGGCGGGGACGCCTAAGAGCATCTCAGTGTTCAAATTCTCAAGTCAACTGAATTAAATAAAGTTTCAATCAGGTAGATATGTTGGAGTGAATGCGCTCTAATGCATCGCATGTGCAAGGATTGTGAAGCAGGGACATCCCATACAGCCACAGTGTCTCAGGGGTAGCGAGATATGAATGGCTGGGGAAATGTACGCAGATTATTGCTACAGACTATATGGTTATATATTCACAAGATCGTCATAGGCTTACTTTTGCTGCTCACAAGACGAGAGAGTGGTTCGAATGGAACCGGTTATTATACACCATCGCGGGGTCCGCCCCCAAAGCCCCATGCATGCGTGGAGAATGCATCGCAACTGCGGGGAGGGTCGAAGGAGAAGATCAACAAGAGGAGAGGGGGTAATTGAAGAGTCAAACGGTCCTCTTAGGAGTTTCTTTACTGTCGCTGGTTGTGAAAATGAAGACGGTGTACTCTGAACAGAGTGTCCGGGTGCCCGACGGAGGTTAGGCATCGCACCCCACTGTCCACAGCAGTTGCCGTGGTTGATTGAACCTGTATAATTTGCTGCTCCATTTTCTTACTTTTTTGCACATATACTCAAATTTTCTGTGTTTATGGATGCTGGTGGGGCCCTGAGTTTTCTGCGTGGCTGGTTCTAGTCGCGGCTGCGGGCGCGAAGTGTCGAGGCGGTAACCACAATTCGAAATTCTCACCGTTGATGAGTACTGCATGCATAAATAGCGGGCCTTCTGCGGACGCTTTTGGCTGAAGATCCTATTTAGTTGCCCTCCATGCAGCTGGGATTACTAGTGTCAGGCATATGTGTGGGGTTGCGAGCAATGTGGGAGGTACCTCAAGTTCTGGCGCTCATCAGCGACATCGAGGGAGCACGAAATTCCTTTTTTTCTTAGATTCCGTTTGAGTGGCTTCAGTCATTCTCTTCAGGGGCAGTTTTGTTTGGATGCCGTCTTGGTCGGGTGGTTCGAGGTTGGTTGGAGTTTGTTATTGCGGTGGATGGCGACCCGGAAAAGGTTTTGGTGTACTGTTCGAATCTGGTTGTCCGAGTTCTAGTGGATCGATAAACGTCATGCGTTTTACGTACATGTGTTGTTTCATTTTGTTGAGGGTCCTTCACGGATAAGGCGGGCATCCACGACGGTAAGTTGAAAACCAATGTGGAGATATGTTGTGCTGTTGTGTTTCTCAGTGACTGTCTCCGTTCGAAGCAGGGAGGTTACAGTAAAGGGGCCCCGCGGGGAGTTGAAGAGGACTTTTCGTCACCTGCCGTTGGTGCTGCACACCACGAAGGATGCAAAACACGTCAAGGTGGCAACATGGCAGGGTAGGAAGTCGGATATTGCCTGCCTGCGCACTGTCTGTTCTCACTTGAACAACATGTTCACGGGGGTGACGAAGCAGTTTGAGTACAAGATGCGTTTTGTATATTCTCACTTCCCCATTAACCTTAACATCATTGACGGAGGCAAGGTTGTCGAAATCCGGAATTTCTTGGGTGAGAAACGCGTGCGTATCGTGAAGCTCCTCCCCGGCGTCATTTGTGAAAAGAGCACAAACGTCAAGGATGAGATTGCCCTGAAGGGAACAGACCTCGAGCTTGTGTCGCGCTCAGGTAGGTGCAGTGGTTGAACTTCAGTGCCAAGTTGCTTGGCGTCGCGTGCCACAAAGGGAACATATGTACCTCCTCATCCACTTGCACGTAAGCAACTGCAGCATTCCACCGACCCAGTATTGTGAGGTGTGTGTTCTTTCGCAGCTGCGCTGATCCACCAGGCCACATTGGTACGCCGCAAGGATATTCGAAAGTTTTTGGACGGCATCTACGTCTCCGAGAAGGGAACTCTTGAGAAGACGGACTGATTTTAAGGTTGCTGGTGCGGGCGCATGCTCGTAGGAGACAACGACCATTTCTATCGCTGGTTGTAGTTCTCAATTGGCACTTCAGGCGGTCGACGGGTTTCTCTAGCGGTTTCCCACAGGGCCTGTTCTGTTACAGGCCGCCCCTGTCTCTGTTTTGGGCCTCTGTCCTGGCCTTTAGCTGCCGGGTCTAGGCTCAGGCGTTCTCGGGCGGGCAGCTACTCAACCTCTTCACAAAACGTTGTGTTGCCATTAGACGGCAAAGAGCACATTCGGGTTGAAAATTCGGAGTTCCACGTTGTAGACATCGGCTGGGAGTAGCCGCCTCCACTGTGAGAAAACCCACGATTGTTTGTTTTAGGGGCAGGCAGCCACGCACCTTGCAGTTAAATTTCTCTGTAGGAATTGGAGTCTAGAGGGTAGTAGGACGGATGGCTTTGAGTCAGGCAAGTTAACTATTACTCCATTGCTCATTGCTCGAGCTGTGAATGGCAGCATCCTACCCATAGGGAACCTTGCGGTAAGAGCACTAAGTCTGCAATACAGGGGGGCAATGTAGCTGGTGGGTTCACCTGCCCTCTACGTGCAGACGAGCGATCCGATCATCCATATGCCAGTAGGAAAGAAATGCTAAGACTATGGCAGCACTACAGGGGAGGGACCCCAGCACAGGAAGCGGCGTGGGGGCCTCGTGCTTGTGACGACGACTGTCTGTTTGGCTTTCTGTGTTGATTTGTGATTCTCTAGTTTCTCCACGTATTTCTGTGTCATAGCTGTTAGTTCCTGCTCGATCTGTTTAGTTTCTTCTAGCTTCTGTTCAGCACTTTGCGTAAGTTCCTGAGACTCTTGGGTTAGTTTCTTTGAGGACTTGAGGAAGCCCCGGACGGCGTCACGCAACTCGGCAGGCGCCGGAGGTGGCTCCGTATGCTCGTTCGAGTCGGGGCAGTAGAAGTGTGTCTCGTTCCTGTCGAATGCAAACTTGACTCGCAGTTGCTCCACCAGGCGCCGCGCTTGTCCGTAACCGAATGTCCTGTTGCCCTTCAGGATGGGTAGAGGGCGGCCATTGGCCCCAACGGGGACAGTTGGCTTCCTTGCCGCTGCTTTTGAATCCGTTCTTGTTTCCTGATCTGGCAGCGGGGCTCCCAACAGGTCAAAATGAATCGATTCACGAACTGGCTTCTGCTCGCCGTCAGGACTGGCAGGGGCTGTGTTGCTCTCAGCCAAATTGAACCGTACAGGCCGGCCGTCTGCGAGGCTCTTTTTAGACGCTGACTCCGTATATGACCCCAGTGTCACTGCCTCAGCCGCCATAGTGGAAAGGGTGTATGCTTACTCTCTCGGGGGTGGAAAATAAAACGGCTGTCGGGGCACTGCCATGCAAAAGCCGCTTAATATTCCTTCTGTTCCTCACCGCAGGCCTGCTGCATCTGTGAGAATCTTCGTAACCAGAAACAATGTCTACGACTTTGTACTGGCAAGCTTTCTCCACTGTGAAGCCGTACAGAAAGGCGCGGTTTTAGCAGTAATTCCCGGCTCTTCTGCAGGCTGCATGCCCTATTGGGAATACAAGGGGCTCCTGCGTACCATTCTGTGAATGGCTGAGATGTCGAATGGATTCATCCACTGCCTGGTTATATGCTAGCAAGTTCCGTCGCTTGGTTGCCGGCGCCAATGCCCATCAGGGCAGGCTACTGTCTGTCGCTATATAATGATATTAGGCGCCTATATGTACACGCCTGTACATGAATTCATAAATACACTGAATGTAGTAGGTTCCCATGTTCAGGCGTCTTCGCTGCACAGAATGGCACAGCGTTTTTGCCAGTGGAGCAGCCCCTAAAATGGTGACTGCAGGGGGTCAGTCTAACGCCGAAGCAGGAGGAACGAAAATGCATTTGTGTAAGATCACTGCATATGGCTAAAGGCCAACTGTAATGCAGTGCGGTCTCTAGAAGTCTATTGCCTCGTGCAAGAAGGACCCGAGAAAGCCCCATAGGCTCCATCAATATGCATGCCACATTTTGTTTTCAACGAGCGATAAACCTAGGAGCCTGCTCAAGAACTGGTAAGAAAGGTAACTGCGTTTAATTTGGCATTAGGCCATGGCCGTCACAAGGCCTCTGCTGTAGTTATTCCATTAAGTTGCATAGGTACCCTGGCTGCTCTGTGTAGAACAGTCGGCGCCTCCATTGTTCGTTAACTTCCGAAATTTTGCCTACCGGCTCCTTCTTGCAGATCCATTGATTGGGATTATGATATTTGAATGTTTTGCTCGTTAGAAGTGGGCATATACGGACAACACTTGCAAAACGACTGATCAGTATTGAACGCCTGTTGTCGCTCTGAGATGTTTCCGTCTTGAGTGTTGTCAAGCCGAATTCTCCCGGCTTCTCCTGGAGGATTAAGAGTGTGCGAGAAGAATTCATCGGGAGTATAGTTGCGGCGGGTCATTTATCCTTACCTGCAGGGGGAAGCTGTGTCGGTGGCGGAGACCCAGCAGTGGGCGAAGCCAACGGGCAGCACGGTGCGTCGAATGCTCAGATTTCTCGCGGTTTCGATGTATAGCCTGCATAAAGGCTCACTTTAGTTAAGATGGCTGCTTCTTCGTTCCATATGAAGGTACCGGCGCACTATCTGCCGGCCTACGTTGACATTCGGCGACTCAAGAAACAACTTGAGGAACTCGTGCACAATGCACAACGCCAACGCGCCACCGTCCGGGTGAGTTGAAATTAGTGTCCTGTTTGCACAGTGCATATGCAAGGGGTTCGTAAGCGCATGAGACTGCGGGAACTGCGAGAACTGCCGCAGAACCTGTAGTCGAGGAAACCTTGGAGGCAGGCGAAAAACTCCACGTAGTGGGGAGGTGCCTCTGCCTAAGAGGGAAGGAAAGGATTGCTAACAGCTGCGTTTGCGTGTGTCTACTTTCTGACGCTGAGTAGAGGTTTACTTTTCCATTTGTCGGATGCTTGCAGCGCCGTCTAGATATTCTACAGAGGCCCCGAATACTGCCCTCAGGCATGACACAGAAGCCCACTTCGCCAGCAGCTGTAAGCGAGCATCAAGATGCGGAGCCCATTTCGCCCCCATCAGCGCCTGACCCGTCCCATAGTCAAAATATGTTCTCCGCAGCAGCAGCCGCTGCCCGGGCTGACGATGGAATGGCTGGATCAAGCCTGAGGGCTGAAGCAGAAACGCTCTCGCTGCTACCGGGTACGCTCACTGTCCGCAAGCACCTGATACCAACCGTGTAGATGCTGGTTCTTATGTGCGCCCCTGTGTGTGTGCATCTGCCGACTCACGTACTGTTGTTCTGTGCCTTTTCTGGTGGGCAAGTGCGCTTTCACGGAAGCAGGGCTGCGCATGAGAACATGCATGGATTGATGCTCGCGGCATTCAGGTTGAGCACAGAATTGAGGACTCTTATCGGAGTGCCGCTTGTAACGGGTTTGCCATCGATGTCGAAATGTATTTCAGTTCATTATGGTGATATGGACGTTTGTGCGATTATCTTGCAAGCGTTGTTGATTGCCTGTCCAAACAGAGGCTCAGTTCTGGGGGCTGCTTCAGCAGCAAGTACATGAACTTAATAAATTCGCGACTGCAAAAGAACGGCAGATTCAAAAGGATCTCAGACTAATCGCTGCACGCATGAAACAGGCAAGTCCTGAAAGGGAGTCCCTTTTGTGTTGGCAATGCGTCATTACACTTCAGCCGTTCTGCAGCAGTCTGTGACTGTTTCAGAAGCTTGATTAGGTTTTTTTGGCTCTTGAGGTACTGGTGGCGGGTCCTGAAGGTACTTCGTCCTCATACCGGGGCACGGCATTTCTGTGTACCTCATGGCGACGCAGGAAGAAAGTCTTCAAGGAGATGAAGAACAACTCATTGAAGAACAATCCGCTGGTAAGGTAGCTGCATTTGGCAAGGTGAAGGTGGGCTGTGCGTCATTTGCTGTTTGAAGAGTACTGGCCTATTTGTGCACGAGTTTGTCTCCCTGTGTTGGAGTTTTTTTTTTGGCGCTGCAGAGATAATTCACCTGGATCTATATATCCGAACAAATCACAAGGCGTTGCTGTTCCTTTGTTCACATTTTGACCGTCTACTTACAGGCGTAAGCTCCGTTATTGAGCATGTTGTAAAACTGTACTGAAAACGGCGTTATTTTCCAGTTAGGGGGGATTCAGAAAAGGAGTTGTCTTGTAATTGCTACTCCTTGTAGGTGCATGGGGGCCTACATGGCAGCAAGTGTCCCTGAATACTTGCAGGTGCTTGGTGAGCAGCAGTCAGCTGTTTTGGTAGGCTTCTTAGTGACTGGCTCTGCGCTGTGGGCATGCCATCGAGGAATTCAGGCGAAGACGGCCCGGTGGTTTTCCACCTCGTTGTTGAAGGAGGCATATTGCAATGTTGACCTTGAACGTCTAGTTCTGATGCTGTCTCTTCTGTGGGGAAGGTTCCGTTCCAAACTCGTACGTAGTAGCGGCCTGGAACAGCTTGTCAGTTAAATTCGCGTTTGACCACCGATACACTCAGAGCAGTTGGCGATTCAAGTGCCTTTAAATTCGACGGCGACTTGTTTGCTGGACAATCGAACTAGCAGGTCAACGGAGTTGTGAAACTTGCAGGAGGGGAGGCAAATGGGATCTGAGGCGTGGAAGCCACCTGACTCATTTGTTCGTGCTACGACCAAGTACTGGATCAGACCAGAAAACATTGTGCGTGTTGATGCGGACCCTTCTTCTGGCAGAGGATCCCTTCCGCTTTCTCCGGCAGCCCTTCCGTAGATAAAACTGTGCCAGAACGTGTGGCACTGGTTGCTCCCGATACGAAGTCTCATTTAACTGGGTTAGGGTATAGTAGGAAGTTGTTAGGCATATGCATGACGTGCTTCTGTAAGCAATTGCCACAGGATCTAGGAATATTGGCGGCTCGGGTTTGTTGTTTTGCAGGTGCGTGCGCAGTGCTTAATTGTGAGGCATTTGCCATTCCTCGTCTTCGGGACATCTGACAAAGAGTTGGTGAATCTATTTATGCGGGTTCAATATTATCCCGTACACGTTATCTGTCATCCGTATACACTGCTCACCTAGGAAACGTATTCTTGGGGTCGTGGATAAGCACATTCCCCCTTTTTCGCATCAATTGCAGAGGTTGCATGTAGGGACTTGTGCTGCAACAGGCTTGCTGCCGAGTCGTGCCTTCTGCCCAGAGCGATATTGCAAGTGCTCTGTATGCATTAGTTGCTCACATACGTGCGTGAAAGAAATTATCCACGTGTGTTTTATGCTTAGGAGGCTTCATTGCTTGGTCCGGATGCTACTGCAGAAGGGCACAACATTGGGGCCCTTAATCTTGCACCCACACAGATGGTGGCCTCAGTGTACTTTGATAGTTCAAGTACGTAGGGCTTGCTGCTGCCTTCCATTGGTCTTAGGCCCAACCGCAGGCCCTGTTAGACCATATTGGCGTAGTTGATTTTGCACATCATTAGAGGTGTGAAGGCAACTACGCTGAGACTTACCGGGCGGTTAGCAAATATTGTGGTCGGTGGCAATATTGGTTTTGATCCCCTTCAGCTGTTGCCGCCTACCAACATGCAGATTAATGGGTACATAAGTGATATTCTTGTGAAGGAGATCGGAGGCTTGCTTGCTAGGCTTGCTTGTGTCCATACTGCTCTGGCGCCACAGGTGCCTACAGCTACGAACGTCGCATACGGAGGTTTGAAGGCGCCCAACTGCTGCGGTTTCGTTGGTATGGCACCAACAACAATGGCCCTGACGAGGACATCTTCATTGAACGGTGGGGCAGCGAACTTTATTGCGTGTTGGTGCGGTGGCCTGTGCTGTAGGCACGTGCACATGTCATGTGCTGGGCTTCAGTGACTGCTTGTCGCTTGGTTGTAGGAAAACTCATCACGAGTCTTGGAGCGGCATGAGCAGCACTAAAGAGCGGTTTGTGGTCCCTCAGCGGTTGGTTGCGCCCTACATGCTGCTTCAGCGAAGTGCTCGAGATCTTTTGCTTGAGGCCTCGGGCTTCCAGTTGCCATCAGTTGATAGTGGAACAGCTTCAAAGCCCTCAAGCTCTCGTGAGCATAGTGGCCACCCTTTTCTTGTGGCCAGTGATGCTGAGGAAAGTGCCGCTGATGCGTACATTGCCAGAAATGGAAAACTGAGAAAAGCCATTGAGCTGGGGGAAGAGATACAGCAGGCAATCGCAGGACACAATTTGCAACCGATGGTAAGCATTTCACAGACGTGTATACACGACACAGTGCAATGCACACCTCTTTGTATGTAGCGGCAGTGGTTCGTTGGCAGCCATAATAGTGTCTGTTACTCTGGTACTCATCTGGCTGAGGAGCCTACTGGGCGTAAGGCACCTCTGTAACCACCTCTCTATAGCCGTTAGAGTTTATTGTAGTCGGGGAGTATGCGAAGGGACGGATACACACGGAGGTTTTTGAAGCGGGAAGAAATATGCGATTTCATTTTAGCTTGCGTGCACCCATTGGTTGGTTGCGCAGCTGCGGACGAGTTACCTAAGAGCAGCCTTCCAACTGGCCACTTCAAATGCCGTAAGGAGCATAAATGCAGTATCTCGCCTACAGAAGGCCCATCCCATGGTTCCCGTTGTTAGGATTTCACGTGCCTGCGCAGTATTGCAGCCGTGCGTATAGTGTCTCACGCAGCACCTTCCTGGTTCCGTCCCGTGCCGATAACTGGGGCATCCAGGGTAAGGTGCAGTGGTCGCCGTATCAACTTGGTAGGGAATTGATGGGTTTGATTAAACACGGTGCGTTCAGGTGCGTATTTCCCTGGACACAAACCTGTGCATGGTCAACGAGTACAGGCCGCAGAGGCAGGAAGATGGCGGTTTCAATTGGTGCCGGCTTGCAGACGAATTGCTAGGCAGGGTACGAATCCTCATGATTGTCTTTTCGTCTGCTTTCACCCTTGGTGACCATTTTCCCCAGAGACTACGTTTAGTTACATAATAGAGTGTGTGCAGCCCAACCGTGTTGGAACATTTCTGTACAGCTGCCGGGATGGTGCCCACCCGCTCTAGCGACGAAGTGTATTTCCGTTGGTAGGACGCGGCGATATTCTTTTTATTACCGGTGGTTCTGCCTCAGGACGAAGTTGTGCGCTTTCCTTATGCCATTCTCGAAGTGAAGGTACAACAGCAACCGCCACCTGCTTGGGTGCAGTCGATGCTCTTATTATCAGACGCGAGTATGTCGTTGCGTACTCAGCTTAGTCAACCCCATTGGAGAGGCTTATTCTACTGCTTTTTCGTCATCGATTTTATTATCTTTTCCCCTTGTCCTTTATTTAATATCCGGACCCACTTGAAATGGGGTTTGCGTTGGTGTGTGATGTGCGACAACGTTTGCCCTAGTCTTTGATTCCCCGGGCGGGACGCCCCCAGACTGCAGTGTGTGCCATCATGTATTCGACAGGTGAACCGTAAGCGACTGTCAGTTGGCCTGACGTGTATGGTGAGTTATGCCTGCAGCACTGGTTTACAAGTTCTCCAAATTTCAACACGGAATGGCATTTTTGCATCGCGACAAGATCTCCAGCGGGCTGCTGCCTCATTGGTTGCAGAGTCCGCAATCTGGGCAGCGCCAAAAGCACGAAGAACAGCTCTCAGCGTATAAGAAGCGCAGTACACTTGGCGTGCCCCCACTAGGTGGTTCACTCTTTGAGTCGTTGCGCAATAGCCCCGATAGCCTTTTGACACCTCTAACCCGCAGTCTGGCGGAACAGCACGTGCCAAGGTTTTTGACTTCTGACGCTCTTGGAACAGAGAGGCGGAGCCTCTTCCCTGTAGGTATGTCAAATATTTCTGTTCCATCTATCATTTATGTTCCACATGCACTCGAACGCTGCAGTTTTACCAGAAACAAATACTGATAGAAGGAATGTATTGGTTATCTCAGGTGGTTCACAGCTTCATGGTTGCTCTGTTTGTCTGCTGTAGGCGAAAGCGAAGCACTGGTCGCAGCCGATGCAGACTGGGTATGCAATTGTGCGGTGTAGTATTGTTGTGTAGTTGTAGAGGTCTTTCAAAGGCGGGGGATTCCTCATCGCCTTGCCAGCTTCGATTTAGGGAGGCTGTGGGAGCCAGCTAGTGAGGCACCCGCGTCAACAGATGTTGTTACTGCGATTGCCATGGCACGGGCTCTCATGTTGGAATTTGGCGCTTGCATGCAGGAGGATATGACGGCGACAGCTGCGCAGCGCACCTTTTTTTGGCTGAGGGCGCAACAAAAACTGCAGCTGCAACAGGCGCCACGGGCAATTGGGCAGGAGGTGTCTGCTGAGGGGGAGTTTGAAGATGACCGCCCCCGGGCAAACAGCGCCAGCAGTGCAGATTCGGTGCGCCAGCGTTTGGCTCGCCGGCACATTCGCACCGTCAAGAAGATTGACCCCAAGACGTCCTTTGCAGCGGAGCGCACATTTTTGCACTACATCCAGAAGGGGCTTTACTTAGCAGGAGCAAGTCTTGCGTGAGCTCTCACTTCAGTCTTTATGTGCTGTTATGTTCACGACGCATGTCTATTCGCATATCCAGCGCGCATGGCGTGCTGCGAGCTTTCTCATCAGCAGTTAGTGCGGACCGTGTTGTGCATTCTGCAGCTGTGTGGAAACTCTAACCGGTGACTGGGGATTGGGTGTGGTACTGATACTAGCCTTTGCGAGCGTGTTCCTCTGCTGCGGCGCTTATGCCATATACGTAAAGCGATGCCATCGAATATCTCAGTAGGACACTCCGCTCCAGAACATTTCCGTCTTTTCTGTTGTTACCCCCCAAAAAATTTACACTTACTTTCTTTTGTATTTACGTCCGATGGCAGCATTCTGAATTCGCGTAGACGTGGCCATGCTGGATCTCTGTGCTTGTGAGCAGGCGAGTCGCAAAGGCAGGCGCAGCCAACGTGCAGCAACGCGTAGATTCGCAATGGGGGCCCTTGCTGGCGTTTTTCGCTGCCGGTGTGGCCACTTTTTTGGTGCTGGTTCTTCAGGTGGATGTCAACTTAAGGAGTGTTTTGAAGCATGAACAGGCAGAACATTCAGCAGTCTACAGACAGAAGCGGCATGCAGAACCGAATTTGACGCGACAACGTGTGAACGAGCTGTAACTAAACAAAAGCTAAGTTAGCTGTCTTGCCCCTTTCTGCAGCAGCGGACTTCTTTGGGGGCCAATCTGAAGTTCCGAATTCCGTCCCAAACCTTGCGCCATGCTTAAGAAGGCCAGCTGAAGTTTTATTAGTTGAAGAGCGTGCCGCTTCGTAGTGCCAGTGTGCACTTTCGAATTCCAAGAGCAGGCTTGCAATAGTCACAGCGCAAGCACAACAGTGGGGCAGATATTCTCTGCAGTCTCCAGAAATGTACAGTGTAGTGCACCTGTGAAACGAAAGTGGCTAAGCTAAGCTGTTGTTGACTAAACAGAATGACGGTATCCCTCAACAGGCGGAAACTACCTTCGAGCGGACGAAACCTCAAAAAACTGGAGTGGTGTGAGAAATGTTGCCTAGGTAGATGTGCCATAACTCCTGAAATAGAACACTTGCGGAGGGACCAACCGCTATGCAATGCGTGCACCCGTTGAATGGGCTGGACGGGACACGGAACAGGATTTCCCAAGCGACATTCACATGCGTATTGTGTCCGGCTAAGTCCTTTACTGCGACGCCGGTTTAGTAATCATCCTTCGTGTGTAGTATATCGCTGGTTTCAATGAAGGCAACTGCACGGATTGCATTGACCGCAGGATGAAAAACAAATACGGGCGTATCTGCAAAGGTAGTTAGCAAGTTGTTAGCCGTTCGAAAGCAATGTTCAGCTCAGAGCACACGGACCTCTCAGCTTTCCTTAGGTCGGACGCTCAGCAGTCATCAGCGTCATTCTGCCCGCGTTGCAAAGTCGTCAAGAAGTTTTTGAAATAGGTATGCAGCGTCCGAGTGGTGAGGAGGCCCAGCACCAGTGATAGGGAAATTATACATGGCGAAGCCGAAATTTGGCCTTGCTAAAATGCTCTCCTAAAGGCACATGTATCGCTTAGACTGTCACCGCACAAAGTCCCATGAATGCGTTAGTTATGTTGGTGGCACAGCGCCACTCGGCTTCGGCTGTCGAAGGCATCTTAAACCAAACTTTTCCCTTGAAGTAGCTGTGTTCAGAAAAGGGACTCAGTAAGGTGGTCCAGGGCTGCGTCTGCTGTCTGCAGACGGTATTTTCAAAACCAGTTGTACCATGCTTTGCGTTGAACGAATATTGTAACATGCCTCTAGTGATATCCTCCCATCCTGTATCGCCATATACAAGGAACAGTGTCACAAATATATATTCTAGAAGAGCAGCGAAGAGAGTCTGTAGTTCTCCAAAGGCACGCTTCATTCTTGCAAATGTATCCCTGAATTGGCTATTGATAGTTTTCTTATTGAGGGGGCTGCACGACACCTGAAATGTACCAAACTCCGTTTTTGCTTGCACAGAGTGTTCCCCCTGCCATGATGTAGCCATTAACATGAGCTCCGACGTACATTTATGCTCATGCCGACAAGCGGGCAAACTACTGCACAAACATGAAAAATAATAGAGAAATCTACCGGCTCAACGCTGCATCCGCTGCATCGAGAAGTATCCTAGGTGGCTAGGATATCCACGGCCAGGGTACGTTTCGCAGGATCGCTGTTCCGAACAAATGTCCTACTGTTTTCCTCGGCTTTTTGGCGGCGTTAAAGTGTGGACCCGTTTGCGACTCTCAGTTATGCAATGCTAGTTGAATCCTAGCTCAGTTATGCAACGCAACTAGAGTCCTAGCTCTTTGCAAGGGAACCTCGTGAGTTTCCATAGGGGTGAGGTGCTTTAGAGTTACCCAAAACTTTCCAGGATAATCAGTAACACCCGCACAGAGTGATGGCGATGGCTCCCGGGGCAGCCTCGCATGGGCTGGAGCACTCCCCGCTGCAACTACTACTGCAAGGCGGTCTCCCATGCAACGAAGCCCACTTAACGTTCACGTGCGTGCAGTTACGTAATAAACAATTGTTGAACACCCCCCTTGACCCTCAGCAGACATCCTGCGAGCAGGTACTAATTCGGACTCCAACTTCAACAGTAAAACGGGGGAAACGACCAGCTTCTTAGAGCCACCGCAGCAGAATGGAAATGCTAAACGTAAAGCTGTAGCCGTAAATAACTAAAAACAAAGCTTTGGGTCTGTAGCTGCAAGGCATGCACTGAGTTTTTGTTGCATCAGGTGTTCACGCATTCACCATGAGCCGCAATAGCACACAAATGTCGGTTTGAAGACTCACATGAGGCGGTCGAGATGTTCCATATAGTTCGTGTAGGGGATAGAATTTGCAGGTGATTGTTCAAACACCTCACAATCCGGACGTAAAAGGATGATGTGCCCATCCCAACCCAACAGCATGGTACCCCTGCGCGTACACACCTCCCACCCTTGGCCACAGTGTGATGATGCATGGAGGCTGATTGAGCACAACTCTCCTTAACTTGCTCGTGGATGAGTAAAATATGAGTCGTTTTGCGCTTTTGAAAGACGTTTAGGGCTAGAAATAGTGTTGGTGAGGCAACTACCGCTACTGCTTCAGGGAGAACCAACAAACGCTCTGTAGCGTGCAGCTGCGCGCCGCCGCCGCGGACTGCAGAGGAGGTCTGCAGGGCCAGGGAGAATTATTGCGCCCTTTCTGTTCCATCTACTCCATTTACTGCGACTATTCCTGAGGAAAATACAAGTTAGCAAGGGTCAGAGGAGAACCCGACGCTCACTTTGACAGCGCCATCAGACTGCCGTCTCGAGCTGCCGCTGTTCCTCTCTGATCGGCTGGCGGTGCGTAGCTCAGCAGTCTGCGCAGAGCCTCTTTCGATTTTCGTGTCGAAAACGGATATCAGAGAACTCCTGAAGGGGAGTTTTGTTACTGTGGGAAGCTTCCACCTCCCACTGGATCCCCGCTCGTACCCACCTTAACCCGGTGACGTCCACGAACTAGGCGGCCTTCAAGACAGCTGTGGCCGCTGTAGTTGCATATCATAAAGTCTCACTATCTCTTCAGCACGAGCTAAGAGACATAGCCTTGCATAATGACTGAGGAAACACCCAGCAGCGGAGGCCCTGCAGCTGGAGGTGCAGGCGGCGCCGCTCCTGCTGCAGCAGGCAACAAAAAAGCAGATGCCAATGCAGCAGCAAATCAGCCTCCGAAGAAGAAGAGGTCCCCCAACCGGCTTGTAGTAGAGGAGGCTATCAATGATGACAACTCTGTGGTCGCCTTGAACCCCTCCCGTATGGAAACCCTGCAAATATTTAGGGGCGACACGGTGCTGCTTAGAGGGAAGATGCGGCATGACACGGTGTGTGTCGTCCTGGCCGATCAGGATCTTGACGAAGGGAAGATCAGGCTTAACAAGGTCGTGAGGAAGAATCTCCGTGTTCGACTGGGAGGTAGGGCAAAACACCACCCTCTGTTTGCTGCTGCACAGTCGTTTTTGGCGGTTCAGAGGCGCAACTGTGCACCTTTCACCCCTCCTCTATGACGATTCGTCTGATCATTGCATCGGAATCTTATGCGTTTTCGGTCGTGATGCAGATATTGTCCATGTGAGCGCCTGCGCGGACTGTCCGTATGGGAAGCGAATCCACGTCTTGCCACTTGACGATACAATCGAAGGCATAACCGGTATGCTTGCCACTTTGATTGTTTGCTGATGGCATTTGCCTCGCCAACTGCTGACAATTGTGCTTGGGAACTGCATGCGCACTCACCCAGGAGTCTCGCGTTGGGCATGGGAGTTGTGTGCAGGCAATCTTTTTGAAATTTACCTCAAGCCGTACTTCATGGAGGCATACAGGCCCGTGCGCAAGAATGACTTGTTCCTTGTCCGCGGTGGCTTCAGACCGGTTGAGTTTAAGGTATGTTAACTGCACCCATGTAAGCGGTGCTTGCATTAGCCTGTAGTCGTCTCAGTGTATCCGTGCCCTTGCCTTTATTGACAAGGCAACTAGAAGCAAACTCGCGCTGTACATACATAGCGGCGCCCGCTGCACGGCCCTTCCGTAAAGCCGCATGCACAGTTTGAAGCTGTCGTATTTGAAAGCAGCCTAACCCGCGGTGTTTGCCCCGTCGTCTTCGCAAGCGGTTCTTAGTCGTTCCCACGCAACAGCCTGCTCCATTCCACGGCCAAAATAGCAGCTAGGCATGTACAATACTCAAACAGCTGCTTAATTAGTGTATGGACGACTCGCCCTTGCTGAACTTACTGAAGTGGCGGCTAGCGGCTTGAGCTTATCTTCATGCAAGAAAATTGCCTGTGCGTCAGGTTGTGGGGGTGGATCCCGGGGAGTTTTGCATTGTAGCACCCGACACTGTCATCCACTGCGAGGGCGAGCCTGTGAAGCGGGAAGAGGAGGAGCGGCTTGATGAGATAGGCTATGAAGATATAGGTGGGTTTCTCCACTTGCATGAGCAAGTCCCTGACGGTGGCTGCAACGCGTTTTCAGAGGATGCCACTTTGCTTCCGAGTACCTGTCGTTTGGACGGGGCGGCGGCCTTGTTGATAGGCGTGCGCAGAAGGGTTTCTTGACAGATATTTGCTCCTCATGTAGCAAAGGGGCAGGAGGAGCGGAGGCAATCAGGAAGCTTGCTTTAGGGGCCTGCCGTTATTTTAGTGCCGCCGCAGTTTCAGTGAGCATTCTAGGGTATGCGTTGCATTTGTTTTAGGAGGATGTCGCAAGCAAATGGCACAGATTCGAGAGATGATTGAGCTGCCTCTACGACACCCAACTCTTTTCAAGACACTAGGCGTTAAGCCTCCGCGTGGTGTTCTGCTGTATGGGCCTCCAGGTAGGTCGACAAGATTGTGGGTGTTTGCATTGCTGATGTGGAGCGTTGTTCCTTCCCACTGTCCGCTTTTAACACTTTGCGCTGACGTCGAAGCCTCGGAGATGCTGGCCGAGTAATGGCGCAGGAGCAGTTGAGATACGGCATGGCTTGTGTGTTGCAGGTAGCGGGAAAACACTCATTGCAAAGGCTGTGGCAAACGAAACCGGAGCCTTCTTTTTCCTTATAAATGGCCCCGAGGTCATGAGCAAGATGGCAGGTGGGTCTTCATCTCCGCAGGAACGACAGACGAGTGTTTATTGTGCATGCGCTTTAGCTCTTTGCTGTGGTAGAGCTCTTGCGCCTGTACGGCGAGGGGATGCGGGCGGATTAAGACGTTGTGGCCAGCTTAAAACATGTGTGGGTTGTTGCCGTCTTTTCTGTTTTGGGGGGCAAGGGAAGCCCTGACTGTGGGACGAGATGTGTTTGCAAAGCGGCTGCTGTCGGCTGCGCGGACGCAGGGGAGGCGGAGGCGAACTTGCGTCGAGCATTTGAAGAGGCTGAGAAGAACGCCCCTGCGATTATATTCATCGACGAAATTGATTCCATTGCCCCCAAGAGAGAGAAGACGAACGGAGAGGTGGAGCGGCGGGTGGTCTCGCAGCTGTTGACGCTTATGGACGGCTTAAAGGGCAGGGGCCAAGTTGTTGTGATCGGTGCGTGCCTCGGAAATACGGATTTTTTGAGGCGTTTTGTTCTTGCCAGGGCAGCTGTAATGCCAGCTAAAACTCGAGTGCTCGTTGGAAGTCACGGGTAGTAGGGGTAGTAGAGGACCGAGGGCTGGGGTATATTTTATTTGCTCCAAAGCGTGTATACGCCTTTTTGAGAAAACTGGTTGCTGGCTGACTGATAGCTGCTTCTGACTCGATTCTGCAGGTGCCACGAACCGTCAGAACTCCATTGATCCCGCTCTGAGGCGGTTCGGCCGGTTCGATCGTGAGATTGACATTGGCGTGCCTGATGACAACGGGCGACTCGAAATCCTGCGTATCCATACCCGCAACATGAAGCTGGGCCCTGACGTCCGCCTAGAGGAGCTCGCATCGAGCACCCACGGTTTCGTGGTGCGTAGAAGGTAGCCATCTTCGTGCCTGGTTACGATTTGCGCACGCCTTGCGGTTAGTATTCATTTTCTCCCTTTTGAGCATACTTCTGTTTGGTTTCGAGTCCGATGGCTATCTGCAGGGCGCCGACTTGGCGCAGCTTTGCACTGAAGCAGCTCTGTCGTGCATTAGAGAGAAGATGGATTTGATTGACCTGGAGGACGACACCATCGATGCGCAGGTGAAGGCTAAATGCCAGTTATGCATTTCTATACATGGGTGTTAGGCCGTGCTATGCATACGCTGCCCCTCCCATAGTCTTGGCACGTTAGGAAGGCGTGTTGTTGTGAGGCAGCCATTTTCCGGAAGCAGTTCAGCTGTCATCTTCGATAGTTGCGTTTCATGCTTTTCTGTAAAGGTGCTAAGCTCCATGGCTGTCACCCAAGAGCACTTCTCATCAGCGCTGCAGAGCTGCAACCCCTCTTCGCTGAGAGAAACGGTTGTGGAGGTTCCCAACGTTAAGTGGGATGACATTGGTGAGGTTTTAGGGCTTTTAATTGATTGAAGGCATTTTGCGTAGGTTTTCAGGTTCATAGTGGGGTGTGTGTGCGCACTGACATTCCTATCGTTCGTTTGTGGTGCTTACCCATTTCGTTGTAGGCGGTTTGGAGGAGGTTAAGAGGAATCTGCAAGAGATGATCCTGTACCCAATTGATCACCCAGAGAAGTTCGAGAAGTTCGGCATGAGCCCAAGTCGGGGTGTGCTCTTCTATGGACCTCCAGGTAAGGACGAAGCAGCAAACGTGTAGTGGCGCACCTAGCATCTGCTTCTGCTCCTGGATTTGTGTACACCAGTGTGTAAATTTCGTATGTATGTGAATATTGATTGGCTATTCAGTATGCTAATGGCTGGTGTTGCGCAAATGTTTGCACATGTTTATATAGATGCAATGCATGCACCTATTTTCGCCAGAGCTACCACTTGCACGGTACACGAATGTTTACAAGTGCATGCCTGCCTGCTATGCGTACTTTTTGTGTAGTGCAGAAAACGTGTGTTTGTTAACGTATGGATGGACTGATCGCCAGGCCTCCGTCATTATCAGTGTGCTGTGCACTGTGTGTTCACTTCAGGGTGCGGTAAAACTTTGTTGGCGAAGGCAGTGGCCTCGGAATGCTCTGCGAACTTTATATCCATTAAGGGTCCCGAACTGCTGACGATGTGGTTTGGCGAATCTGAGGCAAATGTCAGAGAGGTGTTTGACAAGGCAAGTTAGTAGATTAGTACTTCTCGGGTTTATATTTCCTCAGTGCGTGTTGCCCCTGATCATCAGGGTGCTGTAGGAAGTTTCCAGCTCTCTGTGTGCTTCTGTACGGTTGCCAAGACGGGGGAAATCCTGCGTGTTGAGTATGGTTCGTCCAGGCAAGAGCAGCGAGTCCCTGTGTTCTGTTTTTCGACGAGCTGGATTCGATCGGCACTCAGCGTGGCAACAACTTGGGGGATGCCGGTGGTGCAGGTAAGCAGGAAGGAAGTTAACTGCTTAGAAGCGTTTGGCGTAGATATTCAGTGAGGGGAGTGCATGCCGTGGGTGGACAGGGACGGCTTGTGTGGACGAGGGGGGATTTTGCGCAGGCGACAGAGTTATGAACCAGCTGCTAACGGAAATAGATGGCGTAGGCCCTATGAAGAACCTCTTCTTTGTGGGTGCCACTAATAGGCCTGAACTCCTTGATGAGGCTCTTCTTAGGCCAGGACGTCTAGACCAGCTTATCTACATTCCTCTTCCTGACCTGCCTGCACGTGTTAGCATTTTACAAGTGAGTTCCAGTGCGGGGTCGGAATGAGGCGTCCGCCTTTGTGCTAATACCATCTGTAAGCTGCAATTGGATTGAAGACGTATGTGAGGCGATGATTGCGTTACTTTGTGACAGGCGACCTTGAGGAAAGCGCCTGTGGCTCCAAACGTCCCCATTCCTTTCCTTGCACATAAAACAGCAGGATTTTCAGGGGCGGACATTGCGGAAATGTGCCAACGGGCAGCAAAGGCCGCCATTCGCGACGTGGGGCTCTCAAAGCGATGAGGCTGTTTTGCATTAGTAACTAGGCAGCATGTGGCGTTTGCAGTCCGTGCATTGCATGCAGAGCAACTCAGAGGAATAAGGCGTTATCTGTCTGTGTGTTCAGGCGATTGCCGCTGAGGAACTTGCCCGGGCTGCAGGCACTGAAGGAATGGATGAAGATGAATCAAATGTGAAATATGAAATCACGCGCAAACACTTTGAAGAAGGTCTAGCAGGTGAGAAGCTGAAAAGCAGCAGGAACGGAACTAGTCGACACGTGCATATTGTAGATTATTGCATTTGATGCGAACAAACAGAAATTTATTGAAGCATAAGTACGAGGGGAAGGCTGCGCGCGGGAACCCCACCAATGGAGGCGTCTGACATATGTTGGTGTATTGCGTCGTAGCAGTAGTGCTGACATTGGGCGGTTTTTATGACGCTGTTTTGGTGTGATATTAGCAGTTTGTTAAGTGAAGGGGAACATGTGTTGCGTGTGCAGGAGCGCGGAGAAGTGTTTCGCAGACAGACCTGTCGAAATACGACTCCTTCAGAATGAAGTTCGACCCCATCTACAAAAGCCAAGCAGCAGGTGGAGATGGAACGATTATTGTTGATTGGCCCAACACCGACGGCGCAGCGACAGACCTGGTGAGGGGTTTGCTCAGTACCATATGTATATTTCCCTCGCGTGATTGTAGGGTTTGTTAGTTATTGGCCGTGGGCTGAGGGGAAATTGGCAACAATAGATCTTTGGAATATGTCTATGCGTGCACAATCTTGCTTTGGAAGGAGCGAGCGCGTACCAAACGTCAGCTGTGCGTTTGCTCCTTCATAGAACATATTCTTGGTTGTACACACGGGCGGGGGCAGTTGCGAAGTGCCGGAGCACACATTGGTTGATGTTTCGTACTTAGTACCTACTTATGCTTAGTGCCACATTTCACGTTAGCGCATTTGGTGACGTAGTTGATCGTTTCTCATACAGGCAGAATGCATTCGTTCCCTCTGGGCTATTGGATTTCATTGTTTATGCTTGCGAGTTACGCTGTATGTAGGGTCGAGTGGAGGAAGGCGAGGATGATGATTTGTACTCGTAATCGGCCATTTGGCTCGTACGTCTTCAACTGCAACAAACGGCGACAGTGCAAAGGCTTCCTCTTGCGAAAAATAAAGTTGACGGATGAGAGGGAATGGAGGAAAGGCAGCGGTAGAGGGGCATTCCCTTATTGCCTCGTAAAAGTTAAGCACTCAACGAAGAGTCTGTGTAGTTGGAAGAGACACTCGTATTCGTATTCGTGCGCTTTCACCAGGAAGAGGCAGCGTTACCGCCAGTAACAGCACACTTGCACGGTTTCCCTTGTTCCAAGCGAAACACAGAAAATTACTTCTGCTGCAGAAATCCTACACAAAGGCGGGCATAAGATTGCTTTGTGAGAAAGTTCCGCCTCCGCTTCAGATGCAATCGATTCTGTAAGCAGCATGTAAACCGATCGACTTCCTCTTCATATCCATTTTTACCCTTTTGCGAACCCGTCCAAGCATCCAGTATATGATTAGTTCATCACTATACACCAAGCATTTGAAGCTGTTCGTGCTTTCTACTTTGGACAGCAGAGGGTAGCTTCTTCAGATGAAAATTAATAGTTGCACAGGTGGTACGCAAGTGCAGAGTTGTTCGCTTGCTATCCGCTATCCGTAGCTCGCACTGAGCCATAGGATGCAGCATGATCACTTCGACTGTGCAACTACTTATGCCGCAACATTCGTTAGATGCCAGTCTTCGGTGAATGATATTCGCTTCGGCGCCCAAGGAGGTTTCCAATAGGGCCCCAACCAGAACCAGCGGCCCGACCGTCCGCGCATCTGCAAGGCAGAGCGCAGAGGAACAGCTAGTTTTGGAGTTGCACTAAACTAACAAGCATTTCCAGAGGATGGGTTAGCAGTGAACACAAGGAGGCACAATACAAGACGGATGGGGTCCGTTCTGACTTGTTATAGGTGAAGACCTCACCATCCGTGGCTTTCCCCCGCGACGAGCTTTCGTGTGGGGGAACTTTACTGGATAAAATTCGTGCGCCTTTATCTGCAAGAGCCGAACCAAGCACACAGCCAACGACACACCTAGGTAAATTCCATTTTTAATGGAGTAGACTTAAAGCAGTATGAAGTGGATGCACAGTATTTGCTAGAGAATGGCCACCAAGAGATGTCGTAGCTGGCAATACAGACAAAACAGGAGATGCAGATATGTATTCAGAGGTGGTGCTGCGAAGTGTCCAGAGCAACTGTCTCAGAATCTTAAGGGGAGCAGAGGACCTGCAGAGGCCTCACCGCAGCAACGAAACGGCCAATCGTTTGCTGCACTCTCCGATCATCTGGTCCTTAAGGAGGCGCAAAACAAGCTTCCACAACCCCAAAATTTTGAATATGCGCTAGTTCCCTTCGTTTCAATGACAACATTTAGCCACAACGGCGGATCTACTGTTTGTTTGGCTGCTTCACCTGCCTTTGGTGCTTGCTTGCAATCAAATCGCGGAAATAACGATTCCATTAGCTACAACTCACCCAATGCAGTGTACATGCAAGCGAGTAGAGTGCGACCTGCACTGGGGGCTCGTGGCTCAAACCAAACATTAAAAGGGTGGACACCGTGCTTCTTCTTTATTTCCTCTTGCAGTGTCCCTTCCCGTGACTTTGTCTGCGAAACGGCTGTCCCTCTGCCTCCACATGCTGTCTTTCCCTGATATCCCGCAACATTAACTTGCATATAGTTACGCTGTGCTGCGCCTTTCAGCCATTCCACGTGGGCGGTCATCGCCAGTTCCAAACCCAAAGCTTCATCCTTCTCCAAGAATAGACGGGCTGCCAAACAACGACGGGTTCTCGCCAGCCACTCAGCTAGCATCCACAACTCCACTTTAAAGCATTCATGAGAAAAAAGCGTTCTTATTGATTCTGTTGTTTCTTCTGATGTCCCTGCTCCTTTTGTTGTGGTTATTGTTGTTGTGGTTATTGATGATTCTGATGTGGGTCGAGGCGATAGACGGGGTTGAGCTCCCCTCGCTTTGGCAAACAAGCTCTTGTTTAGAACTGAAACAAACCCAAGCCAGCGCCAAAAACATTCGAAAAACAGAATTCGTAGAAGCGCTCGGCAGCACTACCATTTGTGTCCTCCAACGGCAACAGCGGCAAGACGCATTAAAAACTACGGAGGCCTTTGACATTGCACGCGTTCTCTTCGCTTGCACCCATCTAGTGAGCGTTACGTGGAAGACAGCAACCTGGAAACAAACAAAAACGCTGTAGGTGAACTTCTCCCATAACATGAGCATGTGCAACAGGCCTCTCACTCACGGCACTGGTTGTACAGCGGCAAACGGCGAATTATGGGGCAGTCATCAGGGGCCCACTGCGGCTCTTCCCGTTCAATTAGTTTCTCAAGAGTCGTCCGCAGACCAGCACGCACAAACGGCGCCTCTTTCTGCGATTTATTTGCTGCTCCACCTTTTCCGCTCCTCTCCTGCTCCCCTCCCGTCTTGCTCTGCATAGTCCACGAAAGCAGCTCGTGCAATGCCTGCAAGTCCTGAATGTGCATTAAAGATGATCACAGCAAACAACTACTCCCGCGTTAAAACAGATGCCGCCGTCGCCTCCATTTAGCCCATAGGTCATGTATTACGCACACACTGGCGTAGCTATGTACAACGCCAACTAAGGCTGACAAACTGAACTCACGAGGGTGTGAACCTCAGGAACGTCGAAGAGTGCAACAGTGGCGAGGGCGGCCAACTGCGCTGCACGTTCATCTGAGTCCAGCAGGTACCCAGCACGAGAGGCTGGCTGATGTCTATCGCTGTTTTCTGGCCTCAAGGAAAAATGAAACGCTGGCCCCTCCTTCATGTTTCTCACACCGAAGGCTCTCCGGGGTGAGGGCGACGGTCTGGTGTGTTCGTTAGCATCAGCGGGCGGCATAAGATCCTCTTTCAGGATGTGCAGTAGCGTCTGCGGTAGACAGGGTGCACAGACACTTAACTGAGACACTCGACAACAACTCGTATGCAGGTATGCATGTGACTTAACGGTCTGCGCAGTCGTGTTGATCATAGGCTGTGCAATCCGCAGTGATGGAATAACATACACCTGGCGACAGCTGACAACACAGCGCACCTCTATTTCATTGAGGTCCCTCGGGCTTCGCCTTCGAACTGCCGACTCCACTGCCCACACGCATGCAGTGTCACCAACTCTACATGATAGATAAGCGACAGCATAAGAAGCAGGAAACCAGCATCGACCAGCTTCACAAGGTGCTGTGCGAGAGCTTCACCAGTGCACATGTGCATTAAGTGATTCACTGTGGTGGTGCAGACTTGACTTGATACTAAACAGCATAGGGGAAGTTCTCAGTGACTGCCTGTAGACAGCGTAGTATCCACCTTTCAGGCGCTACGTCTGGGGCGTGAACAGGCACTTACGTCGATCCAGCAGGAGACTTCGAGGAGACAGCTGAAACGCAAGGCAAAAACACCATATGTGAACATAAAAGGAATCCCGTACAGACTAACTGTAAATATTGACAACGAAAACAGCATAGAAAACGTCAGCAGAAGGACACCGCCTAAGGGCAATTCTTTAGCAACACAAAACCACAACGGGCAAGGGTAGGGATCTAAAGATCTAAACTGAATCTAACGAGCAGTCAAGCCCTTCTTTGGGCGCTGCTGCTCTTGGCAAAATGCGCACAGTTTGTTCCTCCTGCTTAGGAGCTGTCGAGACAGCCGAAGAAACTGTCGCTATGTACGACTCCCGACGCGCAGCAGAGGCCCCAGCAGGCAGTTCTGCAGCAACAAGAATACGCAGGGAAGCACTCCTCTTGACCAGCCTCTCTTGGTGGGTCCAGTGACGTCTTCGTGCGTTGAGGAAATTGTAATGACGGTATTTCCAGGTTCATAAGCATATACAAAAAGACGCCTTCCCCGCACGAGTATGGGACTGACTCGGGTGGCAGGGTGGCACCTCCAGGCCTCTGTCTGTGTCTACTTTACAGAGTTACGCCAAGGGATTTTGCGCCTTCACTCGGAGGAGAGACGGCGGGAATGAGCAATGATTATTCTCAACGTCACACATCTCAGTTCATTTAAAGGTCGCCTCACCGTAAACAACACGGCCGTTGACCATCAGCAGGCAATGGGGCAACGCAGAGACGCCAAACACCTTCAGCAAGAGGGGCGCTTCTTCGCTGCTGACGACCGCGAACTCGGCAGCAACTGCCTTGCCTGTTTCGTTTTTGGAACTGATGAAAGGTGCAGTAGCAGATAAGCGAATGGACAGCAACTGCTGCAGCTCCCGCGAAGCCTGATTCCACCTGTCACAACAAACGGGAACAGAAGCAAACCAAGAACAAGCAGTACGAGAATGCACCCTTTTCAGTCAGCAAGCAGCATGATGGGTGCAAAGGAATGAATGTGGTGACTTGTACAGAAATGTAATGACCAGACGAGTACATAAAAGAGACCGACGAGAATGGGCAGCAATAAAAGAACATGACAGGCAGTAGATAAGGGGGAGATCCACAAGCCCTAATGAACTCTGCAGACGTCAGAAAGCTCTTGGGTACACACAAACTGCGACAGCCGGAAAGGAGAGCAAACGAGTTTTGCTCTTACTGTGCAGAAAAGAGCACTATCGCCGCCCGAGGGACAGACCACTGTTCTCGTTTGATGGCAGCAAGGGCCTTCTCTTCTACTGCCTGTACATCTGCGGAGCTGGAGTCACCCCTAGCAGCAGCGGAGAGCCGGGAAAATGAAGTGCCCTGGCGTATTTTCGCTCTCGCCAGACTCGGCAGCCAGTGAATGGTATTGTCAGTCACCCGTGTGAAGGGAAACGCTGGACACATCGAAGACGATGGCCTGTCTCCATTTTCTTTCCTGCTTCTGCATCTGTCGCTGCTGCAGTTGACCCCAGCAGCAGCAGGCGAGCTGAAACCCGAAGAAGCTCGAATAGCTGCTGCTGGAGGCTTGACGACCATGGTATGCAGATGATGCTGCAACAATCCCATATGCTGTAGCTTATATGCAGATGTTTCAGAGATGCAGTTGCGGCTGTAGAGCGGCAACGGTGTTTGTTCTTGAGGCAAATGTGACGCAGGCGTGTTCTTTATACAGCGACGACAACAACCAATGGGCCTACGAAATGCAGCGACAGTCGCTGCATGCAGCAGATGACTGCTCATGCTCGAACAGGGAGAATGGAAAACGCCAAGTAAATAGACAGTGGTAAGTGGAGGCAGGCGTGCGATCGTGTGTGGCTCCTAGAGGCCACTGGGATCGCTACACGGCATGCCTTCCCTTGGGCAGTAAGCATTGGTGTTGCCCTTGCCTTTCCGAGTCTGTTGGAAAGACAGTATGAGAACAAGAGTGAAATGCTGCTCCAGGTAAAATGGTGGTTTCGCTAAGTCCGGAGGACCGACTGTGCCAATTCATGCGTTTCGGCCATTTCATCCGGCCGCATTAAATGGCAATAGGCTCGAAGACCTTCTCCAGAAGTAAATGATGACGGATTTTCTATGGTTATTCCCCTACGAAGACGCTATGAGCGTAGGCCGAGACACACTTGGATAGGCGTACGGGCAGCTTGCACTGCACCGGTGAGTGGATGCTTGCAGAAACCGGTGACCATCCAAATGTTCTTTGCTAAATTTAACTTAATTTTTTCAATTATTGGCCCTCGCGACAGCATGCCAGCCCCCAATGTCCGATCTCAGCCCCATGATGAGCATTCGTTCCGAAGCTGCGGCGGGAACCCACCTTCCACGCAGTTTCTTTCAAAATGCAACTATTACGTTATTTAATTCCTGCTTGTAGCACATTTATACCACCTCTGGCGCTTCAACATACCCAAAGACGCCTGTTCGCCGCGACAACTACCGCCTGCCGTGACCCCGTCTTGCCTCCCTCCAGTTGCACAGAACCCCGTCACCAGAAAATGACGCCTCAGCCTACCTCCTACGACCCCGACAATGTCTTCGCAAAGATCCTTGATGGACGTCTTCCGTCTTACAAGGTCAGTCTGTCCCGCTATTCTCGATATATCTAATTGCGGTCGGAAGTTAGAACTGGGAGGTGCCCCAGAGGGCCATGCAATTTGGGGTTCTTCTGGCTTGTTTAAAATGCATAAATCATCATATTTACGTTTCAAGATAGTATACCACTTGGAGGTATTGTGTGCATGCTCATGTGTGCCGCTAACGCTTTGTTTGCGATTAAATCGAGATCGTCTGGAGCAGCTAGCGGAAATTTCGCACTCACAAGCAACGCACCCGCATCAGATTTTCCAGACACCTATAGCAATCGTGAAACACAGACGGGCATGCACACACCTGCGAATTCATCTGTGAGTTTGCGTTTGCACTTTCACCAGTTATGTGTCGACAGCTGACTGTTAAGTTCAGCTCCAGAGTCTGGACCTGCGTTTGAAAAAAACATGTCCAGTTGATGTTTATTTAGAAACAAGCAAAGCATAAGTGGTCCTTTTCATCAGAATACGTGCTGGTGTGCTTCTGCGCATGAATCAGATTTTCGAAACAGAACACAGTTTGGCGATCTTGGACGCCTTTCCGACAGCGCCTGGCCATTCCCTGTTGATATCAAAGGCACCAGTGGCGACAGTGATGGAATTGAATGAACAGCAGGCGGCGGACGTTCTAAAAGAGTTGCCTCGACTTTGCCGGGCAGTACAACTGGTGACCTCAAACAGCACAGGGGAAGCAGTCCAGGGCATGCTTCAAACAATTCACCAGTTGCAACCGTTCGTCCTGTCTAATTTGTGCCTTTTGGTGCGTGTGTTTCCTGAACTTTTGGGCTTTTCAGGCAACCAACTGCGACGGCGTGAACGTTCTCCACAACGGAGGAGCGGCGGCGGGCCAAATCGTGCACCATTTGCATTTTCACGTCTTACCTCGTTTTTCAGGAGACGGCCTTTTCTCCCAACCACAGAGTGCGAAGTCAATGATAACTGCAGAGGAGGCAACCGCGGTATTGGGCAAGATAAGGTCAAATCTGTAATTCAAATGCTGCAGACGCCTGAACTTGAATTGCTAAGCAGGAGGGCGAATAAACGCAGGCGGGCTGCGAATCACGAGCAAGGAACAGTGGCAACGAACAACGATAAACGAGCAACGATGCCGCCCATCGACGCACGAGTTGGAAGTCAATTCACGTATTGAAGTCCGGGAAATTCAAATCCGCAGCACGCATGCAAGTATAAATGCTTGCATGCAGGCATTTAGGTCCTGTCGTCACGCCTGGCGCTCTTGTGTAAAGACGATGCACCATACGGATAGTTTTTACTGTAACTGTGAAGACTTGAAGGGGTTGAGTGCAGCCCATGAGCATAGTATCTGGCCAGACGTACAAAGGTTTAGAAAATGGATACGCCGCAACTTGGTGCTGCCGACACCTCACAGTACGCGCGCGTATCAAGTGTACGTATGTAAAAAACGCTCTATGCCTTTCGAAACATGGCTAGCAGACAAATGCAAGGACTTGCAAGTGATCTGAGATTGGAGGCATTGTGCATATAAAGGATATTGGGTAATGCAGCGAAACGTGTTATTTAGAATGGATATGCAAAGATACACCGCACAAATGTAACTATGCATTACAGCCGCACCGCACCGCGCAGAAACAAAAATAACCTTGACTTAATTTGGAGTTGAAGTACCAGCACAACATTTAAAACGCCCGAGCAACGATCTCCATCTGCCTACACGGCAGGCAGAATATCCGGGTGGCTTCCACAGCAAAGAGCTAGACGATACCCCGACCAGTTCATGCGAATATGTATCTAAGGAACGCATATTTGCTAGCATGCGCCATCCACCCTGCTGCCGCAGGCCTTGATGTGGGGTTTCCCCTTCTAAACCATTTCGGATGGCATGCATGCTAATTGAGGCACAAGGCTGCCACGGGGAATTTATGGGGTTAAAACAAACCCATTCACCAAAACGGGTGCATGCATATTTACAAATGCACGGAGCTGTCGGTGTGCATGTGAAGCCACCTTAGAGCAAGTTCATAAAATCTTCAAAACTCCACAAGCCGTTTGCGTTTGGCTGCGTCGCCTTCAACTCCCGGACGACCTGGACGTACACCGGAGCAGTGGCTGCAGTAACACCTTCGAGCTGCAGTATATATGCCGCACCAGCGGGGACTTGAAAAGCAATTCCTTGGTCATCGACCCCCGAAACCAACTCTGCCTCATCAAGCACAGACCCAGGCGGTAGGGGGTCCCCAGTAGCGGCAGCAGCAGCGGTAGCGCTCAACAGCGATGCTACTGCTGCGTCTGCCCGTTTCTTCTGCGCCTCATAAACACCCTGTAAATCCGACTTCGAATCGAAGTGCAAAATCGTCAACAAGTCGTTGGCAGACACAAAACCGTCCACGTTGCGGTCCAACAGCCGAAAAGCCACGCTGTGCGGAAAACACGGAAAACGCAATCGACAACAGAACGGCAAACGCACATGGCAGCAGAGTAGCAGGGAAATTATACAGAGGTGAAGCGAAGGAAGCTAGCATGAAGACGTTAAAAAACAGAAAGGATCATATGAAGTGAAGCACATGCAACTGAGGAAAAACACAGTAGAAAAAGGCAGCAATGCGGCAAACGAAAGCAAACAAACCAAACAACTGAACCTGCAAGCATCGAAAGCAGCTGGCACTGTCGGGGTGCTGGTGGCCTATTTAGCTCAGTTGTGAACAAATGAGAAACAGGTGTTTGTTAGAACAGGGTGGGTAGACACAAGCCAAGAGTGCGGTATGTTCATATATAAAGTCGCAAACATATCCCATTTAAACTCGGCAAACAGTAACCCACAGAAGAGAGCTAGGAAAGACCCACAGGGCAATAAATGTCCGTTAGCACGCAGGCAGACAAACAGCTGAATGCTGTTTCATGTTCAGCACCAAGGAAGAAGCAGCAAAGTGCATTTCTGTCTCCTGTATGGGGATGGGTGCAAATAAGGTACCTGCAGGTCGGTTTCCTTTCGAGAAAATCTAGCCGGGTCATCGAGGCGGCCAAGAATTCATCGAACTCTACTGACCCGCTCCCGTCGGTATCTAGACACACTAAGGCTTCCTCCATCAAGCAAGACGGACCACCGGTTCTTCCCACGGCACCTGCTGCTGTTGTTGCTCTCCCTGCCAGTCTTTCTTCCTCGGCCTGCTCTGGGGTACCTTCTCTTGGCTGATGAAACTGTCCACACGGGTGCGTCTCAACGGGAACAAAGCTCGAGTTTGCATCGTTACTCAGTGTGGCAGTCTGCGCCAAGGCGTTGTCCAGCACTTCACAGAAGGGCAGCAAATCGGACAACTGCGGCCCCTCCCCAGCAGATAAACCAGCAAATGCCAAAATCGTCTGCAGAGGCGATGCAGGCAAATTACTGCTCATGGAGTTGCTGCTGTTGCCACTGGGGTGAGGCTGTCTGAGGCCAGCCACTGTACTCGGGGTGTCGCTGTTATTTTGATCGCCATCTCTAAGGAAGGCCTCCAATCGGAAGAAGTCGCGAACAACTTTAAGACTATCTAGCAAGCAATGCCCTGAACGAAAGCAGCGGAAGCACAAGAATAGGTCGCATTGCACCACAAGAAAAGCGGCACTGTATGCTGGGAGCCCTCGTGTACTGCTGCATTCTTGTCCGTGCTCCTACTCCTACGCACACCGGCGTATTGTGCACCCACCTCATTCAGCTGCATCACTTTGCGTATGAATGCATCCGACTGAAAATTCAAGATTGGTGCTCGACCTATGACGGGCTGTCGTCCTGCTACCTATAAGCTGCTACGTGAAAGGACTTACTTGTCCTTGTAGTTTTTGTCTAGCTGTGAGCTAGTACGTAACAGTGCAGCTACTGCAGGATACTTACAAGAAACATGTCCTGTCTGCTGAGGATCAAGGACCCACAAGACATCCCTGACTGGTCGAAACAGTTCGTCATTCTCCATCAGCTTCGCTACCACCGACCGCAGAGCCTTCTGCAGAGGGCTCAGAGAAGCGAACTCTAGCCAGGCAGCAGCCAGGAGCAGCAGCAAAACCCGGGCTTCAAATAACTCCACCATCAGCCAGTCAGCCACCGCTATGCAGCAGCTCCTGCTGCTGCTCCTGTTCCTGCTGGTCGAGGCGCATCGGCCACAAACAGATAAGGGTACTGCGTCTGTGCCTTCTGCCCTCTTGTTAAATTCACAATCGCCGCTGCTGCAATAGCAGCGACTCTTGCTGCTGCTGTTGCTGAAGACAGTCGATAATGGCGCCGTAAGAGCTGGCAGATGAAAGTGGGGAACGTTTTCCAAAGGAGGGCCCTGCTGCGGTCCCTGCAGATGCGCTGCTGCTTCGCGGTGGACCGCCTTGGCCACTCCTGCAGCAGCCGCTGCTGCTGCAGCGGCAGCATTTGTTGCTGCTACGCAGCTCTCCAGACCAAGCAAACCTGAAATCGGGCATGTCAGCCGCACATGAGGCTGCAGCTGCTGCGTGCTGCATTCGGGCAAACCCCTCCAGTCGCTGCTGCATTCCGATAAAAAGTTCAAGGCCTCTTCGCCCTCGCAAGAGACGCACCGCAACGCGCGTACGCCGAACGCCTGCAGCACGCAGCACTTCTTGTCGCTATTTGAATCCTCATCCTTTTCTTCACTGTTGATCTCCTTGCTTGTCTGTTTACTTCTGTCTATATTTGCCTCCGCACTTCCCAACGGCTTCTCCTCCTCGTGTTCGGCAGCCACGACTAAGTCCCCCACGCCTCCCTCAGACGGCGGCGGTCTTGCTCGTTTCTGCTGCTGCTGTTGTGGCAACAACATCTCATCCCATGCAACAAGAGGAGCCCTGCCCCAGCATATTCGCAGTTTGTTGAATTCTTTCTGCTGCCTGGGTAGAGTGGCACATCCAAAGGGGCACCTCCAGGAGCTGCAGCAGACGCAACAGGAGACGCTTCCTCGTCTGCCCGCTACTGTTGTGGTTGTTCCTCCTGCTGCTGCTGGGGCAGAATGGGCCTGTTTGAAGTGCTGCAGTAGCGGAGGGTCAGAAGCAGCCCTAGACACAGATGCCTGCAGTTCCCTAGCGTTGTCTTGGGGCTTGAAAGGCAGCCAGCCTGTCTGTACAGAAGGATCCGACGGGGCTCTCCGCGCATGCTGAAGGCTGCTTCGGCTGACAGAAGGAGACAGAAGAGAAGCATGAGAAGAAAATGGAGACGAACCTCCACCCGAGGATGCAACTGAAGTGGGGGAAGGGTCCCCCAAGAAGTTGATCGACGGCGCAGAAACCGCACGCATTAGACCTGATCACACATACAACAAATGCAAATACAAGAAACGGAAAAACTTCAGAAAGATAGTGAAGGGGGCATACGCAAACATAAGCCAAGAGTAAAGACAACAAATACCAAGCGAAACGAACACAAGCGCCGCATGACAAAACGCGCGGTAACAGGCGCAAACACACGCAAAAACTGCTAAGGCACATCGAGGCTCAGCGACAACTCAGGGCCACACATACCGAAGAAACCCACAACGGGAAAAAATCAAACGGACAAGGACAGACAGTCCAACGCAGCGGATAACAGCCTAAGGCAACTGGCGAGAGCGAACAAGAAAACGTCTACCCCGGAAGTGGCAGTTGCCCCATGCAGAACAAGCTGCATCTATTTGATCGTTGGTTTCGCTGTGGACGCTGGAGACTCACGGCGTCGTTCCTCTCGAAAGCAGTGCTGCAGCCACGGGTGTTTGAGCATGCGTTCGGCGGTGGGCTGGCCGTAAGGCGGCGGGGGTGGAGGGCCTCTGAGATGCAGCGGCAGCAGAGGATTGTACAGTAGGGCTCTCAAAAAGCCCAAACAAGGCAGAGACAGGCTTGCCCACACCCCCCCACTAAAGGAGACCGGCGTGTCTGTGATCTGCATACAGACACGGAGATGGCAAACAATGCACCCTTTGAAAAATACATGCCATTCGCTATACGTTAATGGCGTGCATTTATACACAGCGTCAGATGCTACTGTGCTTATGCGCGCAGGCAAAGCGACCCCCTATGTACCTTGCAAATTTTCAACGGCTGCGGACTCTTGCTGCTGCCTGTGTGCATTTTGTCCGTGTGTTTCTTCCCGCTTCTGTATTTTTACAATAGTAAATACTCGTAAAATAGTAGTATATCATACGTGTGTATATTATATGTCACAATCATCATCTGCCTGCATCTGCTTGCATCTATCTCTACGATTGCACTGGTGATGTGGACCGTCTGGCTGCCGACGAGTAACGAGTTAGGGAATAGTAGCTGGGCCCTGCAGAAACTCCTTACGGCTCGGTCAATGGAAGCTTTGTCGTCGCCGTTGAATGGAGGATGACCAGAAAAAAGAATAAAAAGCGCAACTCCCAATGCCCACAAGTCGCTGCGCTCATCCCCTTCCACCCCGTGCAGAATCTGCCAAGGAGAGCGGTAATAGAGCGTACCTTCTACAGACAGCCTGGGGCACACCTGCGATACCAGACAGCAAGTAACTACAAGGGCCAGTCAACACAAGATATTTGAGAAGCAAAAGAAGCCCCAAGAGCACGAAAAAGACAAAAGGAATGCACACACCTACAGATTTAAGTCAATGACAACTATATCACGACCCTGAATCATCATCTGTCTGTTGCCCAACAGAAGGACAAGTACAGCGAACACCGAAAGGCAAACGCAAGGACTGGGAAGGTAAATAGCCAAAATAGTGGATGAAGGGGGAAAAAGTACAGAACGGAAAGAAATGCGACTACTGGGGCGGCACAAAGAGAAGTGATAGAGAGAGAGAGAGAGGGAGATTCAGAAGTCAGGGCAAGCCAACTATGCAGTACGGGCCAAGACGAACCTTCTGCCTCGGCCTGCCTCGCACGATTTTCTTCGCAAGGCCAAAGTCTGCAAGTTTTACAATAATATTCTTCCTTCGAAACTTGCCGGCGAGAGAATGTGTGGAGTCGCTAGGGCTGTCTCTGGCATTTGGTAGCGACAAATTTCTGCTGTTTCGGTCTGTTTCTTTGTCTCTATCTCTACATTCGCTTCGTTCGCCTTCTCCCCCTCCCAACCCACGTCGCTTTCGCAACACCATCGGCACTACCGCCAGTGCATTCGAGCTGCTGCTGCTGCTGCTGTTGTTGATGCTGCTGCTACTGTGGCCAGTTGGTCGACGCAGCCCAGGGCGGGCCCTGTTTGTTGCGTAGGTGTTTCTTTCCTGCTCCTGTTGCAGTAGTTGCTGCTGCTGCAGCTGCAGCTCTTGCTGTTGCATGAGCGCCGCCTCTTCCTCCTCGCTACTGGCACCGTCTCCCGTCGCTTCAGAGTCATCTAATTCTGCTGCCAACAAAATGTTTTCGAGTTTTACGTCGCAATGCGCAATTTCCCTGCTGTGCAAATAACGCAGTGCACACAACAGCTGCCCTGCTATCTGCGCAGCCATCTCTTCGCTCACCAACGGCCGACTGCCTGGTGCTGCTGCTGCTGGCCCCGATGGGCCTGCTGCTGTTGGAGATGAAGATGGAGACAAGGATGATGCCGCTAGTCCGGCCGCCGCTGCGGCTACTGTTGCTGCGGCAGCTGCTGCACCAGCTGCAACCGGGCAAGCCACTCGCATGCTGCTGCCCGCTCGCCTGTTGAAGGAAGCAGCAACCGGCGAGAGAGAGTTGCTGCTGTACCCCTCCACTGAATTAGGCGTTGTTGCTGCTGTTGCTGTTGCCGCTGTTGGTGCCGAGGACGGCTGAGCTAACTCGGGATCGACGGGGCTGCCGCCGATTTGCTGTCCCTGCTGCTGCTGTTCCTCCTGCAGGTGTTGCTGCAGCTCAGCCGGGTTATTATCATTAATGGAGCAGAAACTGACAGTGCGCCTTCTGGAGTGTCTCTGCCTTCTCCTCAAGCGCCTGTCCAGCCACTGGTGCAGGTCACCACCATAACACGTCTCAGTCACCTGTACATATACTCCACACCAACTTGCTTATTAGAAGGAACACAACCCGCACGGAAGGAAAAACTGTGATGAAACATGGTAGACACGGAATCACAGAAATGCAAACAAAGGCCAGCATCAGCACGCGGGCAGATTCACGAAAACTGAGCAGCGGTGAAAGCCACAAGCTCGACTGTCAAACAGCAAAGCAGTGGCAATGGAAAACGGCGGTCGGAGAGCCGAGAATCTAAGGAACTCCACATGAGCAGATAGGCTTGAGCGTGCATAAAATCAAACGGTAAACCCGCAGAGAGACAACGCGTCTGAGGGGAGGAGATAATTACGTCGGGTGGTGCAGCAGCCACAGTGGAGAGAATGATGAGCACGCAGACACACAACCCATGACGGCAATACGTAATGGGACAGAGAGCACAAGGAGATCATAGTAAACGACAACACCGCGGCACGAAAAGACGCCTGCGTATCGCCAAAAACAATCAAGTTTAATCGAGACAAACGTAAACGAGAAAATACAAAAAGACTACAGCAAGGGAGAAGAGAGCTGGACAGAAAAGATGAAGCAAACGGGAGGAAGGAGGGGGAAAGGAAAATGGAGGACACAACGCCAAAAAATAGAAGGGGGTAGACAGGAGCCAAGAAAATCAAAGGAAATGGGGATAGAAATATGCATATGACATAAAGCACCCGACGTCCTACGTGGTAGACGGCGTCCGGGTCCTCGAAGACCTCGAAGAGTCTGACGATGTTTGGATGGTGTGCTCTCCTTAGAAATGTCACTTCGTTTCGCAAAATACGAACTCCTTCTGGCTGGTCCCTGCTGACCCGCTTCACCACTCGGCGCACACCCGATAAAATATCTGTCGCGCGGTACACCCGGCAGGCAAACGACCCTAACCCTATCACTTCGTCCAGCTGCAAGAAAGCACGCCACAGGCAGGCACAGGTGATTGCTGCTGCTGCTGAATACCATCAATACATCCAAGAACATGAAAATGCATGTGTGCAGGTAAAGGTACAGCTAGTGGATGTTGAGATGCACCGAGGGGCTGCCAGAAAAAGGGGCTTGAAACCCACAAACAGAGGGGAGCATGAACTACAACAAACAGAAAAATAAGGAGGCCCAGCACCTCCCCTCAAATTCTTAGGTTGGATGGGAGGCTTACAGTGTAGCAGGAAGTGATGGGGAGAGGCGAATTTCGCACGAGCTGTTGTCTCCGGAGAACGCAGCCTTCACTGCGGACCCTCTTGAGGCATTCCAGCCCGTCTATAAACACACAAAACAATTTCCAAATTATTCACTGATTTGTCCCCCCCCCTTCCAATGCATGTAGTACGTCCCGTTGCTGCTACGGTATCCAGGCATTATGATTGCAGTGGTGTTTACGAGGCTGTACCTGCACTCCTAGAAAAGACGGACTGGCCTAATGCACAGTGCAGAGGTGGACATGAAAAGGTACTACTTAAGAAACCAAAAAAAAAGGCCTCCCGTTCTCACCGCCCGACTGCGTTCCCTTCTCCTCCATTTAAAACAGTTATGATGTTGAAGACTCGGGGCAAAGGTTGAAAGAAGAGGAACGGCGCAGACAACGCCGAACTCGCCGCTTATCGTCGCCGTTTGCAATAATAAAAATGTGCGGGGATAAGAGGCGTCTTTCACCGACACACTGCAAAACAGGGAATCCGTCAAGAGGCAGAAGCTGTGGTTCGCCGTTGCAACTGTTTCTGGTCTCGCAGCTGCACCCGTTGTTGTTTAGTGCTATCCTCTTCTGGCAAAATCATCAACCGTATGATCTATAAAAGCGGAAAGAGACCCGCTAGAAGGGACGGAAATCCTTCACGTTCGGCTGTCGTGGCAAGCGGAAGCACCAGGAGAACTCGGCAAGTGTCTTGCAGGATTAAAATGAAACCAATACATCAAGCCAAAACATAAACAATGAACGCCTTAAAAAGAAAGCTGCAAAATAGTACACAGGAGGCTGTAGCAGCCAGGCAACGCCCAAGAGCGTCAGCCTGGGACGAACGGGGGACTTTTCCCCCCGTCTTTCCGTCCTTGTCTACGTTGTCTCCGCCGTTGTGAGTTATTGATAACACTTAAAAAGAGGCGTCAGCACAGAAAAAACGCTGAAGGCTGTAAGGCACGAACATCCTCTCTCCGCTTCCAACAGCTGGCACCAGACCCGCCGCAGGCATGGGGCCCCGCTACATCTCGTTTGCGGCTATATGATGCGAAAGTGATCGCTTCTGCAGTTCTTCGTACTTTAACCAGTAAGTTTGAGTTCTTCAGTCAAGAAACATTCTCTTTAAACTGTACTTTCCAGAAGTTTCGCAACAAATACGCCCACGTCGTCTGTGCTCGGCACGGCGCTGCATCGGGACTCCTTCCGTCACCAGCAGAACTTAAGCTTCTGACGATGGTGTAGTTCTACGGAGGTAATTTTTGATCATCTTTTACGTGTTTACATCGATCTGAGTAAACAAAGCTGTGGTGTACTCAACTGTCTAACGCGTGAGATGTGTTGACAATTACACGTGCATCACCTCTGCAGCTCTAGAAAGGTTGGCGGCTGCTGCAGACTTTGCACTTCTGCAGATATAGCTGACTACCAATCCATTCCACTGCTCTCATTTCAGGCTCGTAGGCATATCTGTTTTGTATGTTTTCATTCCTGCAACGGTTGCCCCAATGTTAGATCAAGTTTGTATGCTTTGACGGCCTTTCTGCGTGGCTCCAAGGCAAGCCCAGTTCATATGGTTATGCTTGATAATAAAGCCTATTGACCTGATTTAACTGTGGGAGCTCCGAAGTGTGTGTGACTGCGCATAAAGACTCGATGCCTGTGCTTTCTCATTTGTTGTAACTTATTTACCCAACATTTTGCACTTTGATGCAGCTACCGCAACAAATATGCCTCGGTTCGTAACTATGTTGTATGCTCAATGCGAGGGCAAGTTCTCGAGATAATAAAACGTGCATTGACGCGTACTAATCTAGTTGCAGACACAAAAGTGTTTTAACTTCATATTTTTAAGTATGTAGCAGCTGAACCCTGCATACGACGAAAATTCGCTCCAGCGTCGGTCTTTTTCTGCTCACCACTCGGCAACGCTTCTGAGAGAGATATATCTGGTTGGGCCAACCAAATATTTCGATCTGTCCTTCAGTTATATGTATTCGATTCAACTTCGTAGGTTTGGTTCAGATTGTTCGTATTTTAAAATGAAGAACACTTCTGTATACTTCACAAATTGACTTGTTGTTTCTCAATTTCATTCAAGTCTACACTTTGTTGGGATATATTGCCGTTTTCATGTTGATCACAAAAATTCCGCCGCTGCAAAGCTTGTCTCACTAATTTTCCTCCACAAGTGTTGAATAAACTCTCAGCAGCTCGTGTCACCTGTATATTTTTCTCCATTACAGATATATCTTCTTATGTGTCAGTCCTTGATATGCGGTGAAGTGTCGTTTGCCTGTCCCTGTTATTCCGCTTGAACATAAGAAGCCATTGCCCCTTCCTTTGTTTTAATTCGCTGCTGTGGAGTTGCATAGTGTCATATATCAATTGCACGTAGGTAGCATTTAGTGTGTACATGACAGAACTTCCGCCCGTTAAGGGCACGCAGCAAGGGGTCCTAGTGTAGCAATGACGGGAAGAAAACCCGAATGAGAGTTTGTGGTAATACTACGATTCCGTGTGTCCCCTAAGGTTTCCAGCGGAAGTCGTTGTAGAGTTTTTGCGTAGTCCTAGACAATGCTGCTTAAGGCCGGAAGATGCTGTGTGTGCCACAGCGCCACAGGAGGTTCACTGGGCTCACTTAACAGGGAATGCTGTTTTCCTCAGTGGTTCTGCTCTTCCTGCAGGCGGGTTGCCTTCACTTCAAACCGGTTTCACAAAGAGAAAGCTAGCCAAACGAATAAGAATGCAGCAATTAGCTATTTTGTTCACCGGAATACACTTTACCTAACCTGTTTCTCGTTTCGCGGTGCAGAGGAACACGGGCTTCCGTCCGTTCGCTCACCGGGATGATGGCCATAAAACGAGGGGTTAAAAAAATAAATTTAGGTATCAAATGCTTGTGATGAGACTCCAAGTTTGTTAGGGCTTACTCTTGAGACGATTTCAAAGTCCTCCTGCCATTTTGGGCTCAGCCGTTGCTCGCTCGGGGGAGCAGATTGTGACGGTCAGGCGCAGATGTTTCTTTTTTACTGTGCCTGAGTATCATTACTGAGTGGCAAAGCAACTAGCAGACCAAGCAAGCAAACGCTTAACTATTTCAACAAGGGATCGGAGGCAGGCAGGCACATTGCTTGAGCGTGCCGTGGGAGAACCGGAGGTGACTGGCACGCTGCGGCCGTCTTCCATCTCCGACTGTTCTCAGAATGGGCAAAGCTTTGAGTTTTGCTTATTATTTTTTTTCTAGTTGCAGGAGCAGCGTGTGGCCTCCCCTCATCCCCTCGAGCACGCCCCCTTCACTCCTGCTGCCGGTGACCTGGACGTCGTCGGCAACGCCTGGCGGTGTCTATTGCGACCAAGTCCAGGTTTCCCCTTCAAGCCCTAAGAATACATAAATAGTATTAAACGGAGGAAGAAGGAGAAAGAGAAACTCAGGGGGTTGTGGGAAACGCGATAAAATTTTAACAAGCTGCTATGGCCACGCAGTGCATCCGTGAACTCCGCATAGGCGAACCATGATGGCCCATTGTTCACTTGCAAATATTTCCTTCTTTTTCTTCGCTGCTTTCTGTTCACTCCCTCGTGTATTTTGTGCTCCACATGAGGTGCTCGACCCAGAAGGAGTGTCCAGTGGACACCAGCCTACCTCACAACAAAACAGAGCAGCCGAACTGTTGAATGAATTCGCAGGTGAAAATGATGTTGCAGTGCTCATGGCAGAATATACAAATGCCCCAGTTCCTTATGTGCTCGTTGGAGAAGACCGCGATGACTGCCCGCGAGGAGACCGTGCCCAAGCTGCACGTGCTGTTCCCTCCCACGGTTTCCTGAATCATTCATTGGGAGTCGGCGCATCCCCTGTGGTTTCCATAGACGCAAACGGCCGTTCATCTGGCCCATGCCCGAAGGTATTTCTTCAAGAGGCGCCGTATTACGGAAGAAGGGAGGCTGTTAAAGCATTGGAAACCACGTTGCAGACCACCTTAGGGGATTTAACGCAATCAGTGGATATGACGCGCCTGGGGCTCGACCGCGACTTCAACGAGAAAGCATATGAGTCCCTGCGCGTGTGCAATAATTTTTTCTTCTCTGGAAGTGGAAACACGCGCAGCTCTTCGGATCCTGCTTGCGTTGTTTCCCAACTGGACGACGCCGCTGTGAACATCAAGGCGTTGGATGCTGAAAGCCTAAGTGTGCTACACCCGAGGCTGAAAACTGCCCTTGTGATTGCTTCTAATCTTGCCTTCACGCGGCACAAGAAAGAATGGATTCGGAAACTTATTACATCAAGCAGCTTGCGCCTTGCATGGCACGTTGTCGAGGCCTTCGCCGGTATGAATGTCAACATGCTGGAAGCCAACGTTGGAGAAGCTTTGAACAGCATTGTTGTAAAAGACCTGAAACTTCTGCTCCCACTCAAGGACCTCATTCAGTTTGGTATGTCATCCAGGCTACGGCTTTTACTTTACTACTGTCTATACCATAAGCGTAGGCCCAGGGGCCGTGGCTGTGATGTCTTTCCATTGCTATTGTTGGGCCCCACATTCCAGAGTGAAATTACAATGTCTGCTGTATGTACGTGCAGCCACTACGTGTACTACGTACGAAGAATACCCTGAGAAGTCCTGGCAAGACGCTGTGCGCAACCCGAGCCCAGACAGCCCTGACTACAAGGATTACCCTATTTACGATTACTTGCGGAAGGTAGGAGCTGAAGTTGCATTTCCCGTGAACATACCTTCAGACTGGAAACCCCGCGTATACGACGGAAATAGAATGACACATCGCGGAGCTGGGGAGCGCAAGCCATTTAACTCCCCGGCAGATTGGAAGAAACGAGTTTACGACTCGTGGCACAACCTGTGGATTTTGCATCTGGTCACGATGGATACCGGATCCATGTGGCAGTGGAGTCATCACCTCAATGCAAGTACTTTCTTCTTTAAACCGTGGAAGGTCACGCGCGTTGGCACCGTGCAAGTAGCTGAAGCAGGTATGTTCCACGGGACCAAGCTTCATCTATTTGACGCCATACACAAACGCAAGGTGCGGTGTCGTCTGTTAGCAAGTTACTTGGATGGTAACCCATATTATTAATGCGTCGGAGGGGGGAAGAGATTCCATGCCTGCAGGTCCGTTACGGCACGATGACCTCTCACCGCGGTTTCGAGTAGACCCGAGCAGGCCTCATGACAGCCAACGCTTTCGGTCATGCCCTCGACACCTGACAGATCTTGATTTCTTTGACAAGCTGAAGGCACCAAAAGGGCAGCTATCTGCGCAGTGGGGGCGCATGGATTTCTGGAGATCTCTCGGAGTCCTCGGCTGGAACTGCCCAGTGAGCGAAGCGTCGGTCCCCTGTCCGCCGAAGGTACATGAAGACAGGTGTGGAATTGATGCAACTTATCTCCGGCCTGTAGAATCACCTTGGCTCTTCCGACTCGAAAGAGAACCCGAATGGGTGACTTGGGAAATCGATGAGAAAAACAACGACTACGTAGACAAGATATGGGTAGTTCGGGGCACACCGTTTCCTAAAGTACGTCAGCTAGTAGTTCGGGTTACGCCGTTTCACTGTTGCCGGTGATGTAGTGCCACAGTAAAGGAAGTCCGTTATCTGTTGCGAAATATCATTGTGCGAACAAATTGCAGATGTGGCTCCTGAATACCATGTGGGAAACGACAGTAGACCCAGAGCTGTCCCGTTCGGGAGAGGGTAAAGTCCATTCTGGGTTCCTGTTTGCCTTTAAACATATCTTCAAAGCAATGCTGGAAGATGACCTGCGGGAAGTGAAGGAGAAATCTAAAGCCACAGGAAAGCGGCAGGTGTTACTTTTCACCGGCCATTCGCTAGGGGGGGCCGTCGCCCAAATAGCTGCCTGGTACCTCGCGAACAAGGCTCGCTCCCTGCTGGATGCAGGGCTTCTTCAGGTTCGCTGTGTAACTTTCGGTGCCCCCGCGGTAAGCCCACAAATTCACGCTTTTCAGCTGTGTAGCTGGCTGTGCCAGCCCTGAGCAGTGTATTAGTTATACGGTAGTACGAACGCACTGAGGAATGCGCGGAATGGATAGTTTCGTGTCCCTATGGCTGTGTCATGAGCAGTGGGGCAACGAGATGGCGTACAAAGAGTTCATGAATACCGGCGTGCTTATACATGACATTGCCACTAGCATGGATCCTGTCACCACACTTAACGGCGAGCCAGCACTCGGCCATGGATTGCAATGGAGGAAACCGTTTCATTACAGGGTCAGCTGACGCGGTTAAAATAATGGCATGCTTCAGGCAGCCGTCCTAAGTTCACTGTTCACCGCCCCTCAAGCCATGTCCAACCCAAAAGCATGTTTGAAGTCTGCAGTTTTCAAGACGGGGGATTCAATAGCAGGGAACCCCCTTTCAACATTCAGTTTAGCACTTGCTGCCACAAGCAAAAGGCACATAGCACCACAGATGTGTACACGTACATTTTCCCGCATAACACAATAGGTTGTCTAAAGGGTATGTATAATATACGCATGCAAAAAGGGGCTTCGGTGCTTGACTACCATGCGTCCCTGTCTGCAGATTATGCTGGACGACTTCGATGAGGTGGTTGTCGCCTCTAAGAATCCAACGGAGCCGAACTTCTTCGGCCGTCTCTGGACACGCACCGACTTGCACGCAGGTAACTTTTTGAAGCGAACATTTGGCGCCCTCGCAAGCATGAACCACGTGGACTCGGTGTTCCTGAATCCTGTTTTAACGCACTTCCTCTCCTATACTGCAGTGCTGACCATCATGGCCGACTTAGTGCCCGAAGCTGACTTTGGTTCAGCGCTCGCCGCGCCTCTTCTAAACGACCCGCCAAGCAGTTACGCTTCCCATACGTTGTGCACTGCACTCATAGCCACTCAGGGAAGGATGAAGTGGGTTATGAACCAACTGGCACTTGAAACTAGCAGGGCCCGCAAGCCACCACTTCACGCGCACTGACACTGAATGTTCCAGCGATATAAGCCAGAAGGGACAAGTGAAGAGTCCTGAGGCTTACTTATCACTGTACATATGTACCCATATCTTCTTTTTTCCAATGGAGGAATGCCATAGCCCAGCACTCTGTTCTACCCGCAGAGGGTGTACTGGTCAGGTCCTCCGGTCAGTAGTTTCATGTTTGAAATCTGCATTTGTATGAATAAGTTTATGTAGAAGTGTAAGCATGCATATGTCCAAATGGATGTGCATATATATACTGATGCACATGTGTCTGTATAGATGTGGGCGTTTGCATTCACGAAAAAAGTAGACGACGCTGGTAGGCCCGCTGATTTTGGGTTGGTTATGGTTTTGAACTGCCTCTTGTATCGTCGCTCCGAACGCGGGCACAGAGTTCTCTTTGCTTGCATGGTCTTCAACTGTCCAGGCAGAGTGGCCTGAACAGGTAGTTCAAACTTGGGGGCTTCCAACGGGGAAATGATCTGCGCATTCTCAGTCATCAACTTGCACTATGTACAACTATAAAATACTAGTCAGGTCCTAGTTGCCCAGGTTAGACGTGCGTGCTGCTCTTGACACAGCAGCATGAAGTACACTGCCGGTCTTATTTATGCACAGCCCTTGCAGATCCGATATCCTGGCGGAACTACGTATCGCCATGCTGTATTGCTGGGGTCGTCCTAAGCAGATTCCACTTCATTGAATTCGACTCTATGTAGCTCGGGTATTTTGGAAGAAGAACATGATTGCCCTGTGCATTCAAATGGGCAAGGCAATACTTGCATCCCAACGGCGCAGCCTCTGCGAGGTAAGCTCTTATAGACATCGCTAGACATTCCCCTCCAAGAAGAAGTGCAACTTGGCGGAAAATGCTATGGACAATGTCCACATTAAAGCCAGATACATTATGAAGTAAGGGAGAAGCGAGAGACACAGCATCACAGTGGCTTCGGTGATTTGAGTGGTGTGTGTGCCGTGCGTGAGCGGAGGCCCAGCTGCTCTGTACGGAAGCTGAATGCAGAAGAGGGCGCCTGATGTCTGCAAAATAAAACAGAAAGGTTGTGTGTATTTCACATGTTTAACTTGAAACTACAGGGCCATTAAATCGAAACGGCGGCTGCAATGCTGGGCTGCCTCAAGACAGCTTCTGGCGGTCCACCACTTGAGCACCCGCAGAGTGGCCAGTTGGAAGCTCATGATACCGAGTGATGTGCGTAGAGAAATAAAACGGTGGAGTATTTAGGTTCGGCTATGATTAGTATTACTAATTTTTGGCTGGTGGGCTGTTGCTTTTGATGATCTACGCGAGGAAGGCGAACAAGGTTTGCTGCGACCACCGGCATGCGCCGCTGTCTTTTGTGTCGTGAGGCATTCATTTTTGTGGAGCTCGCCGCGTCTCTGTGTTCATTACAAGCTATTAAAGAGATGCTCTGATTTTCTTCCTGTCAATTCTATTCCTCCTGCTGAACGCCGGTGATCGGTGACGACCAGAGCATGCAGGCGCACACAGGCCTTGTCTGCAGCTGCACACATTGTAAACAGAAGGAAGTCAGCTGTACTTCCACAAGTGCAAGCAGCTGAACTCTTGAGAAGATGGCACTGAGAGCCCGACAGGAGCAGCAGCTCCATCTGGCCATTGCCCTGTACTTAGAGTCAAAGTTCCCGGAGACGCACAAAGCATTCGAAAGAGAGGCCCATATTGATGTAAGTACTCCTTCCAGTGACCCATTCTCAGGCAGTCCCAAGGGTTTGGGGTTTATGTTTTACGAAAAAGGGCTTCTGGCTCACAATTCACTTCGCCTTTTGTGAGGGGATTTGGTTCTGTCTTCCAGATGAAGCAACAGAGAAATCCGCCCGGTGCGCGAATTTCAGTCTTGCAACGTTGTTGCTGTTTGTGTTCAGTTTTCAGCTGCCACCTCCAGTACCAGGGGGGAGGAGAAGTTCGACAGCGAAACTTTACCCAAGCGGTGGGCTGCAACGGCTCGCCTACAGGCCCGCGTGACAGTGCTGCAGCATCAGCTACAACAGCAAGGGCAGCAGCTGAATCTGTTCACAACTGCAGCGGCAGGGTCGGGAAGCAAGGAGGCTGCCGGGCTTCCAAGTCCTAAGCCGTCCAGTGTTATATCTGCACAAAGACAGCCTCTTATTTGCTGCGCATTTCACCCGCTTCTGCCGCAGCTTTTGGCTGGGGCAGACGACGGCAACGTTCGTGTGAGGCCAGCCAACAAACCCACAACGCTAGTGACAGTGTCTGCACATCTGAGGTGCCGAAAGAACCACATATTTGGTGTTGCTAGTTTCGCTCGCTGCCGTCTTCCATCTCTTTCAGGTCATCGTCATAGAGGGGAGCAGCACTGCTGCGGCTTCGCGCACATTCAAGGCCCACAATGCCTCGGTCACAGGGTTGGCTTTCGACTCTTCGGGTCGCTGGTGAGGCGTTTGCATTGCTCCACAATATTGTGAAGACTAGAGCAATACAAATACAGGACATGAATGTTAGTGTGTTAAGTGCTACAGGGTTGACAAGGGAGGAGGAGTTTCGCTTTGTCGTGATTGATTCCTTTGTCTCCCCTTGGGTTACTGTTGTCCGTACTTAGGTTGGCCACCTGTTCTACCGATATGACGATTCGGCTATTCGACGTGCAGACGTCGTATACACTGAAGCAGACCTTGCGCGGCCATAACGATTCTGTCTCAGTGCGTTTTAAGTAGACCCGTCACTGCATGCAACAGCAACAACAGTGCTAACAATTACTATTCATGAAGTCGGTGGCTCTGTGAATGAAGAATGCTGGCTGTACCAGCACTTGCATAAAAATTGTACAGTGCCTTCGTTACGGGGTTGGCCTTCTACTACCTCAAATCCTGCACGGCTCTCGAGTAGAGACATTTAGTATCAGGTTGTCTTGGCTGGCCCGTGAGTTGTGGTGTTGCTTCAGGCAGTTGCCTTTCTTTGCCTTAGCCAAAGCAGCAAAATCCCCGTTGGTTCGCGTCCATTGCATCTTCGCAACGGAGGCAGTTTGGCAAGGGAGGCTGAAGGAGCTGCTGCCGCTGTGTCCGCTGACGCTAGTCCCTGCATAGTGTCCTGTTCTCGCGACGGCAGCGTGAAGTTGTGGGACGCGGAGTCAGGGCTCTGTCTGAAAACATTTACAGCCACAGACGCCTCTGGGGGATGGGGAGCAGCAGGATCAGGGGGAGGCTCGTGGGTGCGCTGTTTGTGCGTCCCCGAGGCGAAGCTGAAGCCTGCTCCTTTCTTTGCATCTGGTGGGAACGACCAAAGGTAAATCCGCTCGCCGTTAACTGCAGACGACTTGCTTTCACTTTGGCCATTCCTTTGTTGGATTCCTTTTCAGAAATAGACAACAATGGCACTGAGGCGACAAGGAGGACGGCCGTGCCTCAAGGAGTTACGGTATAGGGTTTACGGTGTAGAGTTTAGGTTTTGGGGTTAACGCTCTACAGCGTGTGGCCCTCATAACCACTGGCCAGCGCTGATTTGGCTCTTCGGGTTCACGGTTTAGGCGCGGCGTGCGGTGTTCATGTCAGGGTTGTAATTTGGAGGCCGGACTTCTCTTCAGCTGTGCGCGAACTGGTGGGCCATGAACATGTCGTTGAATCGGTCATATTCGCTACAGAGGCGATGCTGCGTTACATGCACCGGCACAGGAAAGCTCCTCCTCCTCTGCCTGCTTCAATGCTGGTGAGACAGATAGGGGGGAAGAGGGCGAGGGCTTCTCATTGACTCTGTCGGAAAGTATTTTATACGCTGTGCAATAAGTCAGCATATTGGTATCATCTGCAGGGATATTGCCCTTATTCTCTTGTCCGTTTCGTTCTTTAGGACATGAAAGCCATGGCCGACGCCGAACGCGAGGGGAATGACACTCACGTCCTGCGGCTGGCCGGTTTGGTTTTAATTTCGTCCAGCCGCGACAAAACAATAAAAATTTGGGATGTGATTGGAGGCAGCTGCATGCAAACCCTCGTGAGTTCCGGTGGACTAAAGAATATCTTTCTTGAAGTGCAGGATTTGGCCGTTGGCCTTCGGCTGGCGTTGCAACATTGCAGCCGTTTCCGTGGCTCTTTCGCTTATTCTTGTTTGCGACTGTATGGGCATTGCTAATATTGTGTTCTGCCTGTTACGTTCAGATTGGCCACGATAATTGGGTGCGACATGTTGTTGTACATCCGACAGGAGAGCACATTATCTCGTGCAGCGACGACCGAAGCATACGCACTTGGAACATTTTAACAGGTGAATTCCACCATAGCTGCACATCAGATGACTTGTACACGGTTCATGACAGTAGAAATTGAGAACTGGAAATCTACTGGCGCGTGCCGCTTCATAAAGGACAGCCTCGATTCATTCAACAGCTAGCCAGCACCTTGTTGGATTTTCTCCCACATCTCAGGCGATTGCGAGCGGACGATTGAGAATGCCCATTCACAGTTCGTGACGAGTTTGGCTTACGACTTGAAGACCGATGTCTTGGCTAGCGGTAGGCATAGCCCTTGTTGCGTTGCAGTCGCCGCTCTGTTCCGTTGTCGTACTTGCAGCATGGTTAATTCTGTTCTAGTAGACATGGTGCTGTGCTTTGCCCAGTATGAACGCAAACAGGGACCATAGCAAGCGGTTAGACGAATGATTAGGAGGGCAAAGAAAGAGACATTGCTCCGGCTTTCCAGCTCTCGGCGAACGTGGTGGTACTACCACATGTTGCACTGCGCGCTTTTTGTTGTTTGGCTGCAGTTTCGTTAGATGCAACAGCCAAGCTCTGGCCTTGCCGAGACTCGTGCGGCAAGGAAGCTACTAAAGAAGATGCCAACGCATTGCCGGAGCTGAAGGCCCGGACTTGATGGAGTATATTATTCTAACAACGCTGACGCGGCGCCATCATAGTAACATTCTGGTCTTTCTATAGTAGTGACAGTGTGGTTATTACTTATTATTGCATCATGTATTTCCATCTCTATTCTCGATAATCTTGCACACATCTTCGTTCCTCTCTCCTGTGAATTTGGAAGGCAGTTGCACACCATGTAGGCACCGCACACACAAACTGTGGCTTCCCTAGGAATCCCCTGGCTGAATATATGCACATGCATATATATGCACGCATCACGAATATAGATAGAAACGGACATATATATTTTAGGGCTGTGGGTTGATGGAATCATCGGCCACTTCTTCCCCGAGTCCTGCACTGGAGGGGACTTTGTTCTGATCCACCGTCTGCTGCCTTCCGATGCCGGTGCTAAGGACGGCACAAAGGAGCAACGGGAGAGCCGACGTGCGAGCATTTGTAGCTATACATGTAGATATTTGTAGAATGCCTGTTAACATAATAGACGAATGTGCACTTGAGCAAATATGGTATGTAAGCATGCGATATATACCATGAACATTTGAATATATATATATATATATATA